ACGTAGCTCTTGTAACGTGAGATAGGTTGAACGCATTTTGTTTACCGTGGGTAATCGTAATATCCACGCAAAAATACGGATTATTTTTGCATAGCAACTAAACTTGGATAATAAATGGTTAATAATGTTTAAAATTATTGATGTCGTTTGTTGTTTTACGACCACTGCGTTTGATTGAGTCATAGATGATTTCTTGATTTCCAAGTCAGTTTTGTAAGTTTTTTGAGTGGTATTTTGGTTTTGAAAGGATTTAATCCAGGACGGGCCGTGCCACCACAGCTCATGTTCTTTCAATTGTTTAGTGGTCAATCCACGAGTTGCACAGTCCGCTGGATTCTCGCTAGTGTTAACATATTTCCAATGTTCTGATGGTATTAGCTGGGTAATAGCTTGGACGCGATTGGTTACAAATGGTTTCCATCTCGCAGGATCTCCTTGGATCCACCCTAAAACAGCTGTTGAGTCGGTCCAGCAATAACTTAATATGTTATAATCTTCTAAACTATTTTCTACTTTTTGCATTAGTTTCGATAATAGTTGGGCCCCCATTAGCTCCAGTCTGGGTGTCGATATGATTTTGTTTATAGGTACTACCTTAGCTTTAGCTGCGACTAAAACTACGGTAGAACTTTCTCCTTTGTTGACTCGGCAGTATATTACAGCGGCATACGCTTGATTCGAAGCATCGCAAAAACCATGTAGTTGTACCTGTTCATCTTGGTTTATCCCAAGCCATCTATTTACTTCTATGGTATGGATTTCCCTTAGTTCTCTTCTCAATTTAGACCACTTGGTTTCTATTTCTTCTGGTAAAGAATCATCCCAATTTAGGTTGGATAACCACACAGTTTGAAATAATATCTTCATATTAATGCTCAAAGGGGTGAGCCATCCTAATGGATCGAACAGTTTTGAAATGTCCGATAACAGAGACCTTTTAGTTAGTTTTGTTGTTACTTCCTGGTCTAGTTTGGAGTCAAATATAAATTGATCTTTTTGTGGGTTCCAAGCGAGACCTAAAGTTTTGGTGGAGTCTGATTGTTTGAACTCATACGTTTGCTGGTTACATAAACTTTTATCTAGATCTGATAGAAGCCGAGGTTCGTTCGACGCCCATTTTCTTAAGTTAAATCCCCCCTTGCGGAGTATTTTTATAAGGTCTAGTTTTAGCTGGTTTGCCTGTTCTATTGAATGTTGACCTCCACAGTAATCGTCCATGTAGAAGCTTTCTTCTAAGGCCTTTGCTGCGGTAGGATAATTTTTCTGTTCGGCAGTTGCTAACTGCTTCAAACACATCATAGCTAGAAATGGTGCTGGCTTCGTACCATAAGTTACGGTAGTAAGCTGATATGTTTGAATAGGTTGGTTTTGGGTGTTTCTCCATAGTATTTTTTGGTATGGTTGGTCATCGGGATGCACCATTATTTGTCGGTACATTTTTTCAATATCCGCCGTGAAAACATACTGATACTGTCTCCATTTGAGGATAAGTTCCTGAAGATCTTGTTGTAAATTTGGGCCTCGATATAGGATATCATTAAGACTTAATCCAGATAGCGACCTTGCCGATGCATTAAACACGACACGTAGCTTTGTAGTCGTTGACTCCGCTCGAATTACACTGTGATGCGGTAAATAGCACTCAGGTGTCATGTTTGTGTTTGATTGTTTCATATGACTTAATGTAATATATTCATTCATAAATAGTTCGTATTCTTTTTTCACTTCCTGGTTTCTTTGCAATTTTTTCTCTAGATTACGAAACTGTGCCAAGGCTAATGGTTTCGTGGATCCCAGTAGTTCCTTTGAATCTGATTTGAATGGTAGCCGAACTTGGAATCGGCCATCTTTAAGCCTTTCTGTGGTTGATAAGAAAAATTGCAAGCACTCCTGGTCTTCTGTGGACATTTCATATTGTTGGTGGATATCTTCATTTTCCCAAAATCTGCGCAAGTCATCTGTATTATGAAGAACAACATTGCAGTTGTATTGGGGTTTCATTGACCCGCAAAGCAGCCATCCCAATTGTGTTTGCTGGGCAATTGGTTGATCCTCATCATCTCCTCTTAAAATGCCACCTAGCATTATCTTGCAGTATACATCGGCTCCCAGAAGTAAATCCACTGCACGGCTGATATAGAAATCGGGATCCGCTAAATTAATAGTTTGGATGTGAGGCCACGATGGTCGAACAAAAGTTTTATTTGGTAAGCTTTTAATTAGACTTTTCATAATAAGTGTCTCTCCTTCCAGTGCAAAGTCACTGTAGATAGATTGGATGCGAATGTTCATTACACCTTTACAACTATTTTCTTTTTCCCCGATGCCAAAAATTGATCCTTTACATTTCTTTCTTTTTAATTTCAAAATTTGAGCAGCATTTTCGTTTATTATTGATATTTGTGATCCTTGGTCAATCAAAGCTCTCATGGTATGTTGAGTGCCGTCTGCTCCTGTCACCTTGACGATTGCAGTTGACAACAAGGTTTCGGTCACATTATTCTGAGACACATGAGTGGTTGAGAAGTTGGTTGGTGTGGTCTCAGCTTTAGGATTTATTTTTGCTGACGAATTTGTTTTCGATTTCATCATTATTCCTTCATGCAATAAAGTGTTATGGCTTGCGTTGCATTTGCGACATCTTTTCGTCGAAAAACATTGTTTATTAAAGTGATTAAATAGACAATTTACGCAACAATTTAGTTGATTAACCGTTTTTAATTTTCGTTCATCCGACATTTGTAAAAATTGAGCACAGAGCCATAATCCGTGGTCAGCATTACACAATGCGCATATTATTGGTTTTGAGACATGCATAGTCCTCGTGATATTTTTCCCGTTATAGAATTTATTGTTGTTTGAAGATTGCTGATGGTTGTTAAATTGAAGAGTCTTTTTCTGGTATGAATGGTTTTGATGAGATGGTTGATTGGTTTTCTGATAATTCGATTCTTGTTTACGCCTCGATGCCTCTAATGCGGTAAATTTATTTTCCAAGAAATCAAGGAATTCTTGCAAAATAGGTAAAGCCCTGGGGTTTTTTACTGACTCCATGTATTCGGAGAACGACTCAGTATCTAATTTTTGGGTTAACAAATGAACCAAGAGTGGGTCCCAGGTGGAGATATCTACGCCTAGATTTTGTATAGCGTGCAGACATTCTTTGGTTACATCATGCAACTTTTTCAACATTCCCATTGTTTGGTTTGACATGTTTGGTAAGTTCAATAATAAATTAAGATGGGATGTAAATATAAGCCTCTGGTTACCGTATCTATGATTAAGTATCTCCCAACATACTTCATAATTTTCCGAGCTAATTTGAAGATGGTAGATCAAACGCTCGGCTTCTCCCGTGATTTTACTTTTTAAATACTGCATTTTTTGTGCATTCGATAAAGATGGGTTTTTGTGTATGGTTTCAGTAAATAAATCTTTAAAAGAAGTCCATTGGTGGTAGTTACCCTGGAAGATTGGAATATCTATTTTTGGAGTAGATTTATCCCGATGTGTTTCAGACCACATTTTCGAATTGATGGTTTTCTTCATTTCTATATAAATTTTTTCATGCGTGCTAAATTCATTTTGATACCACATGTTTTCATCGCCGTCTTCGCCTTCTATCTCCCAGTGCAGACTATCAATGACAGTCCAACGACTTTGAAGACATTTCAGAGCATCCTCAAACTCCCATTTGTTCTGTAACTTCTCCACTTCAAAAGTAGCTACAGTTCTCTCAAAGGCTCTAAAGTTGATGGTTTGCTTTTTGATCATGTCACTCAATTTGCTGACACGTTCTACGCTCTTCGCATTAGTCTGTGGTTGGTTAGTTTTAGAATAGGATACGCTCGGCGTTTGGTTTGACGCACTTGCCTCTGGAGGCAGCTGGTAAACTCCATGTTGCTTAGACAAGAGATTTTCCATGGTTTTCGTAATTAACATTTTGGCAGTCAAATATACTTCTTCGGCCTTATCGAAACAATTATTAATAAAATACACATGACCAAGTTCAGCGGTTTCACAGCACTTTCTATGATTCCGTTGATAGTCTCTCCAGTAATTTTCTAATAGCTCTAATTTCCTCTTACAGTAATCTATTATGGTTTTCCTATCTTCTCCATCTTTCTTGAAGTTAGTCAAGAATTTAACTAAAGCGTCGTAGATCTCGGTTTGGTTGATAGAGAGAGCCTCCATGTTAAAATGCAAAGACAATTAAATGAATTAATAAAATGGTTTGGTCTGACCTTATATTCTCCTTACGATACAGCTCCACTCTCGATGTAGCTTTCTCTGATGATGTGCACTGCTTATTATCTCTATCTAATTACTGGTAGTAAGATCCCGAATTCACAAAACACTTTCGAACAGTACTTCCGAATTGTACTTCGCGACCCGAGATCCGGCTCGAAGGACCATGTAAAAAGGTGCGTCACTACGTACGAAGCGAGTCCCTTTTTATAGAGTTTGCAAGTTATTGATTATCAATGGTGAGATAAAAAATACACTAAGTTATGTTTGATTTAAGAATATATTAAATTCTACAAATGATGGTTTAACTGATTAATACTAAAAGATGATTTGATTTGATTTGTACGAGTAGACCGGCGATTGCGTACTACTATTGAACGTAAAATTCGATGCCTTTTATAAAAGTGTTTGTACGTAAAATGCTGAGCTGTTCGGTTGCGTTGCTCCGAACAAAGGGCCTCTGTGCAGTTTGCTTCGGACCCTCGTACGCCACTCAAATGACCGGGGATCCTGTTGTCCCGTGAATAGTAAAGACATAGTAAGTTTTTTGTTGCGTTTAATATAAAACGAACAGATTACCAATATGTTCATAGGAACCCTGAAGTTTAGTATATTACCTATTTAAGTTTAATGTGACCTAAGTGAAAAATTGTTTGCTATATACAACACAGGATTTGTATTTCTCTAGCAATAACTATACAGAAACTTAACAAGGAATTTCATAAATTAAAAAAACATTTACACAAACTGCCTTATTTATTCCTTGTACTAAAATAATCTGTTATTTTTTTCTTAGGCGTGCTCTTTTTGCGTTCCGGTGTTGATTCGGTTTCACTAACCATTGCTGGTTTTGTATCGCTTAGTAATGAGAACCTTTTATTTGATGCAAGCGATGTATGTTGTTCATGTTTGTTATCTTCCTCCATAATTGTGACGGCGTCTAGTAAAGACATTTTCTTTGTATCTGCAGTAGGTGGGGATTTCGATGATTCTTTTTGTTCAATGTGTTGGTCAACTTGTTGGTCGATTTGTTGGGTGATTTGTTGCTCGATCTGTTGCTCTGTTAGATGATTCGTGGGCTGTACAGTTCTTACCTGCTGAGTGGTGTTGGTTTTTGGTTTTTTAACCATGTTTGTGGTTTCTGGTTTGATGTCTGTTTTGTTGGCTATCCTTTCTGATTGTATTGTCGCTTCGAGTAAACTTTGGTCCATTTCATCTTGAGAGAATAAGTCTGGGGAATTGTCTGTTAATTCATCTTCGATAACTACTGTAACTGGTGTCGACTCGGTGACGCTCTGAAATGTATGACAAGGAAACTTGAAGAATGCTAACAGTATCTAGTTTAATAGATAGGCTACATAGTACACTATAATTATATTAACTACAAATCAAGCAGAATTTAGAATACACTTTTTACACCCCACACTATAGTCAGAATTTTAATTAGATTCCAGATTTGACAATAGCTACTGTCATTTTGTGAAATAATGATACCACATATAATAGTGTAGTGATGCACACAAAAATCGATAAACAATCAGTGTATGTGTGTTTTATAATAAATGTTACAGAAAGTGACTGGATAGCTATAGCGATGACGGCGACAATTTATAAAATAACTTATTACCATAATACATCTATCTGTTTTATTTGTCATGTTCCTTCATGATTACATTTTTTTATTTATTTCACACACAATTATAAAAGAAACGTCTCAGATTGTTAATTAATCGTCAAAACTAAATTATCGGTTCAGAAATATTTAATTTCCTGATATACTTAGTTCACGAGAGTAAAATTATAATTATTATAAACGAGAAGAATCGATCCAGAAATATTGCATTTCCATATCGAATAATTTCGCAACGTCACTATTTAGTACTTGTCATAACGTTGCCACACTGAAATTGTCAAATCTGGAATTGAATTAAAATTCCGAGTATAGTATTTCCTCCTGTGTCGTGGGTGCGTTTACAAATATACAAGTTCACATATACACGACACCCAGACCCGGAACTACAATTTGTGGATCACACAAAGAGTTGCTCCGTGCGGGAATCGACACCGCGACACGTTGCGTGTCAGCCGGTTGCCACACTGTAGCTTGTTTCAAAAGTGTAACTATGGTTGAGTACCTCGTCAAACAATCATGTGCGTAAGCCGAAAAATATAATATTCAAACTGTCAAACACCGCGAGGGCACCAGTGTCCGCACACCTATTGTTCTTTAATTGTGTCTATAATGACGGTACATACTCAAAGGGTTAAGAAAGTGTAACTTACAGAAATGACAATAAAGTTCAAATTAGATAATTAAGTATGACTAAGTATAACTAGTAAGACTGCCTCGTTGGCCGAGTGGTCGCAATTGCGACTGCCGAGCCCGGTCTCGGGTTCGATTCCAGGGTCGGGCAAAGTATTACTGGGTTTTAAAAAAAAATCTTAGTAGTAGCACGGAGTCTGGAACTGTGCCCGGTATATGGCAATAGGCTCACCCCCTATTACATGGGACTCATAACATAAGTGAAAAGTGGGTGTTACATTGTACAGTGGTATAATGTGCACCTCTGCTTACCCCTTCGAGGATAAAAGGCGTGATGTATAATTAAGTATTTATGCTCAAGTAAAAAGTGTTTTATGGCGGAATACTGAAACATTACTCAATTTTAAGTCGTGCTCAAATATCGTGCCATCACTGTCATTTTACAAAGAATTTGTAGAGATAGAACTATACTTAAGCACGACTTAAAATTGAGTAGCGTTTCAGTATTCCGACATTACTCTCTTATAGGTAACTAAAAGTCGCGAGTTACTCATGTAAATATACTGAGAAACGCTCTACTATTTTCGAGCTACAGCGGGGCTCTTCCACAAGAGCAGCGTGCGCGATCGCGGCGATGTCGCGCAGCCTATGTGATGTCAGTAGTCGAAACTATTAAGAGTTTTCTCAGCATATTCACGTGAGTAACCCGCGATTTTTAGTTAATTTAGTATGTCTCACGATAGTTGACGACAGTTGACTGCACGGTTGGTGCGGTGGCTGGGCAACCGGCTGCCGTGCAACGTGTCGCGGGTTCGATTCCCGCACGGGACAACACTTTGTGTGATCCATAAATTGTTGTTTCGGGTGTCATTGTGTATGTGAACTTATATGTTTGTAAACGCACCCACGACACAGGAGAAAATCCTAGTGTGGGGCAACGTTTAAAAAAAAAAGTTATTATAAAAATGTATCTTACAGTATCCATCATGTTATCGCTGGAGTTCTGTGATGATTCATTGTTCTCCTTTAACACTTTTTCCAAATACGTGTAGAATCGTGTCAGTAGCACATTGTTCTCTTGGGCAAACCTCACTAAGTACCTGTACAGTTGACCTGGAACACAAGTGAAACAAGTGAAACAAGTGAAACAAGTGAATTTATTTCTGCAAATAGGATACAAGGCAGCACTTTTACACGTCAATTTTATCAAGCGAACGATGAGGTCGACATTTCCTAACTGACTACTCTGAGAAGAAATGCCGAAACAAACTCAGAGGTCTGTCTCTTTTAAAGTCCAGACAATGTATAATCGATTATGTGTGAGAACCGTGCAAGTTCTTTCTGTAGTGGCCTTTTGAGGAAAGAACCACAACAGTTTGAGCGGACCCGTTCTGAAGGCAGTACGCATGTGTCGGTTTACAGTCGGCTCTATTAACAGGTGAGGCTGACTGATTCGACGAACAATACCAACCTAAAGAACATTTGCGTGGGTCGCACAAATACTCAAACGTCAGAATATGGTAATTAGAAAAGAAATGGTGAGGCAAAGTCTCGCACGGTCCTAGCACTAACAATTGTAAAGGAAAAAGCAAATGTCAAGTTAGAACAATATAATAAACAATGTCAAGAAATGTAACTATATGTTACAAACATGTCAATATGACCTGTGTGGACGTTACAGCAGCTTATTCCCAAGCCAGACTATCATCTAGGTAGTCTTTAATTTTATAAAAAGCTTTACTATAAAATTTATCTTTAATGACATTTTTAAATTTATTTAGACTCAAATTTTGGATATGGCTGGGAATTTTATTGTAAAAGCGTATACTCTGACATCTAAACGAACCACTTATTTTCTTTAGTCTAGTAGTGGGAACAACATATTTGTCTTTATTTCTCGTGTTGATATTATGTATATCACTATGCTTTTTAAATAAATTTTTGTTTTTATGAGCATATACTACATTTTCATAAATGTATTGAGAGGCAACAGTCATTATATTAATTTCTTTAAATAGTTCCCTGAGAGAGTACCTCGGACTAAGATTATAAATTGATCGAATGGCCCTCTTCTGCAGAACAAAGATAGATTGAATGTCAGCAGCATTCCCCCATAGGAGAATACCATATGACATGACACTATGAAAATAACTAAAGTATACTAATCGCGCTGTATCTACATCGGTTAACTTTCTAATTTTTTTAACGGCATATGCTGCAGAACTGAGCCTTTTCGATAACTTATCTATATGTGGAGCCCACTGGAGCTTAGTGTCTAGGGTTATACCTAAAAAGACAGTAGAATCTACAGGGCTCAACTCCTCACCCTTAATGAGCACGCTGGTTTTAACATGTCCAACATTTGGTGTTGTAAATTTAATGCATTTAGTTTTAGTTCCATTTAGTAATAGGTTGTTGGCACTAAACCAGCGTACTATTTCCGAGAGAGCATTGTTCACATTATCAATGACTAATTGTCTACGTTTAAGTTTAAATAATAACGAAGTGTCATCCGCAAACAGTACTATCCCGTGTTTATCCCGTACGAGGTAAGGTAAGTCATTTATATTATAAGAAACAAAAAAGGGCCGAGAATTGACCCCTGCGGAACCCCCATCCTGACAACAGACCCGGCGGAGACTTTTCCGTTTATCTCGACTCTCTGAATCCTGTTACTCAAGTATGAGGTAAGAAGATCCAGAGATTTACCTCTTATTCCATAATGGGATAGCTTCCTGATCAATGTCATGAAGGACACAATCGAACGCCTTGGATAAGTCACAAAAAATGCCCAAAGCATCGCTTGAGTCCTCCCAAGGCGTCATATACGTGATTAAGAAGTTCAACACCGGCATCAGTTGTTGAACGACCCTGGTAAAACCAAACTGGTTAGCATGTAACAATTTATTTCTATTAAAAAATCTTTGCATTTGATTTAGAATAATTTTTTCAAAAATTTTACTAAATGAAGGTAGTACTGAAATAGGTCTAAAGTTAGTGGGGTCAGAAGTACTACCTGATTTAAATAACGGTGTTATTTTACTATTTTTCATAAGATCAGGAAACACACCACGGTCGATACAATTATTAAAAATTAGAGCTAATAGAGGTGCTATAATAGCTATAACAGAGCTGACAATGTACACAGAATTACCCCACAAATCTGCAGTCTTTTTCTTATTTAAGGTATGGAAGGTTTTGACAATATCTGTGTAATCTATATGTTCAAAAGAGAACCCTTTGCTGCAAGCTATAACATTTTCTTTTAGTAAAGATTCTGCAACAGTGGGAGATGAATTCAATGACTTAGTCGTGGATATAGGAATGTCCGAAAAGAAACTTTCAAATGCAGCTGCAACTTCTGCGTCTGATTTTATTACATTATTATCAATTAGAAGACTATATTCATTACTTCTCTTTTTGGACCTTCCCGTCTCACTGTTAATAATACTCCAGGTCGCTCTGATGACATTGGTACTGTTCTTTATTTTGGAGCTCAAGTACCGCGACTTTGCAATAGCGCAGACCTTTTTAAACAATTTAGAATATGTCCTAACATATACATTAAATTCGATTGTGTTAATAAATGTCCTCTCACTATATAGTTCATAGAGACGTTTCCTACTTTTATAGATGCCAGTGGTTGCCCATTCATTGAAAGATACATTGCTATTAACTGGTATAGTTTTAGGTGTAAAGGTAGATTTAAACTCGGTATGGTACATATTAAAAAAATCATCATACAAATTATTAGGATTGTTATTCATCAACAAAGGTAATTTTTGAGTGACTTTAGATTTGAAGATTTCAATGCGTCTTTCAGTCTTTGGGTTAACAGTGATAAATGGTTTAGACACAAATTGGTGATTTAGTGAATTTACTCAACAAACGGCATTTGCTAAAATAATTGTTAATACTATAATAAATAGTATTCACCGTGATAAAATAAAGATTTTCGCAGCACTATAAACAGTATAGCTTTTGGTATGTTGACTAAATGAATTCGATAACATCAAGGTATTGGTTAGTCAAAATGGGCTAAGCCAAATTGGTTGGACTTATAGAACCCTTATGTATTACCAGGACCATCTTGTAAGTATAAAATTGAATCATTTGATCCACTTTTACACATGTATTTTCAAAGACTATTGACAGTCAACCCCAAAAACGCATAGATGAAATTGATTAAGGAAAGTATCCTTAATTATTCCGCATGGCTACCGACAAGGAGAAATACAAGAAGCTGACGGCCGACCTTCAACATTGAAGAGGCATTATAAGAAGAAGAAGAAGAATCCTTAATTAAAAAGAAAAATATTTCGACTGTTCAATACAACTAAATATTAAAAAATAATTACACTTTCATTAATTGATTTTATGACCAAGTTAATTTTAGTATTAAAACAGGATTTTTTTAAGAAATAAGTACTTATGCTATTTGACGCTAAAAAACGTGACGCCACAATACACAATCTCATACAAAATTCATAGAAAACTTTCGTTTTTGACAGTTCGAAAAAAGTATTGAATTTGTCTAGTTAGCAAATACCCAATTGAGAATCCACCTCGAAGGTGGTAAATAACCATGGACCGAACACCAAAACCCGTCAAAAAATACCTCGAAACAACTCACCAACAGTGACATTGTGTCGCGCCAATAAGTTGTACATGTTGGCGATGTCGTCCCTGAGCTGCGTGTCCCCGAAGGTGTAGTACGCCATGGGGCGGCGGGCCTGCGCGCTCGCCATGACCTGCACGAGGCTCTTCAAGTGCGGCGTGCCGCCGAACGCGCCGCAGCCCCAGTTGCCGGTGGCCACGCCGGGGTACTGCAGCCGGTCGGAGCTACTGTCTGTATCGAATGATATGCCCACCCATGCCTAGGGACAATGGATTATGTTAATTTAATATTTATTTAAATTACAGTGTTTTTTTTTCTTTTCCATTCAGTCTCTCGTGTTCTTTTTTTAAACGTTGTCCCACTCTAGGATTGTCTCCTGTGTCGTAGGTGTGTTTACAAACACACAAGTTTACATACACATCACACCCAGACCCGAAACAACAATTTGTGGATCACACAAAGTGTTGTTTCGTGCGGGAATCGAACGTTGCGCGGCAGCCGATTGCCCAGCCACCGCGCTAAACATGCAGTCGTTCTGTATTATTTGTAATCATTTGAAATCTTGTATTTGTAACTAGCAAACATAAAATTGTATATAATATGCATTTCAATAAACCGATTGATTTAAAAAGGTTACATGCTGAGGAGAAAGAACAAAACAAATAAGCGTATGTGAAGATGTCAGTGTGGACATAAGGAATTTGTGACCCGTAAGCCACAAATTTTCAAGACCAATTTAATTTCACTCGGTAACTTGTTAATTGCTTTAGAAAATTGTATTATACAGTTTTGTAGCCGTGACTTGCAGTAACGGTGGTGAGAAGAGGAGTGGCAGCCATCGATACATACGATAAAAACTGACGTTCACAACGCTTCATGATACGCTCGAGGAGGTTGCATGCAAACGCAGTATATAGTTAGTTTAACGATACCTTACTAAACCCACCTTATTAAGTTCTCTAGTGATAGCATCTCTGCGGAACTCTTGCGCTAGACTATTGTACGGTACTGCATCTATGGCTAGTACAGCACAGCGTCGTCGTCCGGAGGAGTCGCGCGGCGTGTTGTCTCTGTGGTCGCCCGCGAACTGGAAACTGTAACCGTAGCCCACGTACTTGCTGTAGCGTTCTGAACCTGGGGTGTTAACATAGTCATTAGATAGGTAATAATCATCAAATTGCACTATCATGATTTATTAATCAACCAACATCAAGGACATCGCGAACTTCGTTATCACCAAAATCATGATATCATCATCATCGGCTTCTAGAATTGGGATGATGACAGGGTATGAAAATTACGGAAGTTTCGGTAGGTTCCTGTTTCGGATTGGGCGGGAGGAAACGCCCGGGTGTCATCACTGCGAGGATCGCCCGGAGGACACGGTGGAGCATACGGTGGCGGTGTGTCCTGCGTGGACTGAGCACCGCCGTGTCCTCAGGAATGTGATCGGCGACGGCGACCTCTCGCGTCCGGCTCTGGTTCAGACCATGGTACGGAGCGAGGGGGACTGGGATGCCGTCTCCTCCTTCTGCGAAGCAGTCATGCTAGCTAAGGAGGAGGCGGAGCGCGTGAGGGAACGAACCTCCTCACGACCCGGCCGTCGCGAGAGACACTCCGGGCGTCGGGGATCGCGAGACGATCTCCGGCCACCGTAAGCACGGGTCTGCGGACGGCGAGCTTGGGTGACTCGCCGCCCGACCAGAACCAGGCCCGTGCGTACGGCGCGTCGCGTTCCGCGCGCGCCTCAAGGAGCCATCAGACCACCACAGATGGGGCCTAACAAGGCTGATGCCGATACGGAGCCGCGGAAGACTTAACGGGTTGCCGGGGCTCCGGTTCGAAGTGCAGGTGTAGGAACGGGGTGGTTTTTAGTCAGTAAGAGTCTGACACTCCCTCCCGCCTCACCCAGGCGGGAGAAGTCATTGGATGATTTTCCCCCCTCAAAAAAAAAAAAAAAAAAAAAGGGTATGAAAATTAAAAATCTAATTAGTCCGTAAGTTAGGTAATGAAAAAATATTAGACACGTTTTTTTTATTTTGTAGAAAAACAATACTTAGATAAAACGAATCGATTAAAAATAAAATAAAAGTTTAGGAGTGGGGGCTAAAACGTTCTTTCTACGTATAAAATGTACATAGAAGTGACGTCACGCGACATTTCAAATCAATATATCGTCGAAAGTATTCGTTTCTGTAAGAAAATAAAAAATAAGTGTCTTATGATTTAAAATAATCTACCAGACGGACATTAAAATAAAAAGGGGATAAATATAATGATTACCATAAAATGCTTTAATACCCTTAGTTTTGTAACCAAAAATATCTACTTAACACCAGAAAAAATTGTATTCGACCACCATATTTAGTAAATGATCACCAAATCTTAGGTTAGGTTAGGTTGGTTTAATTTTGGTGATATTTACTATTTTGGGGTTACTCATGATTTACTTTGTGTCATTTTACTTAACTAGGATAGCAAAGTGTTAAAACTTCGGTTATAATTTTACATTAAAATGCGAGTTTCATTTTGGTGATCATTTACTATTTTTGTCTGCTATTTGTTACTATATCTGGTGGTAAGTTAAACATAAGCCAAATAAAAATTAGGCATCTACCCTATTCGCTTGTATTAATTTCGTGTTGGACTGGCAGAGCATCACAAACATGATCTCCACCCCATCTTATCTCCGAAAGGTGAACAAGTGGGTAAATGTTCATATTATAATAATTGACATTGCATTGCATTTGTATACTCTCTTGGTAGACTAAACACACTTTTCTTGATTTAAATGAAAGTCAATAGTTGAGAATAATAATTTGTATTGTAGAATAATAAACTAACGTAAAATGAATTGTATGAGCGTGAATGAGAACGCACGGCGGACTTGATACGAACTGAATCTGAATTAGTTAAATGTATTACGATGCGTTAAAATCGTCGTGCGTCGCGGGCAGAAGCTAGTACTTAATAATAATAGAATACATACCGATAATCATAAGAGCTTCGTTGGGCCTCATGACTTCAGTGAACAACATGGATATCATCAGCTCCGGACATATCACGAACCGAATCTCTTCCTGTACACAACCATGACCTAACACACCCCCGCCAAGAAACCTGAAATAGATATGCTTAGGTAAAATGGACTCTAGATATATATAAATATGGTTCATTCTTGAATAGATTTTATGCAAAATAAGTTATATTTAGAACCAATAATATACTGAAATGGAATTGAAAGTACTATTTTGTGAAGCAAAATCATTGAAAGCTTTTAAAATCTACTAAAAGGCTGACACTGATTACATCGACCATTATTATTAGACATGCATATTAATTCTTCTAGCACATAGGAGTGTTTTCTGTTATTGTAATAACATCACGCCTTTTATCCCCGTAGGCAGAGGTGCACACAGAAGTAACACCCACTTTTCACTATTTATGTTACTCATAACATAACATGGGACTCATCCCATGTAATGGAGGGTGAGCCTATTGCCATATACCGGGCACATTTCCAGACTCCGTGCTACTACTGAGATTTTTTTTAAAAACTTTCCTGACCCGGGAATCGAACCCGAAACCCCTTGCCCGGCAGTCGCATCGCACCCCTCGGCAACGAGGCAGTCATTGTATTGTAGTAGACTAATTTTAATTACTCCATTACAGACCTTATTTCCGATATTTAGAAACTATTTATGTATGAATAAATGTTGTGGATTTTTCATAATCGGGGATATATAGTTAGGTCTGTATCTTCAACAGCAAAATTGCACAACCTTAGCTTTTGTGTAACACGCTATATATCGTGAGACACGCTAAAATAATAAAAAAAAAAACAGTTCTTCTGGGTTTTTTCACGTGAGTAAGATGTTATTTTCAAATAAAATAGTTAGGGTTTTAAAATATAAAAAGATCCTCTTACTTGTTAGCAAAATCAATCTGAATCAAAGAGTCGGCATCTTCAATAGTGCTGAGCGGTTCCACGTGTAATGGTATGGATCCTATTGGTCTGGTAGACTTGGGCCATGATGGACAGTCGCGCGGCGGCACCGAGCGACGGCTGAACGTCAGCGTACCGACCGGGACTGTACTGCAAACATTATGAGATTAACAGGGAACATATTTGTAGGACAGAATTAAGTATTGAAAGTGAAATGCAACGTTTTTAAACTTGTTCTGCAAAATAGTAAAGAACACCCCTGTAGGGGTTAGGTATCGCATAAAACACACACTGTAATAGCATAAGCGTATAAACATGTAACCGCATTGTGCGCGTCACTCACTCGTCGCCTGTACATTATAGAGGCAATACATATTCAGTGCAGTCCGTAACATCTGTTTCATTTAACACCTATAAAGACAGTAATCAAATCAGAACCTACACCCCTTTTTCAGTAGCGTAAAAAACTTAACAAAAAGTTTTCACATACGTCTGTTAAATGGGACTTACAATATCGCTGGTAAAATTTTTAACAGTAGTATGGAAGCACCCTTATAAATAAATAATCCATGACTACTTATCAAACTTACATTACCTAGGTAAAATGATCCTTATGTCAGGGTATTACAGATATTAATAGAATGAATGACACTTGCACAAATTTTTGTGCAATATTCTATAAGAAATGTTATAGTAAATGAGTTACATATTTAACAGAATTTCACCTTTAGTCACAATTCTTCTGAAGTAATGACAGATACATTTCAGTTTTTCCAAGTTAGCATCTGAGTTAGTAGACTCGTAGAGACCAGACCTGAAAGAATTAAAATAAACTATAACAACATATTCTTTAAAACAAAACACCCTTACATATAGTTACGGTACTTAAAACTTACGAGTTGAAATTAATGAAAGGATATGAAGCATATTCAGAAGTCTTCTTAGTGGCGTTCCTTCTTGGAAATGTGCAGAAGAATGCATTGGCAAGGAGACTCGCTATCTGTTGCTGGGAGAGAGACACTGAGAAGTTCTTGTGTTGCCTGGAAAAAAATACCCATATTACAGTATATGTATAAGTATGTATGTAAATGAAGCTCTCTGTTCTTCATTTAAATTTGTATTTCCCGCGCATTGGATTCATATGTTTATATTATATGGGACTCATAACATAAATAGTAAAAAGTGAGTGTTAAATTGTACAAGGCCATTAAGTGCCGTAATGTGCACTTCTGCCTACCCGTTTGGGGATAAAAGGCGTGATGTTATGTTATGGATTCATACGTTATCTGTGGACAGCAAGCCTGTACTACTCTATGATTATGTGTGAAAAAGTTTGGGGAACACATTTCACTAATTATTATTAAAATAATAAGAAAATATTGAAGCAATAGCTTTTAATGTTGTTTCCCTTTTTACATAGCAATACTATAAGCAGTTGTTTTACTAATAACTAACATATTACATGTATTAAAGAAAAAAAGAATGAAATATAACACTTTATCATTGATAAAGTTAAATATATTTTAAACTCTATTTCAATACAATAAGGTTGAAAATCTATCAAATAAATACATTACTCAGCAACTGAATTTTGTTCTTATCAACATACCTACCTACCCAGAAGTAAAATGACGTCAGATATTAGAAGAGACAGATATGAATAACGGTTATCCCATTATCAGATAATATAAAGATTATGTTTATATGTTTTAATAAATCAACATTGCAATATTCAACTTTCGAATTTACCTGTAAAACCATTTAAGTCAAGAATACAATCAAACCTAAGGGACAAATGTCCTGACACGTGTCACCAGCGACGTTGGGTGAAGTAGCGCGACATTGCCGGACTTTGGTCGACAAGTCTGGTAACATCAACGTCACTGTGGATATAAGTTGCGCTTTGTCACCGTATATGTTAGGCGATATCGGCTGACTTCCCTCGACCTGTCGCCGATATATTATGTCGCAGGGCATATTGTCCTTGACATTCTTGGCTTAAGTATGAAATAAAACCAATAGATACTGTGAAACTGATAAATAAAAAACCTTACTTGAGTAAAGGTATCGGCGCCTGCACCAATTTAGGAAGGTCCAGAGCTAGTTTTATAACCTCTGGTAGAGTGACATCAAAAAAGTATTGAGTTTCCTCTTCTTCTAAATACTGTAAAAGAAAAAAAAACAGTAATGAAACATTTTATGTACAACTCACATATTAAATATCTATGTGTGCCTCGGAACCAGAAAAATACATACTTGGAGTACTTATATATACTTTCCAAAAGTTGTCGTAGACTTTATTTATTTTATTAAACCCTTAAATAAGAAGTAAATATAACTATGATTACACTAATATTATAAATATGAACATTCTTTGTTTAGATGTTTTTCTGTTAATCACGCTGAAACTACTGAACGGATTTTGACGACATTTGGTATACAGGCAGTATGGGCTGACTTAGGTGATAGGAATTTCATCCCTATTAAACGCTCTCATGGGATTAAAGAGAATCATACTCTACGCTGTTATTACTAGCTGCTACGGCAACAGCTAGTAATAACCAATTGGACAGGGTATGTAAAGTATCAAGCACTTGAATAAAAGTAAATATAACTACAGTCAAAACCGCTTACAACGACATCGTTTATAACGAACGAATCGAGTACAACAACGAAATTTTGAGGTCCAGTCTATTGTCTTATAAAGCACTTTCATTTTAATGTAAATAAATAAATAAATAAAGTCCAAATAAAAATAAAATAAATAAAATAAAGATATTGGTTATAGCGACTATTGGTTATAACTATCATAATTAATCGGTCCCTTCGATGTTGTTATAAACGGTTTGACTGTATCATTAATAATAATGTAGCAACAATTTATTAAGAAAAGAGACACAGTATAAACCTACCTCATCAAACAGTTTATGCAGTCCTCTGAACTTCCAAGTATTCCGGAAGTTAGTGTTGTAGCTGAGTATGGCATTGCCCAACTCATGGCTATTGCGTATTGGTTTTGATAGAGCATTCTCTATCATCTCCCAACGCTTCTTGAGATGGCTCACACCATTATTCTAAAATAAAAATTGATTATGTTAGCAACTAGAAAAACTCTTATAAACAAATGTAATTATGATTATCATAATAAATAAGACTGCATCGTTGGCCGAGTGGTCGCAAGCGCGACTGTCGGGCAAGGGGTCTCGGGTTCGATGCCCGGGTAGGGCAAAGTATAACTGGGTTTTTTAAAAAAAATCTCAGTAGTAGCACAGAGTCTGGAATTGTGCCCGGTATATGGCAATAGGCTCACCCCCTATTACATGGGACTCATAACATAAATAGTGAAAAGTGGGTGTTACATTGTACAGTGGCATAATGTGCACCTCTGCCTACCACTTCGGGGATAAAAGGCGTGATGTTATGTGTGTTAAATAAGATTTTTTTATATGTGATGGATTGACGTTTGGCCCATTACACCTGGTGGTAAGCGTTGATGCGGCCTATGATGGAGGATGTCTGCCCATACACAACGTATTCACTAGGGCTTTGAAGACAACCAGGTTATACATTTCAGGAAACACAGACTGGCAGAGTTCCACTCAACAAGCTTAGTATAACTTTTCATCATATCGAGGGGTAACGGACTATTTGGTTTAAGCGACATTTTGAGCGATATTGAGTTATTATATATATTCGACGAAGAAAAATTCGCTGATTCCGAATATATATAACTCAATATCGACCAAAATGTTGCTTAAACCAAATAGTCCGTTACCCCTCGATAAAATGTATCACATCTTCAAAAAGTAAACCATTCAAAAACCAAATTGATTACTATGGAGCTAACTAGAAGCTTGAAAACTATTAACGATCACCACAATAATGATAAGGTGATAAAAAAATGTTACAAGTTCATTTTAGCAAAAACATTCCATAATATAATACTTAGAATTATCAAATGGCCTTATCTATTAACTAACATGAACCGGTAATATAGGTACATTCAACAATGAAAAACATATTACGATGAGTGTTTGTTGAAAAACATATTATTATAATAATACATACTATGGTCAGTAAGGACACACAGAAACAGTATGTGGACAGCTAAGAAGATACTTACATCCACCACTGGGTAAAGACTCTGATCAGAACACGGCATCCGAACATGATCGGAGTCCCATTTGTCCTGTCCAATCTGCGGTTTCGGTGGCCTGTCAGCAGCCACACAGCCGCTACTCGGCACATGGTACAAAACTGCATGGTTGTGCGAAGGCGAAACGAGCCGGAATTCCGGCGCTCCCCACGGAGATTGTGACCCGTACAACTCACTCAAAGGCACTCCTCTCCAGTTATTGTCACTACCACCATCCATATCCATATTCATCGTACTTAAACACAGTGAATATTTGATACTCTTGGCTGTAAATAATGATATGTTTACTACGTTGCAAACCAATGCAATGGATGTTTTATTGCTTTGAAAACCCACTTATTATCGTTGCATAGAGTTTCAGTGATGGCTTTGAGATAAATCTCATTGAGTTTACTTGTTAATGTTATTAGTTTAACGACATTAACTTTTCCCGCTCAGCAACATGAATGAAATTGGATTAAAAATCCTATGAAGTATGAATCTATGAACACACACTCCGACTCACTCCGTTTCAAACCATCAGTATCGGTAATGTCAATATTGTCAATGTCAAAAGTACATCAAAGTCAACGTCAACGTCAATCCTAACGTAATGTTACTGAACTTTACAATGTCTTTGTAATCGCCATTTTGCCACTCAAAATTAATACTATTTTGCATAAGTTTAAGTAGAAATCACCTTTTTGAATGATGTTGCATGTAGATTATCTCAAGGTAATAAACAGCAAGCAGTAACAACAGGAAACTAAAAAATTTGCTAACCAATAAAGTAAAAGTACTCGAATGAAAACTAAACGCGATTATCAAATTGGTTTGTCAAAGTCGAATAAATCAAACTGTCAAATTTCAGCGTTGGGTACTCGGATTTTCTGTTGTAGTCTCGTGAATATTTTTCATTTTATTACTGTATTCACTGGCATTATACGTGAACTTATTTTAACTCTAAATAAGGCTATTTACTATCAAATATATTACGTTTATAAATATGAATTTGGAATTACTCGGTAAGTATGTTTTCATAAAATACTATGAACGTTGTACTGGTTGCATTGTTATTGTTTACATTACAAGTTAGTACATTATTTGTTGTTCTTTTTCAGAATCATTTGGACAGAACTATCCTGAGGTACGTTTACATTCCTTCTAGTTTCTTAGCACAGGTTTTAAGATACAAACACCTGTTGTTTAGTTGCGTCAAAAGATGTACTTTTTGTACCTACTTTTTACGCCGGCGCTATTACAAAATGCCAATCTTTTACTAATTTTACGCATCTTTTATAAAGTTTTGTAAAAAGAAAACTTTATCTTAAAAGTTTCTTATTAACTTTTTCCTTAACAAAATACTAAGAAAAGAACTTTTTCCCAGGAATTTGACGGTACCCTAGACTCAATATCGTTGGCAGCAACATGCGCATTCAATAGAAGAGGCACTTTACTAGCTGTGGGCTGTAATGATGGCAGAATATTTATATGGGACTTCTTGACACGAGGTATAGCTAAATCAATATCAGCTCATGTCTATCCTGTTTGCAGTCTTAGCTGGTCGAGGAATTGTAAAAAGGTAATTTTCATTATAGACTTATGAAAGTTAAAGTGAACTTGAATCTTATTCTTAACACAGTTTCTCACACAATCCATTCTCACAATGTCTTTACTTATCAGACTCATAATAATTCTGTCTTGTAACTTCCTTAAACTGTCAAACACCAAGCGGTCACCGGTGACCGCGGCCTATTGTTCTTTAATTGTGTCTATAAATACGGTACTCGACGAGTTAAAGAAAAAATTTGAAGGTGTTTCTATAAAAAAAAAATTATAATATGTGGGTAACCAAATGTAAACATTGAATCTATAACATAATGGTTTATTTTTGTCCACAGCTCCTTTCAGCGTCAACAGACCACAATGTATGTATATGGGATGTTTTGTCTGGAGAATGTGAACAACGGTACAGGTTCCCAACACCAATATTACGGGTACAATTTGATCCGAGGAATGACAAGAGATTCTTAGTGTGTCCAATGAGACATGCAGCACTGCTGGTTGATACTGATGGGGAACACAAAATATTACCAATAGATGATGATGTATGTTGTGCATCTTTTATTCATAGGTTAAGTCTGTTGTTACTGAGCCACATTTTAAGAATTCAACATTATACATATATCAGTTCAAAATGAAATCCAATAATAATATTATGTTCATAACAAAATCTTACCTTATTTTCAAGATACCTTAAGAAGTTTGATTCTATTTTGGTTGAAAAAAACTGATAAATGTTAGATGAACAATTTTAAATATTGAATTCATTGTTAAAGGCAACAATAATTTTAGATTTGATATTTATGTTTTTATAATAACTAATTATGAGACATGCTGAATTACTTAAAAAATATGATTTAGTTACGTAAATATTCTGAGAAAAGCTCTACTACTTTAAGTCCCAGAGGGACTCTTCCTCATAAGCAGCGTGCGCGGTCGCAGCGTTATCGGGCAGCTTACTGGGCATGTAGAAACTAGTAAAGCTCTTCTCACTATGTTTACATGTGTAACTCGTAATTTTTATAAATTATTTATTTTTCCAGGGTGACATAAATGTAATAGCGTCTTTTGACAGAAGAGGAGACCACGTGTACACAGGCAATGCCAAAGGAAAGATATTAATTCTAGATACTCAGTCTTTAGCTATAAAGGCTAGTTTTAAGATTACAGTTGGCACATCAAGCACCACTAGCATTAAAAGTATAGAATTTGCAAGAAGAGGAGAGTAAGTATCGGTTTTTTTACTTACGCATGAGTGACTGACTGCATGCATGCATAAGTCACAGATTTGATTTTAATATTTATTTGAACAACAGATAACCCATAGATCCCAAAGCGGTCACCGGTGTCCGCTCTCCACTACCTACATTATAGACCTTATTTCCAATGCTTATAGACTACTTTTATATGAACTTTAGGAAATGAATTTCAACGGGTTTATTGTCTAAACAAAAGAATGGGGTGTAATAAATATTTATTTATATTTCTTTACTGCAAAAAATTCAAAATCTAAGCAGAACAATTATATTTAGTTCCCAATAATACAAATTTTTGTACCAGTGTTAATTAAAATGTTTATAATTTCAGCTGCTTCCTGGTAAACACATCGGACCGTGTCATCCGAGTATACGACACTAACACAGTATTGAAGTGCGGCGTCAATGGGGAGCCAGAACCTATACAAAAACTACAGGATCTTGTCAATAAGTAAGAAACATCTTTTATCATATTTTTATTTATTTCATTTTACCATTAAAATATTGTTAAATAGGAGAAAGACCAACATACATGTATATATAATATGGAGTTTAAAAAAACAAACAAATCAAGCATTAAAACCTTGTGGTTTTAATGCTTTTCACCTTTCCGACTTTGGTCTGAGCACAAATCATATGGCTATGTTAAGTGTCCGCCATGTTTAATTTGTGTTTGTACTAAACATTTGCTATTTAAATGTGAAATCTTATTTATAACCTTAGGTATTAGGTAAGAGAATATAGATTTCAATAACTTATTAAATTGTTTAACTTATTCTATTAGAACAACATGGAAGAAATGCTGTTTTTCTGGCGACGGGGAGTACATCTGCGCCGGATCAGCTCGGCAACACGCCCTCTACATTTGGGAGAAATCCATCGGTAACCTTGTCAAGATCCTACACGGGACTAAAGGAGAACTGCTGCTAGACGTCGTTTGGCACCCTATTAGACCGATCATTGCTAGTATTAGCGCCGGTAAGTACCAAGTACTTTATTATAAAATTTCTAACTAATGATGCAAAGACTAATTGTTACTTAAAGGGCACACTTAGACCAGTACATCTAAATTGTAACTATCGCGAGGCATACTAAAGGATGCGCATGCGAATCATTACGTGCACGCGCAGTAACTAATACCATAATTATTACTAGTACCATTGACTTGAAATAAGAATAAAATTTATTTCAGAAAATATTACAATTTTGTTGTGTCCTGGATCTCACACTAGGATTGGGTACTTACCAACTAGTATAATTTAATATCTTTTTCGAACTGTTAAAAACGACAGTTTTCTATGAATTTTAGACGAGATTATGTGTATTAATAACGTCACTTTATCAGCGTCAAACAGCATACTTATTTCTTAAAAATTTGCCGGAAAAATACTAAAATTAACTTGGTCATAAAATCAATTAATGAAAGTGTGATTATTTCTAATATTATACTGTATTGAACTGTCGAAATAATTTATTTTTGATTAAGGAAAGTACCCAATTACCTGTGCCGTGAGGAATAGAAATTATAATCATGTAACCATTTAACACCTACAGGTGTAGTATCAATATGGGCACAGAACCAAGTGGAGAACTGGTCAGCCTTTGCTCCAGACTTCAAGGAACTGGACGAGAATGTGGAGTATGATGAACGGGAGAGCGAGTTCGATGTAGAAGACGAAGACCGCTCCGTAGACCAGGCTGGAGAGAGCCATGATGATGAGGAAGTTGAGGTATGTGATGTATGTATGAAATGGTAAACAGTGAGATGTACTAACTTCTTTTTTATTTCTATTTGAATATTCTTTTTTTATATAAAAAATCTTTCTTTTTCACTTTTCTTGTGTAGTAAAAAAGGACTTCTTTTATCAAAATGAATGGTTTTTCTTTCTTTCTTTCTTTTCTCGGAATTTTTGATTCGATAAAAGTGCTGTACAGTCAATTCGATTTAAGTTTTACGTTCGGAATCTATGTACATGAAATTAATATAGTAACATAACAACATCACGCCTTTTATACCCGAAGGGGTAGGGCAGAGAGGTGCACATTAGTACGGCAGTTAATGCCGCTATACAATATAACACCCACTTTTCACTATTTCTGTTATAAGTCCCATGTAATGAGGGGTGAGCCTATTGCCATATACCGCGCACAATATCAAACTCCGTGCTACTACTGAGATTGTTTTTAATCACCCAGTAGTACTTTGCCCGACCCGGGTATCGTACCCTTTGCCTGGTAGTCGCACTTACTGCCCACTCGGCCATTGTACTAGTTTAGCAAATATTTTTCATTTTAGTGTGAATTCTAAATGATAAATGAAATTTTGATAAAACGCATCTTCGGTATCAAACAGGTGGATGTAACTACTTGCGAGCCTGTAGCAGCTTTCTGCAGTTCGGACGAAGACGGAGAGGACGAACAAATGCTGTCCTTCCTACCCATTGCACCTGAAATCGAAGACCCAGAGGTAGGTGAAGCGATAGAAGTAAGTTGTCAAAATGTTCTACATAATATAAATAAGTCATTTTCCGCCGTCTTTGTGTGTAGATATAATGGTTTAAGAATAAAGTTTATTATATAACAACTCCGAATGTAACGCTTATAAAGCCGCGTGCAATAGCTAGTTTTCTATTTTCGAAAACTAATTATCACTAAACATTTGAAATTATAGACTGAAATAATGACCACATTAGCTAAAACTTTTCACGTGAAAATAAATTGATATTAGCTTTACACTAATGACTATTTGAATTAGGAATTAAGTCTTAACACACCTTATTCAGCCATTATATCAAGCTAGCGATCACTTAAACATCGAGACAATTTTCAGTGTCTTGTAAAGTCTTGTTCAACATTCATTATCATCATCTACACTCCATTTCAGTCCACTGCTAGACTTGAACCTCCTCTACATAAGAGGGTTTGCCAGAACCTGCACACTTGTTAGGCGGATTATAAAGAAGTAGTCATATACCTATTCAAATAAATATGTATATGTTTGTCTTCCAGGATGGATGGGCAGCCACACAAGAGACGGTAACACCGACAGAAACTCCGGAGAAACTGGAGCCCGCTGCTAAAAGGCCGAAGAGCAAAACATACGATATATCGCTCAAGATAGCGCCACCTGGTGAGTGTTCAAAGACCCGTCTTTCTTTTTCATTCGCGTGAAAATTACTAATCAAATATGTAAATTAATTGGGATCTACGCATTACATCCTCTTACATTCTCCTCTTTAACCTTTTGAACGCCAGAGCAAAAACGCATGAACTTGCCCTCAACGCCAGGCCACAAATTCACCGCAAATACCTACGAAAAAAATAGGGATTCCAAAACTTCATCGATAATCAATTTTATTTTCATTTTCGTCTTTAATTTCGAAATATAATGTCCTTATAACATTGAAATTTAATTCAACATTACATTTCTTCCTATTAAAGTAATAGTTATACACTATTTACAGACTTGTATAATACCGTAATAACAGATATGAGACTACAATATATTTAAATATAATAACTGTAGGTACAACACTATTCTTGATCAGCTGTCTTCATATTGTGACCATGGCGTGGACGGCCCGCCATTTTAATAACTACTTCGCTTCCGAAATAAGGATGTGGCAACGTAATATCTCGTTTATCGATGTTCTAGTACAATATTATTTTATAATAAATGAAACACGTTTTTTAAATCAGATTTATAATTCCGAATGTAACAGGTACTTAAAAATATATGATTGAAATAGGTTAAGAAGGTAAATAAAAACTATGAAAAAATAGAAAATTTTAATAAAATGTTATACAATATGTACTATGTAGACATGTTTTTAAATAAAATATTAAGTTCTATAAACCTGGCATAAAAAGTAACAAATTAAAATAATTAACGATTATATATAATTATCACAATTACCAATCAGTCTTATACTAATAAATCTTTTGAATAATAGAACAAAATTATACAAAATCTACAATGCAACCTGCATTCTGATCATCTAATTCGCTGGGTGCAAAGTGGGTGGTGGGGACAGTGAAATCGATCTCAGCGCGCACCGTGGCTAAAAAAGGAACTTTTGGCAGACTTTATTCCACGAAGTTATAGGTAAATATGGAGCCCACACTTAGAATAAAAGTTTCGAGTCAAATACTCTCGCTCCTATTCTCTGAGGCAAACTGAGGTCTGATCTCTTTTTCTAGTGTACTACAGAAATTGAAAATTCTTCGTCATCTGAGACTCCTTCTAATATGCGAAGAAGTTCTTCCGTAGTCATTAAATTCCCACTCATTATAATAGTCACTTAATATAAATCTTGAACTCGATATCACAAGTAAATTAATCATAAATATTATTCATTCACTTCACTAATTTCTGGTCGCCGCGCTTGTGACGTCACGATATTGTCTAGTCGTGACCATGGCGTACAGGGTACTGATAATTCGGGTTGCGTTAGGGATGCGCTTGAGTTGGGATTAGTGAATATCGAAATTCGACCCAACCAAATTTTATTTTTGACTATGTAGCTTATTGAATGATTTTTAAGACTGGTTTTATAAAATTAATGCTGCTTTATCCTAGTACCAAATTATACCTAAAATAATATATTCCAGAGGAAAGTTTCGAATCGATCTTTGATTTGAAATAATGATATTATCCAACATGCGCTACATCACTAGCGGTCACGCAGTTATGACTCTGGCGTGTGAGGACATTCTTTTTTCAGAGTTTATTTCTTTCTTTTTAACGTAAAATTTCTCAATATTTATAATGCAATTTAATTAGTTTAATGGAAATAAATAAATTTTGGACCTTCTATTTTACAGGTATATAAATAAATAGGCATTAAAGTAATGTTTAAATAGTTTATTTCGTGTTTTAATGTACCGCTGTTTTTGTCACATATTTGTGTCGTTGGCGCTCAGGGACAGTTTTCGCTTGTCACGTATTTGTGACCCTGGCGCTCAAAAGGTTAAAATGTAATACTATTTTTTAAATAACTATTTTTTATATGACGTATTTAGATATTTGATTATAATAAAATATATAAAAAGCAGTAGCTCATCAGTAACGGGAAAAATCCAAGGTACCGGTCATAGAAAGGAATTTCCGGACAATAAGCGCCGTTTCCAGAAGTACTGCTTTCTGCATCAGGCCCTGGACCCAACCATCTAACGCTAGCCTACTCAGGTATTGGTCGAGCCTTGCAATGAAGCCATCGGGAGATACGACTAACGGCACAATGACTGCTGAATCCCGATCCCACAATATGTCGACAATCTTATGAGCTAAATCAAGATATTTACTTGCTGTATCTTTTTTAGCTTTCACGAGATTATCGTCTTGTGGGATTGTTATATCAATTATCATTGTGCGACGGCTTGGTCTATTTATCACTATAATGTTTGGTTTACTTTCTTTTCAGAACAACCTTTATCATTTGGTGGCAAGAACAAGACAGCGGCAGGAAGTAAAAAAGTTGCGGGTAGACCTCGAAAATAAAGTATTTTATTAAAACTTGGATTCTAGTATTTGTATATACTAAATAATGACACCAATGCAATGTATTGAAGAGCTATTATTTTGTTAGTGATGCATTCCATATCGACCTGAAATAATTTTATGCATATTGATACGCACTTTGTATTTTTGTCTGTTAATCGAACCTTTAGCAGGTCGATATTGATGCATCCCTAAAATAATGTTATGGACATAAGAATTGAAATATGAAATGATGAAATTGTACAAATAAAACACGTTACTTGTAGGAGAAAACATTTATTTTTTCAAAAAAAATGTCGTCGATCTCTTTAATAAAATTCGTATTCAGAGTATACTGTAAGTACCTATCGGTCGTATATAAATAAATCTCACTTAAACATAACCAAAATAATAATACATTCGCCTATTCGAGACCAAAAAGACTCAAAATATATAATATTTACTTCCTATCGCTAAACTAAATCTCCTACGCTAACACATAATATCGTACAGGGCGAGCCGCCGGGCGCGGCGCATAAATATATAATTATCTATCGCTCGGAGTGTCAGTATGTACATCGCACGGCCTACTGGCCGCGTCACGCGTCCATGTCGTCCTCGTGTTGGCTGGAGAAGTAGCTCACGAGCCCGCCGAACACAGAGCCACCCTCGCCGCCCTCCGCCTCGCCCAGCCCCGGCCGCGCGGGGCCGACGCCTGCCTCCGTCTTCACCGTCACCAGCGGCGCGGCCGACAACTCGTCTCGTGCGGCGGGTGACGTCCGCGCTACTTCAGTGAACTGTGTCGCGAAGGGAGCCGCGCCCACTGGGCTGCCCCGCCCTGCCGCCACTGCCACGTACGGCGGACGTAACATCGGCCGCAGGTGGGCGGCCAGGAAACCCGGCCCGGGGGGCACTGGACCATGGGGAGGCCCATGTGTCGGGGGGCCGTGCGTTGGCGGCCCATGTGTAGGAGGACCGAGCGGTGGCGGGCCGTGTGTAGGGGGCCCATGGGCTGGCGGGCCGTGAGGAGGGGGTCCGTGCGTAGGAAGCCCCTGCGCTGGTGACCCATGAGGAGGGGGTCCATGCGCTGGCGGACCGTGCGGCGACGGACCATGTGTAGCAGGCCCGTGCACTGGAGGCCCATGTGGTGGCAGGCCGTGCGGTGGCTGGCCATGTGTGAGAGGCCCCAGCGGGGGCGGCCCGTGTGTGGGTGGTCCGTGTGCAGGGGACTCTAAAGAGTGTGGCCTCTCTAATGAATGAGGCCTCTCTAAAGATTGCGGTCGCTCTGACGACGCGGGACTTCGAGGTCGTGCTTCAGCTGCATAAGGATTGAGTAGTGGAGGAGGCCCACGTGGTCCAGACGGCCCTGGACGGTCTGCTGGTCCAGCACCTGGCGCATATGGTCCGTATGGCCCATACTGCGGGGCGTACGGTCCGAGCGGGTACCTCGGTCGTCGGTCTTTGTTCTCTGTATGTTTTATTTTAGGATGTCTGGGTGGCTCATCACGTGGCGGGGTTGGTTCCCGCGCGGGTGACCCAGCAGGAGAATTATATTCTGGTTCAGTTTTAACCTCTGCCTTAATTCGCACAGGCGGCTCATGTTCTGCTGGTGGCGTAGACCGCGGGGGACCTGATGGTGATGCAGAAGGTGGTTCTCGACCTTGTAGTGCTCCAGCGAGAGGTCCCATTAAACCTGGAGCCATACCGCGTAATATAGCGAGTGGTCCGCCTGGGCCTGCGAGGCCAGAGTTTGGTGGCCCATGTGGGCTTGAAGTAGGAGGCATCGCACCGGGCGGGCCAGGTGCGTGCGGTCGGTGCATGCCCAGCGGCCCGTGGCCGGGGTGCGGGGGCCCGTGGGGAGGGAGCCCGTGACCGGGGGGAGTGGGGCCATGGCCCGGGGGAGGCCCGTGTCCAGGCGAGGGTCCATGACCAGGAGATGGACCGTGTCCGAGAGGTGGACCGTGACCAGGAGGAGGAAGGCCATGGCCCGGAGGTGGGCCATGGCCTGGAGGTGGGCCGTGGCCTGAGGGTGGGCCGTGACCTGGAGGTGGGCCGTGGCCTGAAGGTGGGCCGTGGCCAGGAGGTGGGCCGTGGCCTGGAGGTGGGCCGTGGCCTGGAGGCGGCCCGTGGCCAGGGGGAGACGGTCCATGGCCTGGCGGTCCGTGCGCGGCGGCGGGCGGCCCGTGTCCGGGCGGGGCGTGCTGCAGATGTCCGGCGGAGTAGTGCTGCGCGCGCGAGTAGTAGTGCGGGAAGGCGCGCGCGGCGGGCGCCAGCGCGGGGTGCAGCTGGTACATGGACACGGCCGGCCCGCGCGCGCCGTACGACGCGCCGCCGCCGTACATCATCGGACCTCTGCACAACAAGAACAACGTCATACAACACGGACGATTTAGCTACGTCTAGATTTCCACCGACATGACGATATTGTGCTTAAGTGGAAGTCATTAAGATTGAGGTCTCTAACTCTTACAAAATCCTACATCACAACTTTTTAAGGTACAGGTACCGACTACTCCAACACCGCACCTACAGTCGCAGGTAACGATAGGACACCGTCGAGACAGGCATCGACTTGGATCGTGCGTCCTCACGCCCCCAGTCGGCCAACACTGATATTTAAGATACACAGAGGCTTACACAGAACTACGATAAATAATTCTATGGAAATTATTGAATAACTCACCTGTATTGTTGGTTAATCATATGCGGCATCCGTGTGATGATGCTCGGCTCCTCCGTGATCGGCTTGAACGGCTGCGGCGATCCAGCTACTGAAAGCGTACCTGGATATTATAACATTGGTTTTAAGAAGAAACAATACAGTAAAGCTCAATACTGAAGTAAAGGTACTGTCAGTGAAGGTTTCATGTAAATCAGTATTTTTATCCTCCTAAGAGGTAGAAAGCGAGTCCTAATAGAAGTGACCTTATTACTAACCAAACTTATAGAAAATTGGAAAATATTGATGCTAGACAATGGAATCTACTCTGAAAATTCTAATCCCCACTTGAAACTACCCACTCAACAATGCGGTCAACTGTTGTAACTTGTATATAAATATTGATAAGTAATCGTACCTTCCCTGAGCGCGGCGACATGGTCGGGTCGCGCGTGTTGTCGCTCCTCCCCTGTTAGTACTCCGCGTAGTTCCGCACGGACCTGTGAGATTGTTAAAATGTAATAGAACTAAGTAACAAAATATATATCAGCGCCATCTATGAGAATGTTTGTGTCAACATGAAGTGTTTTGTTGTACCTGTAATTGCCTATATAAAAGGTGAAATAAAAAGTGGGTTTTAGTCTGTTGCGAGAATTCATACGAGTTTCATTTTATAATAGAGATATTATCGCATTTTGTAAAAACTCAAGTCACTATAACACTAACTCTTCTACTTCTTTCTTATTCTTCATTCTTCTTATTTTCTCAGACCCACCCACAAGCACACTCTGCATAATGTGTTCTTCCACTATCCCCTATCAAACATCCTACTATCACGAACTTCGTGTTCTTTCAAGTAAATCTGACACGAGTGAAATCTACTGAAAATAGTTCAAAAATAATGTAGCAAGCCTCAATAAAAATAATAATTACCTGTAGCCTCGGTGTGGTAGGAAACCGGGGTTGTTCATGGAAATCGTTAGGCATATGCGGCGACGGTCCAAAGCCATGCGGCCTTGGGCCCGGTCCGCTAGGCCCACCAGGTCCGATGGGTCCACCAGGTCCTATCGGAACACCAGGTCCGCCAGGACCACCATATGACATAGGAGGACCAACAGGGAACTCCATCTTCTCTTTCTTAATTCTCTTGTTCTCTTGCATGGCTAGTCGAGCAAGTCGTTTCTCCTCCCGTTCTTTAGCCTTCATTTCTTTCATCTTTTCTTTTTCTTCTTTCTTCTGTAATCTCTCTACTTTCTTTGCTTCACGCTCGGCTCGTTTCGCTTCGCGTTCTTGTCGCTTTTTCTCCCTTTCAACCTGTAAAATTATTTATATGTCACTAATGTTAATGATTGACCATATTTGTCTATTGTTTGGTGCAAACACCGGGTGTTTGGTGCAAACACTGGGTGTTTCGTGTGGTTAGAAAACGGCTTAGTTGGTCCAAACTTACTTGATTAGGTTTCATTGGTGAGCCGTCCGTTCTGAGATCTGTATAAACATAAATTGAAACTTGTCAAGCTAAAATTATATACTTCTACACAGATACTATCCCTATATCTTATTATTTACAATCCTTATTTACGAAGACGTTACTAACCTAAAAATGCACTAATTCAGATTGTTAGAAAATATCTGTCGAAATTGTAGAACTACAATTTGAGCATTGAATTAATAATATATGAAGAGAAATAGTACCTTTAATTTTAACTCCGATAAGTTTGGCGAGTGCATCGTCGCTAGCGGGTGCATCACCGGGAGTACTGGGCCCCGAGCTCGGGCCCCCGCCGCGACCGCGACCGCCACGCGGGCCCCTGCCATAACCATCACTTAAATATAATTAGCACCGAAAGTATAACTAAACATTAATGAAAATGGTACGAGTACGTGGTATCAAATAAAATTTAAATAAATTACAACTATGAAATATTTCATACATTAATGGCTTTCTGCTCGCATTTTCACCGAATTCTTAAGTGTGGGAAAGCCATGCTTCGGCATGAATGGGCCGGCTCGACCGGAGTGATACCACGGCCTCACAAAAACCCGACGTGAAGCAACGCTTGCGTTGTTTCGTCGTGTGAGTGAGGTTACCGGAGGCCCAATTACTCTCCCCTTCCCCAATCTCCCCAATCCCTGAATCCCCAACGATCCTCAACTCCTAATCTCCAAAAATCCGGTAACGCACTTGTAACGCCTCTGGTGTTCCAGGTGTCCATGGGCGACGCCGATTGCTTACCATCAGGTGATCCGTCTGCTCGTTTACCGGCTTATGCCATAAAAAAAGAAAAATACTCAAACCTTCTCATAAATCTCTTTCAAGTTAATGTAAACAGCATACAAATATTAAGTAGCAGTTTCTGAATTTACTGCAAAGAGATGGAGAAGGACTAACTTTGTTTAATAACAAGTAAGGTTGAGCTCACAGATGTAGCGAGGACCAGGAGTGGATGGAAATGATCCATTTATTAATGATGATAATGATGATTGTGAATGTTTACCTGCTCCCACGGCCGCCCCTGCTCCCTCTACCGCGAGCTGGACGCGCGTTCAGGGCTGCTTGGGCATCTGTTACAAACAATATTCTAGTTACCACAACTTTCTACATAAAACATGCTTTGTTTTCATTTTGTGGCGACACATGACAAATGACAAAAGTCAGATGACGCGCATAAACGATGCCAATAAACATGGATAGAAAATCCCCACAAGTATTTTTTGTTTATATTTGATGGGCCGACGTTTGACCGCTATCTAGCCTAGTGGTAAACGATGACGCGGTCTACGATGGAGCACGTCATCCAATAAGCAACCTATTCACTCGGTGATTCCTATCTCGGGGACCTATTAACAAGTAACGGTGCGCAGAAAGCCCGCCAAACACGATCATTTCGTCAGGTCGGAGAATCCTCCTTTTCCGATACTAGGGAACTTTACCCTCTGTTCTCTAAAATTTCAAAGTTCAACACAATAGCACTACAATCTATCGCACGCTTTAAATGTTAAAAATAAGACTATTCTACACGATTAAACCAATATCTTTGAAATACTGACACAACTTACTAAGGTGTGCTTGTAACTCCTCAGTCTTAGCTTTAGTGACATCTTCGGGTAACTTCTCAAGAGGTACCACCGCGGTCTTCTTGATCAAGTCACTGAGAGCCTTCTTCTTCTCCTCGCTAGACTGGTCTATTTCTTCCTCTTCTGCCTTCTTGCGTTTAGCCCGTTCATCATCGGAGTCCGTTGATGCGTCCGTATCGATTTTGTACTCGTCCGAACTGTCCGGCATGTGTTTGCCGCTTGATTTGTGCATTTCCTGTGTAAGACAATGATCTGTATATGTGTATGAAAATAATAGTGTTGGGCCGAAACCCGTTAACCACATGACATTGTTAAACCAAAACCACGTGTAAAGAAGTTTTGGACGAGTTTTCATTTGAAATGTAAAGACCAGTTTCTTTCTTTGATATCAGAAAAAATATAAAGCAATTCTCTTCAGGCAACTCAATCGCATAGTTTCTTTATAAAAGGAACTTATAAAAGATTGTTTATAAACAATTGTAGCACAGGATTAATTTATTTCTATCAAAATACAATCTACTAAGAACTTTTCTACTTACATCCTCAGACTCGGTATTGGGCATCTCAGTATAGTTAATCTTCTTCTGTCTTGTCCTATGTTTGGGAGACCAATCATTGGCCCCGTCATCCCCACTTAGACCCCCGTACGTGACCCGGGCGCGGATCACGTTACCTTCCGCATCGTACTGCGTTAGACCACTGCGCTTACGTCTCTTCTTTGATTTATCACGCCGCTTCACCTTTGGAGGTCGGGATTTTGATTTTGACCTGTGAAAAATTATTATTATTATTTAAAACCACAACTGCTTGAAATAGAATTCAAAGACAATTAATCTTTGCCAGATTGCATAGTAAAAGAGGAGTATTTTAGGCATACAAATCTAAGTGATACCTAAAACGACTGCTGCGCCACCTGTCTTATATTTCTGCTGAAACACAAAAGCACGAGTTTGCTAATCTATATAAATAAAAATGAATTTCCGTTGTTTAGTCTCGCTAAAACTCAAGAACGGCTGAACCGATTTTGCTAATATTGATCTGGAAATGTTCGTTGAAGTCCAGGGAAGGTTTAAAACACGCGAAAATATTTTTCAAGAGGTCCGAAGTATGGCGGGTCAGCCAGTCAACACTAACGATTCCACCTGACCTATTATACCTATACTATAAATTACCACAACACAACATCACGCCTTTATTCACTAAAGTCTAGAATAGGTCATATTAAATTAAATACCTAATTTTGTACAGCCAAAATTTCATGGTGTATACTCAAGAGGACTTACTTAGATTTGGATGACCATTCCTTGGCGCCGGCTGATTCACTGGAACTGTCTTCGAACTGGCCTTTTTTCTTCTTTTTAACTTCTGGCGAAGATTCTGTCAGTTTCGTACGTTCGCCTAAACAAGAAAAAACTATATATTACACCACCAAATTTTAGTTAATAGTCCTAAGTAATATGGGGCGATTCTATCAGTGATGTATAAAATACCCAATACAAAGCGCAAAATACTTTTAAATTAAGTATTTCAGATACCAGATACAAAATACTATTGACATTTGTATCTGAAATGCTTTATGAAAAAAAATTTAAAAGTATCTTAACCGCAAAAGTATTAAGTAAGTACAAAAATACTAAGATATAGAACGAAAGATATAAAATGGAATTTGAAAAAAGTATTTCAAATACAAGATCGAAATCCGTATCTTGTATCTGTATTTCAGATACTTGTAGCTCAAATAAGTCACATCTCTGGATTTTATTGCTAAACATCGAGCACAATATTGGAAAGTCAGCTTAAATATTTTAAAGTTTTCATCTGTCCAATCACGAGGCATTAGAATAATACAACACTTCTATTTACCTTTCTTATCAGATCTGCACGTCCGTCGAATAGGCAGCGAGTCCGAAGACCTGGAATCACTGGAGCTACCTCTGTCATTCGATGACGATATGTCCTCGGAAGATGACATACTTAAACCACTGCAAAAATACAGGTTATCGGTTAATATAGAATTGATCACCAACTTTGTAACACTCACTTTTCACTATTTATGTTATGAGTCCCATGTAATAGGGGGTGAGGCTATTGCCATATACCGGGCACATTTCCAGACTCCGTGCTACTACTGAGATTTTTTTAAAAACCCCAGTAATACTTTACCCCAACCGGGAATCGAACCCGAGACCCCTTGCCTAGCAGTCGCACTCGGCCACTCTGCCAACGAGGCAGTATAGGAAAAGGAATAATCATATTTTAGTCGCTATAGATACTGTCACTACGATGTCTGTATTGAAATAAGAAATTGCTTTACTGAGACTATAATAATAGTGGAAAAAGGCACCCAAGTGAAACTAAGTCTAGACACCCAAATATTTATAAAAAAAATTGAAGGTACTTTTCCTCCATAAATATAACAGAAGCCTTAGTACCAAGTTTGATTTACGTTTAAAGTATTCGAAACGAGTACGCGTTCAGCGCTCTGATTGGTTGGTTCATTGGCGCCGCAATGAACCAACCAATCAGAGCGCTGAACGCGTACTCTTTACGATTACTTTAACTCTTTGAGTACCGTCATTATAGACACAATTAAAGAACAATAGGTTGCGGTTACCGGTGTCCTCGCGGTGTTTGACAGTTCAAACATAAAACACACTCGTACTAAGACCTCAATACATACCCAGTATCTTTGAAGTCCTCATCGGTTTCGTCATCGTCCTCCGAAGGTACCTCCAAGGAGTTCAGTTTCCTCGGCTTCCGACGTTGCTTCTTCTTTGTTTTTCTCTCAATGGGTTTGCCCTAAAACCGGTTCTACTATTAAACTTAAGCCTAAATTGAGACTGCCTCAAGATTCGTATTACGTTTAGAAACACTAAACACCAGTTTAGCATTGTGCATGAGAATCGAAACCACAACTACCTCATGAGAAGGGCTTTTTACCCAGTTACAGGAAGAAGGGAGTTCTTGTTCTTCCTTCTGGTCCTTCCTCCCTTCTAAAGGAGAAAGTGGGTTTTTCTGACAATTTAAAGGAGAATAGAGATTCTTCTACCATTTTTAAGGGAAAGTTTCAAATATGTCACCTGTTCTAAAGCCTCTCGTTCCGCCTTCATCTTCTCTTCCTCAGCTGCCTCAATGATAGTTGATATGTCCTTGCCTCGACCCTGGTTACCCGCGCTGGTTGTAGCTTCTACGTATTCCTCCTATAAAAACGTGAATATTTTATTGCTGTGCTATTTCACTATATAGTATAAAACAAAGTCGCTATCCGCCGTCTGTCTGTCCCTATGTATGCTTAGATCTTTGAAACTATGCAACAGATTTTGATGCAATTTTTTTTAGTTAATTAGATAGTGATTCTTAACCACTCGAGCGTCCTTATGAGCACCCGGTGGATCATAAGAAAAAATGCCCCAAATGTCACGTGTGCACCCGTTGGATCATAAGGAACGCGGACGCTCGACGGATTAAGGATGGTTTGTATGTATAATACATGCATATTGCACCCGTGCAAAGCCAGGGTGGATCGCTAGTATTTTATAATCCAATGTGTAATTAAACTACGATTTCCAATCAGCCAAGCAAGCATAAAGATGCAAACCCTCTTATAATTATGTTAATACAAATGGCTGTTGGGCCAGTGTCATTACGAGTACGTAGTGACCTTGATGGCGGAGCTGATGAGTCGGTCGTACTCCTGGCTGCGGTAGCTGACGGGCAGCTGCCTCCGCGCGCGCAGTCTGTACACCGCGCCCTCCGACGACGTCGACGACCACTCACTGCTGCCACTGCCGTCTGACACAGACAAAAACAATTATTAAACCTTAACTCAAACAGAAAGCAAATGCCGAACCAATAATAGGTAGATTCTGAACCTAAAGAATGTTTGTAGACTTAATTGCGGATAACCACTAGAAATGTGAATTATGTATCTTGCAGTTTGAGACATGAGAGAAGTACCAATACTAATTGATGGCTATTTATAATGATGAGATGGGCACGGAAAATTAAACTCCAAAACTTTCGCTTAGCAGAAGCACTTGCTCTAACGACAATTTATATTACAAATACGCAATACATCAAAATTACTCACCGCTAGATTTATCTTCATCATCTTCTTCTTTCGGAGCTTCCTTCTCATCCTCAGACTCCTTCTCACTCTTGGGCTCTGGTTCCTCTAGCTTCTTCCGTTCCCTCTCCGCTTCCACTGTCACTACCAGTTCGTCGTACTTTACTAGTTCTGCTTCTAACGATGCTATTAACATGTCCTGAAAGGATTTTTATTATTAATTTTCGTAAAAAGTCAGAGTTACAAAACGATAATATGTGTAGGATGTTTTAGTTCTATGTTAGTTTAGACATACATTGCATAGAATAATAAATAAGATGCTTTTTAATATGTTGATATATTGCATCGTTTCCCAATCTGTGGTCAGTGGATCCCTGGGGGACCGCAAGTTTATGTATGGGGGTCCGCGATGTCTTCTCTGGACCACACATAAATCGCTCATTAAATGCGAAAGGGTCGCAAAATCACAATATATTACATTGTAATGAAAATCTCCAAAATTAGTTCATATAAAAGTAGTACTCTAAACATCGGAAATAAGGTCTATAATGGAGTTAGTGGAGAGCTGTCACCGTTGACCGTTTTTAGATTGAGCAGTTAAAAAGATCTTAAATACAAGACGCCTTAAAGTCAGTTCAAATTTTGACCAAGCACTACACAAAATAATGAGTTTTTTTTTTTAATTTAAGTGGGGAGAGCCATGTTTCGGCACGTATGGGTCGGCTCGACCGGAGTGATACCACGGCCTCACAGAAAACCGATGTGAAGTAACGCTTACGTTGTGTTTCGTCGTGTGAGTGAGGTTACCGGAGGCCCAATTACCGTCCCCTTCCCCAATCTACCCAATCCCTGAATCCCCAACGATCCTCAAACTGCTAATACCCAAAAAGCCGGTAACGCACTTGTAACGCCTCTGATGTTCCAGGTGTCCATGGGCGACGCCGATTACTTACCATCAGGTGATCCATCCGCTCGTTTACCGGCTTATGCCATAAAAAAAAATGAACTTAAAACAACATAATTAAGAACAGTTTTGTGAGCAACGTACATGGTTACAGGGCGGACAGAACCAGTCCCCCTCGGGCACGACGAAGAGCACGGGCTTGAGACAGCTGGCGTGGTACCCCGCGTCGCACGCGTCGCACAGCAGGATCCACTCCGCCTGCTCGCCGCTGCCGCAGCGCTTGCAGAAGCCCTCCGCGTCCTCCTTACCTACGACCATAATGCATTTATAGCTACACATAACATAACATAACGGAAATTAATGTATAAGTTTCTAAATATAAATCTCAATAATATAGGAACTATCTAAGTGATTAATATTGTAATAGGTTTAAGTTTCTTTTTTGTATCCTAGAATGTAAGTATTTTGCCTCTTGCTGTAAACTTTCATTTTAATGTAAATAAATAAATAACGCCTTTTATCCCCGAAGGGGTAGACAGAAGTGCACATTATGCCACTGTACAATGTAACACCCACTTTTCACTATTTATGTTATGAGTAATAGGGGGTGAGCCTAATGCCATATACCAAGCACAATTCCACACTCCATGCTACTACTGAGAATTTTTTAAAAACCCAGTGATACTTTGCCCTACCCTGGAATCGAACCCGAGACCCTTGCCCGGCAGTCGCACTTGCGACCACTCGGCAAACATAATTACGTGTTACAAAATCTTATTAGAATCAGAAATGATGTAAAGCTGATAAATTATCATGTTTTTATTACACATGGCAGATATGGCAGATATGGCAATAGGCTCACCCCCTATTACATGGGACTCATAACATAAATAGTGAAAAGTGGGTGTTACTTCTATGTGCACCTCTGCCTACCCCTTCGGGGATAAAAGGCGTGATGTTATGTTATGTGTTTTTATTACACAAATACCTACCTCCTCGTCTCGACTCACGACATTAACAAATAAACAAAAAGTTTCATACAATTCTATGCAGTCATTCGTGAATGATGGGCAAATACATATATTACAGCAATATTTTTTTAGGGGTGTAGATATAACGATAGAGATAATTCGTGAGATCCAGAATAATGCTACACGATTCTGACATGACGGAACGACTAGAAAAAGAGAGCCAAATAGAATAATAGTTTCTATTCTTAAATACTTACTTTCTTGTAAAGTACGAGCTCGTTTAAGAGGTCCAACTGGTTCTCCACTCTCCAAGTCAGATTCCGGTGAAAATTCATGGTCAGATTTGTTGAAAACAACTGTTGAAAGAAATACATTGTATTAGACATCGGTTGAATACGTGCTTCGGAGCTAATGCGATTAATCGCCGTATTAAGGTTAGTATGGATGCTAATCTAATCATATTATTAGGTACTTAAAGTAGATCATTGAGTGAAGTGTTTATACATTTTGCGTAGTTTTCGAATTGGTGAGTTTGAAACAGATTTATCAAAGTTGGTAGAAATACTGCCATAACCATCGGGTAGTTAAACAAAAAAAGTAATGCAAATTGCAGATTTACATGCGGAATTCTCGTCTTTATCTTGACTTCACTAGAGCTTATAGTTACCTAACAGCGATCGTAATCAGAAGTGAGGTACATACATGTGACTGTATGACATGTAACCATTCACAACAGTCAGCTTTGATTAAAATTCTTCATTCAAAAATTCGTGAATTTCCATTCTACTTACGTTCAGGCTCCTCGTGCAGCTCGAACAATGGTTCATCGGAGTCGGAGTCAGGTTCAGGTCCGGTGGAGTGGTCGGAGCGCCACTGGGACTTGCGTCGTCGTCGCTCCCCGTCAGAGCTACTCGCTCCACTGGCACGCCATTCTTCTTCTCCTTCTTCTTCTTCTTTGTTCTAAAATTGGACATTAATATACGTCATATTATAGAAAATAACATTAATAAAGTTTTTAACAGGTCCATAAGAGAAAAAATGTTTTGGTCAATGCAACTTATGGAAGCTTGGCTCTTCTATAGAAATCAATCAAAAACGCATCAAGTGCAATGAGATTTCCACCGTTTTATTACAAGCATCATACGTTGTGCATGGTACACACGGCCACACATCAATCTATACAAAACTGGTATAGCGTCGCATCATCTTTCCACACATTAAACGTTCAGTTTATACTGGTTATGTAAAGGTCGATGTGTAGCCGTGTGTACCATGCTCTGAATGAGTACTAAGAGTTTGGAAAATCAAAGTTATTGCCCGACATATAATATATAGTATATCCAGACATGTCGACCAAGTCCAGCAACGTCGCGGTACTCCACCAAACGTCGCCATTTGTGCCCTAGTGTATCCTTGGCTTTAAGCTAATCGTTTAAGACTTCGCCCAAACCAAACACAAATGCTCACTTTCTACAGAAAGTCTTAGTTATTAATTACCATTGATACCCACTCCCCTATTGGAAATTAACTGGATTTGTATTGTATATTTGTAATGGGAACTCTTAATCAAAACTAGAAATTTTATTACAAAACAAAACAACCGCTTACTCTCACCTTTTTCTTATGAATCTTCTTAAGTTCTCTCAGCGCGACTTCTTCCAAATGCCGTCGATCGGCTTCCTCCTTGATCTTCATCTGCGCGATCCGCCGCGACTGTCGTATCGGCGCGACGTCAGAATCGTCCGACCCGCGGCCCTTACCGCTCTTACTCTTGTCATTGCTTGACTTGCCCTTGTCAGACTTCCCCTTTGCTTTCTTCTTAACTAATTTCTTTGTCGTTTTCTTGCCAGCTAGAAAGAGATTATTGAAGATTAACTTTTACAGGCTATAAGTAGATCTTTGAATAAAGAAAACATTGCATGCTTTTACTAAACTAAGTATGTTAGATTTAAAACATGCCTTATAAAGTCCACTCAATATTCGCTTAACGCAACATAGACTATGGAGATACTAAGAATATTAATAAACAATCTGTACAAACAAATGAATACCTATACTATAGAGAGTCTCTTCCTCAGATTCGTCACTTGAATGTTTCTCTAGAAGTTTGGCTTCCACTTTTTTTCTGTAAAAATATAAAAGTGAATACTTAAATAAACTTCGCTCTGTTACATGCAATAGTCAATCAACAAGGATCATTTACATATTATAATTATTTACCTGGTAGAAGTGATAATTTTCTTAGGTTTAATTTTAAGACGTTTGCCGCTTGTGATGGGTTCGTCATCTTCACTTTCGCTTTGAGATTCAGATTTATTCTTATCACTCATTGTAGCATCTAATAGAGACCTTTTCAAAGATTTACACTCCTTCTTACCATTGTCATTCGTTTCTTTGTCACTGTTTTTATCTACATCTTCTTCATCTTTTTTGACTATCTTTTTTCTTTTAAATTTACCTTTATGTGCCTTTATTTTCTTCCGCTGCGCTATAGCATTGCTTTCAACATTATTCAAATTGTCTTTATTAGTTTCACTGTTCTCTACATTATCGGCTGTTTCATTGGAATGTGTGTTTACGTCACTTTCTGGTGTGGTTTCTAACCTTAACTTCTTGGGAGGTAAAGGGTCTTCTACTTTTAGTTCTTTGTCAGGACTCTTCTCATGTTCATTCTCTGTGTTCACAGTATCGTCTTGGTCCACGGAGGACACACTACTCTTTCTCTTCTCAATAATACTTGTTTTACTATCATGACAATTATCAGTCTCTGAGTTAACTACTTCTGTACTTTTGTTTAAGTTTAAATTCCTGGCTACATTGCTTTTCTTCTTAACTTTCCCCCTCCCCTTTTTAGCATTATTCTTTTTAGGACTTTCACTATCTGTGGTACTTTTATCATTACTAGCTTCTCTTTTTAATTCATTTTCCGTATTCTTATTAGAATTAGAACCATCCGATTGATCTACGTCGCGGACGCAATGTTTTTTAGAATCAGTATTTAACACCTCTGTGCTATCGTCATTGGATTGATTTTTTAAAGTTCTTTTCGTCACAGAAGGTACACTACTTTTTAATTTAACATTTTTAACTAAATTATTTTTATTGCTTGAATTTGAAAGTTCGTGAGGATGTTCACCATTAAGACACTCTTCATTGCCGTTTTCTTCAGTGGAATTTTCTTCGGGACTATGAGCTTGTTCTATAGTTTCGGGGTTACCAGTGTCATTGTCGTATCCCCAGCCTTCTCCATAAAAAAACATTACAGGTTCTGAAATTTCTTCACCAATTATATAGGAACTATCGCAATCCGCGCCATTTCCCTCACCAGTGACCAACATGACTGGTTCTTCAATAGCTTCGCCTACTTCATTCTCATTAAGTTTTTCACCGTCATCTTCTTTGCTTTCTTCAGCTGGTGTCATATCTTCAGTTGGTGCTGGTTCTTCAGTTGCTTTTTCTTCTTTGTTTTCTTCTACTGGTCTTGGAGACTCTGCTTTTTTAGGACTTTTTGCTGGTTCTTGTTGCACTTCTATTTTCTCCTCCTCTGCTGTTATAGGTTCAGGTTCAGGAACTGGTTCTCGTTCTTGTTCTTCTATTGTTTTTGTATCTGGTTCAACAACCTCTTTACTCTCAGTAACTTCTTCCGGCTCTGTTTCTTCCTCTATAAGATCTTCTTTCTCTTCTGTATTACTGGGAGGCTCCTCTTCTTTAGTTTCCACTATATCCTGTACGGGATGTTCTTCAGCAATCTCTTCTTCATCTTTCTGTTCATCAACTTTCTGTTCATCAACTTCATGTTCAGATTCTGATTCAGGACTTAGGAACTCTTCTTCGTTTTCTCCTTCACCATCACCTTCTGATTTGTTTGTCTGCAACAGTTGGGAGTTAGTTAAGTCCTAACTACAATTCACAAGAACCAACAGTAGGAATTGGCACTAGCACTAAGTTTTCTTCTAAAATCATGTGCTTGGGCACTGAATAAATTTTAAACTAAGCTTTGATAAAAGCATTTCTGGATTACAACTACATAATAGCACTGTTAACAATTTAAAAAGTTTCCTACAAGACTTTTTTACTTCTAGCTATAAAATCGTAAAGTTAACTGAACTAGATCAACATAAAAACTAAATCAAATCACATGAAAGTTCATGTACATTAAGTTGATACAGGTTTTTTTACATTACTTAAAACAAAGAACTGAAGTTACCTCCAACTGTGGTGGAATCTCCGCACTACTGGAGTCTTCATTGACATTACTGGTAGTAGCAAACAGTGGGGACACATCCTCACCACTTTTCAATTGTGATATTACTTTAACCAACTCCTCCCGAGTCCTAAAAAACAATTCATTCAAAGTTATTTTAAAACTTTACAAAGAATTCTAATCAGAATACTATAATGAGAAAGTTTAATTCAATACCTAACCGAAAAGTATTTTTAGCATCTGTCCAATTTGATTTAAATATTTTAATACACATTTCATTCATGAATTCAAAGCATTTAAAATGCTAATAAGAGTAATGTATCTTAAACAACTTGATTGTATGTAAAGCAGTATTTTATGCCTTTTTTAAAAACTTTTGATGTTTTTACTTACCTAGCTACTAGTTGCCATGTCTCCTCATCCTGGTCTTCTTTATACAAACAGAGATTGGCTTCATGGTCCACCTGCAGCCAATACACACAACCGTTCTTATCTCTGCCAACGGGGTCCAACCTCAATTCCTTACATGATATTGCATTGACAGCATTCTTGAACTTTGGATGGCAAGTAAATTGGAACTCTAGTAACAACTGTTGAAAAAAAAATGTGACAAACAAAAAAATAAAGGAATGTAAATAGATCAAAACAATTGACACAGAAACAAAAAAATTGGCTAACAGCCATAAAGATTTAAGATAAAAATTGTAAATATAAAAAAGATTCCTACTGGAATGTAATTCACATTTGGATACATGTATACACATATTTATTTGAACATTATTTTGTATCACAAGGAGTTGTTATGCACTTAAAGGTAAATAAATATATTTAAAGCCACAACCATTACAAGCAAGTACCCTACACAGAGAACACATACATAAGTATGAATCATTTGTGAAAGTTATATGCCAGCATTCAATGAGATTAGATGCATATAATCTTAGCAAAAACTGAGTAGGCGTAATTACCTTTAATACTTTCAATTTGACCTGAGTACTAGCTTTCTTGTAAGAAAACCTCTCGATCTCCCAGGCTTCCTGATGATGACCTTGTTGATGGCAAAACTTTATCATAAACCTCTCCCATCTGTTGCTAGCCACCGTTTTATGAGCACGGCGCAGAAGTCTCAAGTGTAACTCCTTCAATGGATCCAACACTAACAACAAAAAACTTATAAGATGTTTGTTTATGAATTGGAATGACGAATCTACCAAGATAACTCACCTTCTTGTGTATTCTCTATGAGTTCTTGTAATTTAGATATCGTAGGAACCTCTAAGCCGTACAGTTTGCCAAATGTTTTCAGAAATGAGTAAATAACAGCGAAATTAGGATCATTCGCACACGAAATTTCACCATCGGACGCCATCGTCGGAACTTAACAAGCTTTTTCACTAAACATCACTAATGGTTCTAAATACAGATATATGATTATTTCACTTATATCTAAAGGGAAGTTATAAAACATGTACATGATTCACGAAAATATGTTCATTTTATGTGCACTCAAAGCTTCTCTTCTTATTTTCTATGATAGTAAAATAAAACTCGATGACAGCCATCGCTCCATAGACCATTGAATTATTTTTTTAAGTAAACATATAAATAGTGACAGTCAATGTTTGAATCAAAGACAATTTTTGAAAGTAAAATTCCATTTCACACATTCACTGAATTATTTTTATTTTCTTATTGTACCTCAAATAGACAAAATGTATAGATAGGTAATGTTAGTTCTTTTCTGACTTAGGGACATTTACATAAAACTACTCAACATTAATATAATATAAGATAAGCGGATGCTGCTATCATGCTATGCTGGAGTTTGTGCTATATTTTTATTATACATGTGCACCTGTTTCTGCTTATGCATACTTAGAGGAATAAGGTGTGCGTGTGATGTTATGTTATTATAACGGTATTGTTAAAATTACCGCGAATGACGTCTTTAAAAATTTATAAACAAATGTATTCAATTCATGCTATTCGCATTCGCACACTTGAGCACCGGTTAGTGGTTTGTATGTTTTTACATCAGCCAGTCTGCATTATACAGTGAGCAAGTCACATCAATATGAGTGTGAATCGTCTATTATCCGTTGTAATAATTTCTACTTTCGCTTGTGTTCTTGTGGCTGTAAATAGAACTGATACAAAAGTAATATTGTTTTGTTATATCAAATAATCAGTGTAATATTTTCCTTACGAAAGGCGTAAGGAGAATACTATATCACTGGAGATGGGCCATTTTTCGGATAAATACCTAAAAGAGTAAAGAGTACTGCCTACCCTTTCTGGGATAAGAGGCGTGATGTTACGTTATGTACTATCCAATTTTTGAAGTAAGTACTTGAATGAAACTGATAAATACTCGAATTTAGTTTTCTTAATTTTAATTCATTATGAGTATTCATCCGAAAAATCGCCTATCTACATTGTACATGCATCACTACTGCTGTCAAGTCAGATTTCCACAGGCTCATTGATGTTTTTTAACCTGTGGTTACAAAACCCCATTGAGTGAAACGAGTGTTTGGTTTCGTTTACTTTTGAGATTTTGTGTGACTGCTTTGTTTCGTAGTGTTAGAATAATTAACTTACAATATTAGCCAAGATGTCTTCAGTTTGTTGTGGAACAAAAAAACAGAAACTAAACAACTCGTATAGTAACAGTATAGATCGACCTTTGAATGGTTACCAGGAGTCTGTAGCTATTCCTGATATGTGTTACTTTTGTTTCGATGTTTTGTATTGTCAGCTGCATAGTATGGACCCTCCTCAGACGCCAAACTTTACTAATGATGCCTAGTAAGTGGTTCACTCTCGTAAGTACAAGTATAGCCTATCAATATCGACATCAAGTTCATGATAATATGTGTGCTTATCCTGTTGGACTGCTTTGTTGAACTACCTCTGCATCTTTTGTTTCAAATGAGGTCACTCTAGTGAATTAAACCCTTTACGTTTTCGAAAGAATCTTTTCATTAAGCCACTTGTAGTTACACATTTCCACTTTCACTCAATTTACATAATGTGGGAATGTAAACATAAATAATTTATATTTGCTCATATGTGACACCCACACAAAGGCAGTTTTGTTTTTTATTCGCGGTCAATACACCTCCACTCCCATCACCTTCCGAAAATGTGCATACTAATTTATTCTTTATGTGAAAGTGCATAAAGTTTAAATTGGCTTATCCTGTTTATATACAGTTTTGGTATTGTGTGGTGTTAACTGCTATTACAAATGTCTAATATGCAATAAAGCTAGACTTTACCTAATGTGCTAACAAATTGAATGATTCAGCTTTATCCATTGTTTTATGAAAGTAAATTATTTTTGTAATTTTTCACAGTCCTTTGTTTGTGACTTGGAAGATTGGTAAAGAGCACCGTCTCCGAGGATGCATCGGGACATTCAATGCAATGCATTTACATTCAGGTATGATGTTTGAACAATACTTTTATACAATATACCTATGTATTTATAATATACATAATCATGTGTGCATTCTTGAAGGGTAGCCGTCTGACCTTGCTTGCTTATTAGTAAGTTAATGCCATAAGTATCAATAACATATAACAACTTGCCTCCATAATACAATACATTACAAATTTTAAAAGTCACAACATCAGTGTTATGGTACCTGTATCAATACAGCCATTATTTTGCAATTACAAGATAAACATTATCTTAACTTCTTTATAAGAACATTAAATAATAAGGTTACTACATAATCAAGACCTTCTTTGTTTGAAGAAATATATTTCTCAATGGTACACAAAACATTTACATAAAACAAAGAAATGTTGACGTTTCCATCTGGAAATTAACTACTGTCTTTGGAATTTAAACAAACTTATTGTATGAATGACAACCTGACCGGGCAAACTTCATACAGTTTTTTTCTCATTGTTTATACCTTCCCTGGACTTCCATGAACATTTCAACATCAAAATTAGCCAAATTTGTTCACCCATTCTGGAGTTTTAGCGAGACTAACGAACAGAAATTAATTTTTATTTAGATAGACAGATTAGTGATTCTCTATGTATTGTGCCAATTAGTATATAATGTCATCATGCTATAGGATTAGTTGCATTGCAAAAGACTTTTCTAACTTGACTGAATTGTTTCCAAACATGCAAACAAAATAACTTTCAAATAATACTAATCAGAAGAAACTTGTGACACTATTTGACTATGTGCCTCCTCTACATAATAGGGGTTTGCCATAACCACAGGCAAGTTTGTGATCACATTAAGTATATTAGGTTCAGGTTTTTTTTATACCAAAATGGGGCCAGTAAATCGTTACACGGCCCACTTGATGGTAAGTGCTTTGATTTTAGTCTGTTCTTAATGTTACTCCCGTAGTCAGCTCTTGGTTATCTAAGCAAGGGCTGTCCAAATAAAGGCCAGCGGGCCGCAAGCGGTTTTCATGTGGCGCGTTTTAATCTCAACATCTTCATCTTATGTGCAACAACAATAATAAAATTCAGTGTACGATATGTCTACAAGTTTTGTCTGTGAGTAAAGAATATAATAATAAACGTGATTATACAACTAACTGAATACAATTTTCTGACTCTCCAGCTTTTGTAAGAAATTTAATTATCCTGCGAGGGTATATAGGTATAGTTTGGATAGCCCTGATCTAAACCATGCAAATGTCTACTACTGAGCCGTCGCCACACGGCATATTTCATATAAAATAGTCTCCACTTTCTATGATCACAGGTCTTCGTGAATACGCAATAACGAGTGCTTTAAAAGACTCGCGGTTCGCTCCAATTACTCGTGAGGAGGTGCCGCGGCTGACCGTGTCAGTTTCCATACTGCAGCACTTTGAGGAGGCCGAGCATTACCTGGATTGGAAGCTCGGCAAGCACGGCATCCGCATCGAGTTCATCAGTGAACGCGGCACCAAGCGCACCGCTACCTATTTACCTCAAGTTGCTACTGAACAAGGTTTGTATTTTGTTTGTCTGAAAGTGATCAGCTAATTGTTGTATCCGATTTTATAGATTTTTAATTCTTCTGAACCGAAATGCTGTTTTAATTCTAATTCTATAGCCTCGTAAAAGAAATAATTTAGATCAATCACGAAGTTAGTAGTTCTACAAATACCGATTTATCATCAACCTATAGCAGTAGCTAGATGTTGTTATATTTACAAATGCTTACTTACAAGCTTATCAATTTTTACAAATTGATTATTAATTTTCCTCTCATTTATTCCCATTAAACATGTTTATTTTGTGATATCAGTGGTGTGATGACTGATTAACTTTTTCAATTATTAAGGGTCAATTTATTGTGGTGCGCAGAATCGGAGAACCAATTTAACAATTTTATTTTATTAGTTTTTATGAGGGTGCAGGTTCAAAACCTACCAACGGCAAGTACCAATGTGACTTTTTCCGAGTTATATGTACTTTCTAAGATTATTTAGACACCACTGACAAACGGTGAAGGAAAAACATCGTGAGGAAACCTGGACTTATAATTTCTAATTATAAGTTTGAAATCGCCAACCCGCATTGAGCAAGCGTGGTGATCACAGAACATATAAAGGAGGATAGAACGGCCTTGTGGGCGGTACACGCGTGCCGCGGTTATGAGCGAATACTCCAAATCTACCAAAATGTCAAAAACCGGCCATCAAACGCAATGTTGTTGTGACAGCGTACGAAACTCCGCAAATAATATTAAATTATGCCGTCTTGGACTATTGTAATGTGTCGGAAAAGAAGACAGGTGTGCAATGTAGCACGAGAAGGGATTTCTTTCCACCAGTGACTCCAAAAACATTAATATACTTGTGATATTTGTAATTATAACATTAATATTATGACGTTTCTAGACAAAAACGACATTATCGCAAGCAGTATACATTGCTTGCAATAGATACGTACCATTTTGCACTACATAAACGATCGCGCAATGTATTACGTTCACAACAAGAGTCCCGAGTATCAAATCAAAACGTCATTTCTTCGAATCGATATAGAGAAGTTTTAATTTGTAAACAATGTCGATAATTACTATGATACAAAGGATTATTATCAAATTATACACATTATAACTAAAATAATTTTATTTATTACGACTAATTATGAAATAGGTTTTAAATGAGGCATTTTATTCGTATTTAAGTTTTATATAATTTTTTATGTGTTCGTTATGTTTTGTTCAGTAAGTAGACTGATTTTATGATTTAGGAAATTTTATTTTACATTTCTACCTTGATATTATCTAAGCGACATCTAAATCATTTTTCGTAAGATGGATACTCTTCCATACATGCTTAGGCCCAAATTGTAAATAGTTGAAACTATGAGAAATTCTTAAAAGCCAGCTGAAATCTTAGTCAATAATTAAAAATAGTTGTTGAGGTTTTCTATTCGAGAACAAAACTACGACAACAAATAAAATGACATTATATCCTGGGAGCGATTGTATTGTACCTTTTTTAAGAATAGCTATGTACACCTGATGACTTTTCTAGTTTTCAGACCTTTTAGAGCTGACTTAATTTACGTGAGCTAAAATATTGTGTTGGCCTGGAGGTTGCGGCGCTGTTTCATACAACTTATACGTACTTTCTAAGTTAATTTGCACACCACTCACATTCAGTAAAGGAAATTATGTGACCGAAACTATACAATAATTCCTATTTATATTAACTATTAAAGAAATATGAACGACGATTATCGGTTGTCATCATACGAATGTCATGATGTCATATATAACAGAGACAATAACAGAGTTTTGAGCACAGATTAGATATATCATGATATAGTTACGTTATGATAATCTTCAATATTTCATTATTTTATGATTTTTCATTCCTTAGGGAGAAATTACGCTATTTTTTATATATTTTGAATTAAGTAAAAATCTATTATTTTTGACCCCATGACTTCCCGGACTCCTTTTATTTTTATAAAACTTACAGTTGGAAACAAAACAAAATCGAAATAATACCTTTTCGGTTTTTTATACCTATTTTATACTTATTGATTTTAAAAATCAGTTATGTATTTTTCTATGTATAGTTATTTACATTAACGTAAATACATGTACACAATATGCCTTATACAAATCCGCATAGTCCGCAATACATGTAAATTAAGAAGCTAGATGCCATTAATTTTATCGATATCAATAATCGACCTTTCGCTCCCCCTACCATATATGAGTTTTTTACGCTTGTATTAGTGTATGTCAAACGAAGTGAATGCGTCAGTGTGACGACCAATAACAAATCTTTTAACCTAGTGCGTGTTGTTTATTTGTGTGCATTTTCCGCGTAGGTATTGGTCTCTTGCTTGTAGTAAAGTTAAAGAGTGGGGGACAAACGGCGACGCGTGTTCTAATACAAATCAGGAACTATTTCCTTTCTAGCCTTCTTTATATGTTCTGTGGTGGTGATTAATGCTCAAACCTTCTCCGTCTGATAAGAGGCTTTGCTCAGTAGTGGGCATTTATAGGCTGTTGATGATGAGTTCTTATGCAACTTGGCGTGATTTCCAGGTTGGGACCAAATCCAAACGATTGACTCTCTGCTGCGAAAGGGCGGGTACAAGGCCGCCATTACGGGCGAGCTGAGACGGAGCATCAAGCTGACTCGCTACCAGTCCGAGGAGATCTCCGCCACCTACAACGAATACATCAGCCAGCGCTGCTAGCAGACGGTAAACGTGCCCACCCGCACCCAACTTCATAACAATCCAAGACTTGTGTATCGCAGTAAACCTTATGCACATAGCAATAAGAGATACCGTGGGAGTGGGGCCGGGCAGAGTGGTTACAAATATTGTGCTAGAAATAACGTAGCTTGTAAGTGTATGTCTAGTGTCCAGAATCAGTTTGCGAGGAGGCATTGTGAAGTGAGCGCTCGTTCGACTCGAAATGTCACCAGTCAGAATTCTGCTCAAAGTGCATTGACGAGCCAACCCAGACGATCCTGTCTGATTCAAATTATTTAACGTTAAGATACAACACTGCCAACGACATTCCTCTGTGGATACCATCTTAAGTGCCATCTCAATAACTGTAATGCTTATGAATTAATATTAACATTGACTTGCAGGATTCATAATAGCGTCACACGTATGTATACTTCATTAGTCGCAACTAGTTTTTGAGCTAATTTAAAATTAAGGGTGTTTTTCATCGGCAATACACTTTGAACGAAATTTTGAAGGACATATTTAGTTATTACATTGTTATATAAATATGTTACTGTGAGTCTAATAATTAAAAACATTGGTTAGTGATTTATGTGTAATTTGACTCATGGTTGGCTAGTTAAGGGTTGCCCATGCTTCCATTATTGATGATCTTGTATTACTGATTGAATCTACGCAGTTTTTGGTATGGTTACAATTTCATATTGAAACAAAAGTCCAAATGTAACATGTATTACAAGTTAGCATTTGAAATGAAAATGTTGCATTAAACTTTGTATGTGTTCTTTATTTGAATACTTTACTTTTTTTTTACGAGTTTACGTTTAAAGTATTCGAAACGAGTACGCGTTCGGCACTCTGATTGGCTGGCGCCAATGAAACAACCAATCACAGCGCCGAACGCGTACTCGTTACGATTACTTTAAAAGTAAAATAGACTCGTACTAAGGTCTCTGTATCTAAATAGTAAACGAGTTAACGAGTAAAATAATATATTTTCGTATTACTCAGTTGCAAATCTGGCTTGTAATTGTAATAATACCGTCTGTCCAAGGCTATTTTGTCGCATGACTGGCTTTCATTACTCCACTTTTAAACTACAAATGAACCGTAATAATGACATAGATAATTTGTTTGAGGCCTATCTGTGTTAGGAGGACTTTGAAACTATTGATTTTATACTATCAACTATTCTAGTTCGTTTATTTGGGAAAATAACCATATTTATTGTATTATAATTGGTTTTTTAAATGTGAAATTGTAACTCCTATTATGAATTGTAACCCGGATCTCAACGTAATTATCATTACGACATTTTTATAAACAAAGTATGTACTTACATGAATCTGCTAATTTTGGGTAAGCACCCTTCAATTATCATGTAAGTAATATACGTATATTAGATCGAAACAATATAATGTTGTCGAAAAAAAAATATCAAAAATATTTTAATGAAAAAAATTCTAAAAAAAACATATAAGAATTAAAGTGAACAAAAAAAGTAATTACTTTAAGAATTCATTTGTTTTTAGAATGTAAGTGTGTCTTACTTTTTAATGATTTTGAACGCAGAATATTGTTATGTGATTCACAGTTGTCGGATCGGCGGTTAATTTGTTGAGGGGGCATGGGAGATTGTATGTTTCGTTATCTTGATATTTTTTACATGTCTACATACAGAAAGACGAATTTTTTTCCTAAGTCATCTATGACTGGCGAATTGAAATATTTCAATACGAATTCAACATCATGAAAATCTGTCTAGCCCTTTTCGAGTTAGGAGCGGTATAACTAACATTTCATATTAAAATATGTACATACATTAATACCAAGATTTCGGAACCATTCAGATTGTTGGAAATGTGTAATTAATAATAATAATTTGTTGGAATTACAAAGACAGTTGTTTTGACATCAAGTTTATACGAAGTAGTATGGCTTCTTAAGACAGTAGAATGTACAAGGAAAGTTGTATCGGTCGTGTAGATACAACCAGCCAAACTATTTGGTATACGGGTAAGAAAATATAGATTGATTCAGTACAGAGACCGTAACCATTGGTTGACGTCGCGGAGAACCTAACGGGTAACCGAGGCTCCGGCTCGACGTGCAGGAGAAGGAACGGGGTGGTTTTTAGTCAGTAAGAGTCTGACACTCCCTTCCGCCTCACCCAGGCGGGAGCAGTCATTCGATGATTTTCCCCCCTTAAAAAAAATAATAAAAAAAAACCATTGGTTGACTACTGACCTGAGCAATGGGTACAAGTTTTGGCTTCATTTAATATAAAAATAGCTACTGTATTTGTCCTGAATTAATGTTTATTTTCTTAACTGCATAACAGTAAACGCGGTGAATAGAATTCGAGGGGTGAATAAATATAACATTTACAATAGGTACTCAAATTCTATTCACCCCATTTTACGGTACTCAATAATTGGTTGTCTGTATATATTATTATGTATTATGGCGAATTTCAAAGGGTAATGTGTCATTGAAATGAAGTTAGAAAAAGAGTTGTACATTACAGTTAGTATGGTGATAAACAGGAGATTTTGAATTTAAAGATCTCCAAGTATGGTTTAGTACTAAAGATCTTAAGCTTGTAACTACACAGAGAGGCTAACCCCGATTCTCGTTTACATATTTACCCTGAAAATAAGGATTGTTTAAGATTCTTGTGCTTCATTTAATATCATTTGTTATGTGACTATTAACAAACTCTTCATTTAATAGAAATCACGGGTTAGTTACTTGAATATACTGAAAAAAGCTCTACTGGTTTCGAGCCACAGAAGGGCTCTCTAGTAGGCTGTGCGACATCGTCGCGACCGCGCACGCTGCTCATGAGTTAGCGCCCCTCTGTGACTCGAAACTAGTAGAGCTTTTCTCAGTACATTCACGTGAATAACCCGAGATTTTTAGTTAATTTAGTATGTCTCACGATAGTGATTATAACAATAAATTCTTCTTTCATTGTTAAATCATAAAAGCAGAAGTTTATTTCTTCTTGTTCTCTCTTTGATTACCGTCATTATAGACACAATTAAAGAACAATAGGTTGCGGTCACCGGTGACCGCTTGGTGTTTGACAGTTTAAAACATTGGATAAAGTATGTATTTGCAGGATTTTTGAAGTGCGGTGCGTCACTGTCCGTCCTATTACGTCGACGCCCACTTGTAAACATCTATTATTCAATACTAAATCTTTTGTGCAGTTCTTTATTATTGATAAACCTATTATAACTATAGTATCATCGACTTTATGATTGAATTTAAGAAAAGGTTTTATAGTTAAAATAGGTTTCATGAATAAGAACATAAAGTCTTCATTCAACTGACACATTATCCTAATTGAAATTCAACAAATTGTTATCCTTTATAGTGAACAGCTAGAAATTAATATTAAAAAGTAGATCGTCGACTCGTAAAATATTGATTAAAGATTTTGAAAACGAACGGCACTAACTATGTAGTGCTAATTCGTTTGAGCACTAACTCGATCTAGATTTATCTGCTTTTAAGCTTCAGGTGTTTAATAACGCTATCCCTTTCTCGCGCTGTGTTTTCGAAAGAGATAGTATACTTGTTCTAGATTAGTTAGTGAGCAAGAATTAGCACGAATAACATACTAAGCACATACAAAGTAGCTATGTGAATTGAAGTACGCATATTGAAGGAATTTGTTGTGGAAAAATCTTACTTAATCTTCCGTCATCACCAGACATTGACTTGGAGACTCTGTTGCCATTAAAGAAGAAAAATAAATTGTTTTAACGGCTAGTCTTAATGACATATAATCGATGGATTTGGCTATTCTAGACATAAGAATTTCATATACCTAAGCCGCTTACAAAATGTGTTAAAACACTATCTTCATAGGAGTCAAATCTGTTGACAGATTAATTATTGGGATTCGCTATAAATAATGTTCCCGTAATACAATGATTCAATTTTTAATTTACATATCATATAATTCTAATACTATTTGTATGAGATGTATAACTGGAGATATGTGAGTGTTATATTTCCATCTCTGCCTATTCCTGCGCGAAGCAAAAGGTGTAATGTTATGTATAGCCTTTTTTGCTAGCTAAAAATATTGTAAATTGTACATATTTTCACATAGCTAAGTAATTGTATGTGCTTATATCAAACTATTATGTACTTGCAGCAATATGAGTGACTTTAATAATAAAGATCATATAATATCATATAAAATATATAATTAAGGCAGATATATAGATAGTTATTGTTTTATGTTAAATATTAACAAAATTATGTGTTAATGACTTCTGGCTTCCTTTAGATACCTACATTTGATTCAGATACCTAATTACGGTTATTATTTTTGGATTAACAGTATCTTTCCTTTTGTGATTGTAGAGAATTATTGTTGAATTATGTCATCGATTCTGTTTTTCTTTTTTAAATTGCTATCTTGTAATACAGAGCCATGAGATATGGTTATAATTTACTTTGAAGATTTATCCATATATGTTCACAGCATAAATGCGTTAATTTTGCTATAATCTGAAGCTAGCCAAAAGTCAATTTATCAGCTAAATTCTAGCCACAATAAGTAGTTTCGCTAACAGTGTAGAATTAAGGTAAGATACAGTTTTGTACAGAATTTGCGCCATTCGGAACAGACATTATTGTATGCGAGTAAGTGAGACAGATACTTACAAGTGTACCTGTCTCACTCACTCCGTAAATTGTCATAAAACGTAAGAAGCATATCCAAGGTAAATAGAGATATTTTTGAATACAAGTCTTGTGTAGATTCCTTGAGTTTCGAGTGGTTAGTTATTTGTGTATCAACAGTTCTGCATGTGTTCATATCTAGAAATTGTACTGGCAAGTTGTGTGCAAAGATTGTTGTCCGTTTTTTTGTATTTCTTAAATATGATTACCTAATATAGGATACCTTGATGATATCTATGATTTTTACTAAGTATAATCCTTTGTTCGTTTCTAATGCAGCAGTTTCGAAGTAACGAACACACAGACTTACAAAATTTCGACAATAAATGAATGTCACATTATTTAACACAACATTTTAATAATAAAATATCTATTTACAAAACATCTACATTTACATTTAACGTTCACTTGCTTTCTTCTCGAGTTTTGCTTCAATCTCCATAATCTTTGATCTTATAGTTAAGTTGTTGGTCATTTCATAGTAAGTGAAAATAGATGAGGCCATAGCTTGTATTATTACCATGTATGTTAATTGGTGATTGAAAGGTCTTGTTATTTTTCTCAGAAAATTGTACATTACTTTCGGACCCTCTTTGAGGTCAGGCACTCTGAAGGTTGAATATCTGTTTGCAAACTGAAAAAAATAATTTTCGGATTACTTTTCGTATTATCACTCATAGTATTTTCAATTTTTATACATACACTTTCTGTTAGAAAATTTGGTAGTAGACTTTGGTCCTACTCTAATACGGTATACATATTTTACACAACAGAAAATGCGTGGTTCCGCGTTTAGGGACGTGACAGGTTAAATACTTAAAAGCTTTGGTAATGATTGTTTATTATATAAATGTATTAATTATGTAAATGTAAAAATTGTTAAGCAAAGAAATCCTTCTTTAGTGACAACGTCGTACTTCTGTCCAATTTTTAAAATAATAATTCCATGAATATCTTACCATCAATGCTGACAATGGTGCGAGTATCATAGGATATGCAGTCCCAAGTCCGCACTGTATTGCAGCTGATCTGAACTCGTAACACAATGGACATGCCTGACTCTTCATCAGAAGCAAGTCTGTTGAAATAAACTGAAATTTAAATATATCACTTGAACTTTTTGTACTGTTAGGTAAAATCCGAGGGTATAGTATGTATTTGTTTTACATTTTAACGAGTTTGAAACATCACATTCTGATTGGCCCGCTCCAATAAACCAACTAATCAGAGCTTGAATGTGGTAAAGATTTTCTTAAACGCAATATAAACTTTTAGTGTGTCGAGGTGGCCTGAAGGTTTAAGACGCACTTCTCATGCATGAGGGTTCGAAACCTACCAACTGCAAGTACCAATTTGACTTTTTCCGGGTTATATGTACTTTCTAAGATTATTCAGACACCACTGACAAACGGTGAAGGAAAAACATCGTGAGGAAACCTGGGCATTGAGCAAGCGTGGTGATTCATGCTCAAACCTTCTCCGTGTAAGAAGAGGCTTTGCTCAGCAGTGGGCATTTATAGGCTGTTGATGATGATGAAACTTTTAGTAAGCCCTCTGACACATTTACATTTAACCTCTTGTATTAAAGCTCAATAGAAAACGTATTTTGTGTCTCTCGTAGATCTACGCTCAAACAGACCAGATGTTAATACACTGTATAAGTTTTCATTGTATCATTAATTCATCATCAACATCATCATATCTATCAGCAAGTTATCTTTCATTATTATGACTATTATATAAAGGTAAAGAGTTTGTTTTTTTGTTCGAATGTGGTAATCTCAGGAACTATTGCCCCGATTTCAAAAAATATTTTTATTTTCGATCATCCATTTTTGAGGGTGGCTATAGGCTATAAACATCAAGCTACAAACAATAAGAGCCAAGCATAATGGACGAATCTATGATGGTGTAAGTAGTTATTGTAGTTTTATTTTTTATGCAGAAGAAAAATAAGAACCGTGACCACTTTTCAAGGAACAAGGATAATTTTTTTTTTGGATGAAACAAGGATCATTACAGCACTAATATAATCATACTCACTTGTCTGTGAAAAAGCGCTGTTAAAGTGGCAGGCATAGCAGTGATAGGTATAATAGATGCAAAGTATCCATATGGTCCCAATTTTAGTTTGTTTCTGTAGTACCTGTTTATTAACACACCGCAGGTAGCATTGATTCCACCCAGAACCAACGGAGCATACTTTAGGGCCCAACTGTAATTTAAATTTCAAATATAGTTTTACTACCTTTGAAAGCTCAACAAAGTAATGTAAGAGAGATTGGGAATGTCTGTTGTTGCTGTACTTTTTATTTAGACAGACAGTGACAAATTTTAAAAGTTTAAATGCAAAAGAATCGGATGTTTACTCCTGACTTTGTGTCAATTCAGACTGGTAAATCTTTGAATTTGGTGGTCTAGTGCATTTCAGATAGATTTTCTGTTATAAATTAGAGCTTACGTATCCGAGAACGACTCCCAATCGGAAACTAAATTCCAGACGTATTCAGTTGCTTCCATTTCATCTAAAGATACAGCATCCTCGGGGACGTCTTTAGATTTCATTAATGCCATTGTTGATATTTACTCTGATTTACCTTTATGAATAATATTGTGATATTTACGAGATAACCTAAAGATCTTCACAGTTCAAAATTGAATATTTTTTTATATTGTCAGTTGTCTGTCAAAAACAGCTGCTTGCTATCAATGCTGCCAATAGAAAATTAAAAAATATAAAACCATAGTGATCTACGCGAGTGTGCTATTTTACCACTATTTTACGTATTGAACCGTGATTGAACCTGTATTATTTATGATTTATTTAGGATTTTTTTAGGTATATTTTTTGTTTTCAAACAGGGGATGAGTGACTTACTCATGTTTGTCTGTTTTAAATTAATTATTGAGATATTAATTCATCTACCATCTTTCGTTTACAATTGTGGTTTTTTTATGGAATAGGAGGCAAACGGGCAGACGGATCAGCTGATGGTAAGCGATCATCGCCACCCATGGACACCCGCAACAACAGAGGAGTCTCAGGTGCGTTGCTATTTTCCCCAAAGTTACTAGGTACACTATCACCAGATGGTTCATTCGTTCTTTTTTAGGTAATCGATTTAGCTGTTAATATCCACTCTAACGTCCGGGCCGCGCGACCGTTTATCTCTCTAACGTCCAGCTGCGCGCGGCGTCCGAACCGCGCGCGACTCGCAAGTTCGTCGTAACAAAAAACCTATATAGCTACTGAACCGTAATGGCTAGAATAAAGAAAAAAATACCAAAAAAAAGATTGAAGAATACTGATTAATGTTAACGATTTTTTTAAATCGTAAGTTATAATCTTTGATACAAAAAACCGGGTTAAACATGTAATTCAGAAAAAAAATACACAATTATTTTTACCTTTTTAGAATATAAGGCACAACTATTGCATATTTTATCAATAAAATATTTTTACAACAAACTAGACTTATTACCCTTTCTTCTGATGTATATACGATTACATTCGGTTAACTCTAAGTATTTTAATTAAATCAAAACAAAACACTACTCCTCGTAATTTTACCGCGATGTCCCGAGCGCCCTTGACTCGTCCGAGAAGGCGAAATAATAGCAATATGGCCGCCCGTCTAAGGTTTCCCACACATGATGTAATTTTAATAAAATATTTTAAATAATTTTATGAATTAGTTTCATGCAATAATTGTATTTTTGAAGTTGTTTATTTGTTCTAGTTGGTTATTTAAATAAAAAGCAAATAAAAAAATCAATATATAATATAATAATTTATTCCTTACACACATTTATAAATGGTAAGCCATAAAACAATTTTCAATGCAGAGATTGACGTCGTACTGTAGACACTTCCATATGGTCCTATCGTGTCCGCGTCCCCTGCGGCCTCCCCGGCCGCCACGGCCTCCCCGGCTGCCAGGGCCACCACGGCTCCCGCGTGTCTCACCACTTCCACGACTGCCACGGTCACCGCGACCCCCACGTCCTCTGTTTCCCCCACGTCCCCTGTTTCCCCTACGTCCCCTAGTTCCCCCATTTCCCTCAACATAAAAGCTTTCATTTGGTGATCTGCATGAATAATTTAAAACATTAGTATTGTTAAAAGAATAAAATAAAATTTGGCGAAGCATTAAAATATATGCGACCATGCAACACGTGCAAGGGCAACAGTAAAAAAGAAAGGTAGTCAAATCCACTAGTGCATTTTTTACATTTAGTGGAAATTAATCAACACGAACAAACATGTAATTAATGTTTCAAAACAAAAAAAAACCATTAGAACATTATACATATCCAACGGAAACCAAGCGAAAAATAAATGATGAATATTAGCACAAAACCCAAAAGTGCATTTTATATTAAATATTAGTATCATCTCAAGCAAAATATTATACCACCACTAGCAAAACAAAAATAATGCAAACATATTTTGCCGTGTATAGCGAACCTTATTTATCACGTTTCATGTAACGTCCGTGGATACCAAACAGTCCACATCAAAAAACCTGAGGAACACATTGACATTATTGTGGAATCTTCAGTGAATTTAGTATATTTCTCTTTGAAAAATGTATTATTTTGCTTATTACGAAATTTATTTCGATATTTTATATACTATTGTAATGCAAAGTATGTAAAATATGTATAAACAAAACTAAAAGTGGCCGACACCATACGACCGGCCATTTTTTTCGAAACAACAATCGTTTGAAGTTAAAAGTAGACTAGATTTATCAGCTAAAACTGTGATATTTATACATCATCGTAAAGCACAAATCTTCTAGTTTATTTTGATGTATAACACTTGCAAGATAAATAAAACAAAACTGTAGTACTTACGACATAATTGTTGGCACTCACAAAAACACTTCACAACACGCGCGTCAAACGAGTCAACTGAACTTAAAAAAATATATTTTGTTTGTCAAAGCTTATTACACTGCCATCTCTATTTTTTTCGTCGAACTGTTTATTCAACTGTATAGATAATCTGTCAAAACTCACCAAGCAAGACCGTATTTTAAACTAGAGAGCGTTAAACACAACTCGTCGCTTTGGATACTATAGTATCCATGGGCGTATGACGCTACTTTTTTCTTGGATACCGTACTATCCACGGACGTCAGAGTGGATATTATGAATAAATATATACAGTTTAAAATTAACTAAAACAGCGACCAAAGAAAAAAATAAAAAGAAGTGTGGGAGAGCTATGCTTCGACACGAATTAGCCGGCTCGACTGGAGTGATATCACGGCCTTACAGAAAACCGACGTAAAACATGTGTTTGTGTCGTCGTGTGACTGAGGTTACCAGAGGTCCAATTCCCCACTGAACCCTTCCTTAATAACCCAAACCCCAACAATCCTCAACTCCTAATCCTAAAAAGCCGGTAACGCACTTCTAATGTCTCTGGTGTTCAAATGACAATGACAAACGACAATCAAATTCAATCAATGAATGTTTGACGTTTGACAATCCATGAATGAGCGTCGGTGTAATCTAAATCGTATCCAAAACCGCAATAATAAATAAATCAAATTTATTTCTACTGTGATGGCCCAGTCGCAATTTTCTTTAATGTGGGATGCCCACAAGAAGAATATATGCCACGGATTAAGCAGTTTGCAGCAGGTTCGTAATATTATTGTTAAAAAAACAAACGCTTTATTTGTGTTATTGGTGTGTTGTTCAACAAATTAGTGGTTTTCCAGAATGGTGAATTTGTGGACATGACCCTTGCTGCAGATGGCCATCTGGTGAAGGTGCACCAAGTGATTATTGCATTGGCCAGTCCTTATATTAAGGAGTTGATATCTACGGCGCAATGCCCGCATCCCGTGATATTTCTCAATGTAAGCCGTAATTTCTTTTTGGCTTCATAAACCATAAACTGGTTGGAGTGTACCAAAGGGATTGGAAAGAGTTTAGGACTAAACTTTTTCATCATAAATGAAAATTCTTTTAAATGGCTAGTTTTTCATTTCTATCGCTGGGTATACCTAAAAATAAGGTGAAAATCATCTGGCCACTTTTTATATACAATCTAGGGCTTCAGGTTCGTCTGAAAATGAGCTTTAAAGGTCAGTTGGCAGTGTATGTAAAAACACTTTGGGCACCCCAACACATGCGAAACTGAAAACCTAAAAATCACCATGATTCATTGTACTGCATACCCACTGATAGTTTAGAACTTGGTGCCCTAAGTCTTAACCCATTAGAAGTCACTGTACTCATATGAGTACACCTAAAATTCTACGCATAAACTTAATATCTCTTATATTTTTGTAGGGTAACCCTATTATCTTAATGCATTATAAAATTGTCTAACTATATTGATAAATTATATGAGGGTAGTGCGATATTTTTTTCACATTATCTACATTGCCCGCCAATCTACTTCAAAATCAAACCCTATGTGGCGGAAATGTGCTCCCTCCTGCAAAATGGAGTACAAAATGGAGTTGGACACTATCCACTAAAAATTTAACTCATCGAGTACCGGTTTTATAGACACAATTAAAGTACAATAGGTTGCGGTCACCGGTGACCGCTTGGTGTTTGACAGTTTAGAAGCAACTACGATGTGTCCTTTGTCATTCAAGAGTACCTACGTTGGCAATGTAAAAAGTGCTAAAACACTTTGTGTAGAAATATCGTGTTTTGAAAATTTTCATACTTAGGTGGTAAGTGTCCTCAATTGAGTATCACCCCTGAAATATCATGAAAAATACTATTTTCCATTTTTTTTCTCGCATTTACTGTTCTTATACTCTTTAGTTGATTATGAAAATAAACAAAATTAAAAAAAATATTGGTACTTTTTATTTGACCTTTAATGGGTTAAATAAAATTGCATTAAAACCTATGTAGATACCTATTCATTAAGAATTATGTTGGTTTAGCAGTGGTAACTTATATTTTGTTATGTGCTTGTGGCACCGACTTCTAAACTATGGTTAGATAGTACAATGAATAATAGTTATTTTTTGTTTCAGTTTATAGTTTTTGAAGTCGGTTTTTTATTTAGTTTTATTTTTCGTTTAATATTGGTGTAGGTAAATAGTGAAGAAGTAACATAAACATGTGGAATTGTGAGTTTCATGGTATTTTTTATTTACAGAAAATATCATACCAAACTTTATGTTCGCTGTTAGAGTATGTATACACTGGTGAGGTGCTAGTGTCCATAGAGAATCTAAATGAACTACTGGAAGCTGGGAAGGAACTTCACATACAAGGTCTTGAAGATATGGTACGACACATGCACACTACTTTTTAAATTTTTACACTGCACACGCACTAGCTCAAAGTTTGCTAGCTTGTTTTTTTTATTTGTTTAAAAGGCTTTTTAGAATGTGACTTTAAATGTAGTTTCAAACTGGCAAGTTGACTTTACCCTTAATTATTTGGGTTTGTTAACAAACATACCACATCAGTGGCAGCCGAAGTATAGATAATAGAAACTAGTTTTGTTATAAAGTCATCATTATTAAATCTTTTTACAGTTTCAGTGTTTAACTAAATTGTAATTGTTTTGCAGAAATTAAGTGACACAAGTACACAACAAGCACCTGAGACACCACAAAATGACAACGAGACGGATTGTAATATGGAAAGCCTTGATGAAGAAATTAGTTATTTTGAAATAACGAAGGATACTGAAGATGGAACAAAATATATGACCAATATAATGGTGTAAGTTTCATTGTGTATAATTTGTCATAAGATTAATAAAGATTTTACTCTTTACTAGCGACCCGCCCCTATATGCATGTATTACATGTATAAATTCCTTAAGAATAAAAAAAAACCGCATCAAAATCCATTGCATAGTTGTAAAGATCTAAGCATACATAGGGACAGATAGACGGCGGATAGCGACTTTGTTTTATACTATGTAGTGATAAAATATGGTGCCAAGAGTAGTTAATCATTTAAAAAATACTATGGTGATTCTCCATAAAATCAAAAATGTTGACATTTATATAAGACACAAATTATTATACTCCTGGATTGCCAAGCATATTTGTAACCATATTTGTTCATCACTACTTTTATTGGTTTGTGTGTGAGCAGTGTGGCACAAAACTTTATATTTTATAATTTGATAATTTGTGTTTCAATCACCTTTTTTAAGTTCAGTTAATTTGTGAAATAAATGATTGTGTGAACTTTGGGTTGAGGACAATGCATGACATTATATTATTGTTAATGACATCTGATTTTTAACTCTGAAAAAAATTTATTTCAAATAATTTGATTACAGCAAGAGTGACAATGGTACAAGAATACTGGATACGACAGCTGTAGAGGAGAATTACGACGAGGAACAAGATGATGAGGACTCCATGTCAAACGACAAGAACATCACTGAAACTAAACATAGTATTTCTACGAGCCCCAGTGAGTAGAACAATATAGTTTTCTTTAAACAAATTTTACATACCTATGTCTGATTTTCTATGAAATTATTTATTTTTTATTCAATTCAGACTGGCAGTTGAAACAACTGATATAGACAGAGATCTATTAATGCGTGCCTTAGGCAGACCGGTGGACGCACGGTCGACTGCCGAGCAAGATTTTTTTAGATTCGATTCTGATGTCGGAAAAAATATTTCAAATTTTTTATTCGGTAAAGAAACCTTTCCAAATGTTATAAAACGCTATTTGTTAATAAAGAGCGTCTAAATATGACGAATGCGTAGTTCGCGTGCCACTTGCATAGAGCATATCGCTCCTTAGGTATCAAGGTTTCGTTTACAAGTTCACACAGAACTGCAGCTATACACCAGAGTGCCAAGCACGAATAACTATCGCATTCGTAACGTAATAGTATCGAGCGCGTTCGGCGCTCTGATTGGCCGGCTCAAGTGAACCAACCAATCAGAACGCTTAACTCGCTCGATACTGTTACGATACGAATGCGATAGTTATTCGTGCTTGGCACTCTGTTTGCAGTATAGCAGCTCATATCATAGAGTACCTAAAAAACAGGTACAAATTGTAATGAATAATTAATCCTTTTTTTTACAGATTTAAGTGTAATGCAGTTCACAGTATCAAATCAAGGGTCTTTACAAATGATTCTGAACCGCTACATGTACTACTTGAAGTACACAAATAGGAACAACATGCGACAGTGGCGCTGTGTGGACTACCTTAGCAATATCAAGTGTCCTGCCCATGTATTTACCAAAGATGACATTGTTGTACAGAGGTGAGTTATTGTGGTATTGTAAAGCTTTATCTATGACTATAAACTATTTTTATCATTATTGACAAAAGTGTAGTTTTCAAAATCAATTAACTGTTACATATTTTATTTACTACTATCAACATCGAGACTGTTCTTAACACTAAAATATTAATTATTATTATGTTAACATGGGCACTACTACCTAACTTACTTAACTCAAAATTGTGTAGATTAGATATGAGATAGTTGAATAATGAAAAAATATTAGACACGTATTTTTTATTTTCTCGTATTAAGTTGCAATATTTAGATAAAATGGCGCTAAGTTTAGGGAGTGGGAGGTCGTGCTACAAAATGTGGCACGCTGTAACGCAATGAGATATTTCAAATTAATATAATAATATCGTCTAAAGTATTTAATTTTGTGAGAAAAGAAAAAATACGTGTCTAAAGTTTTAATTTAATGTACCAGACGGACATTCAAATCAAATTTAGGAAACTACCCTATTGCATCTTTGACGCATTAGCTAAACAACAGGCTCACTCACTGTGCGATACATAACAAACCTAGTGAGGAGTGAGTGTTTTATACTAAGAGTTCTCGAATATCGAAAACTCAGCAACACTTAACTCGACCCAAACCAGAGATTCTTCGGCAGCCACTCTTCTAACCAACGAGGCACTTTTATTTATTTCACTACCTGGGTGCTTACTCTTGAAATCTCAATGTCAATGCAATTTCAATCCAATAAAACCTCAATAATTATTCAATGTTAACACTATACAACCACAATCGTATCTGTTACAATAGCATTCAGAGTACGGAATATAAAACCAAACTCAATGCCATTTAGTTCATTGAATATCCACGCAATACTGATGCAATGGGCGCTAGTGTTGCAACTCAAGAGTACGAAATTTCACAATACTAATGTCGATCGATCGGAATTGGATTCAAGAGTAAACTCCCTGATCCGGCAAACTTCGCACCGCTTACAATTTGTTTTCTTACCTTTTAAACCTTCCCTGGATATCCACGAACATTTCAAGACCAAAATTAGTTTAGTTTAGTTTTAGCGAGACTTACGAACGAAAATTAATTTTTATTAATATAGATTTATTTTTATTTCAGGATATCAGCACACGTACACCCGTTCCACGACAAAAGGATATTGAAGAAACTAAAGGCAGGCGCAGTGTTCTCAGCGATACACGAAGCGGAACAACAACAGATATTTAAAAGAAATGATACTAATATAAGCGATTGAATAAAATATTTTATTTTGTATCTCGTATGTATATTTTCACATTTTTAACCCACAACCCCGGCCGGGTGTCCCGTCCCGGCCCTAGTGGGTCCCCGTCTGTAATGTTCCCCTAGGCTATTTTGGAACACGGGCCTGCGGACGGCGAGCACGGGTGACTCGCTGCCCGACCAGAACCAGGCCCGAGCGTACGGCGTCGAGCGTTCCGCGCGCGCCTCAAGGAGCCATCAGACCACCACAGATGGGGCCTAACAGGGCTGATGCTGGTACGGAGCCCGGAAGACTTAACGGGTTGCCGGGGCTCCGGCTCGAAGTGCAGGAGAAGGAACGGGGTGGTTTGTAGTCAGTAAGAGTCTGACACTTCCTCTTGCCTCACCCAGGCGGGAGAAGACATTGGATGATTTTTACACCTCAAAAAAAGAAAGGATCTTTTGTAAGTTTTAATTCGAAAGATCGGACTGAATGCGATCGCTGTGCGCCATATCATTGGTTGTGAGGATAATCTCGACCAATGACGGGCGATAATGCGCTTGAGCTCTTTTCGAAAGTTCGAATTTGACAGTTACATAATAGTAGAATGCCTTGTTAGCCGAGTAGTCGTAAGTGCGACTGCCGAGCAAGGGGTCTCGGGTTCGATTCCAGGGTCGGGCAAAGTATTACTAAAGTATTTTAAAAAATCTCAGTAGTAGCACGGAGTTTGGAATAGTGCCCGGTATATGGCAATAGGCTCACTCCCTATTACACGGGACTCATAACATAAATAGTGAAAAGTGGGTATTACGTAGTACAATGGAATTAAGTGCCCTAATATTCACCTCTGCCTACCCCTTTGGGGATAAAGGGTGTGATGTTATGTTACAGAATAGTGTAGCAGATGGCTCTGTGGGCGCGCGTGGAACGCTCGGCGCCGTACGTTCGGGTCTGGTTCTGTTCGGGCGGCGAACTTGCCGTCCGCAGACCTGTGCTCACGCTGCCCGGAGATCGGTACCTCTCAGAAGGAGACGGCTTCCTACTCCTTAGTTCCCCTTACTCCGCGCCATGGCCTGAACCATACCCGGATGCGAGAGGTCGCCGCCACCTATCACTCCTCTGAGGAAATGGCGGTGATCGGCACAAACATTACTGTAGTATGTGTGTACAGTACACAGATGACTAATTTTTAATTTAATATTCGTCTAGTAGATTATTTTAAATCATTAGATACGTATTTTTTATTTTCTTACAGAAACGAATACTTTCGACGATATATTGATTTGAAATGTCGCGTGACGTCATTTCTATGTACATTTTATACGTAGAAATAACGTTTTAGCCCCCACTCTTAAACTTTGTTTCGTTTTATCTAAGTGTTGTTTTATTATACGACAAAATAAAAAAAATACGTGGCTAATATTTTTCATTACCTAACTTACGGACTAATTATATATTTTTTTATATTTTTAATTTTCATACCCTGTCATCATCCCAATTATCAAACAAACAAACAAATACATATTTACTTCCATTTAGTTCATAAAATATATTTAATCTAATTTATATTTAATTGTTCTAGGTAGATTATAATACAATGCCTGTATAGAATTGAATTTGTACCACGGGCGATACGGTCCCATTATACTATTAGTCTATTAGGATATTATTACTAAGGCTTATAATAATATTATTTTCAATAGTATACATAAGTTAGGAAACACTAAATTACATAAAATCTATATTCTTGACATTTATTAAAATACCCACGGGCTTCCCTTCTATTTATACCTACCATATTAATTTTAACGACAACCAACAAATCTTCGTTTTTTTTTCATAACTTGGGGATAGCAGATACTGAGAAATGCGCTGTTTTGTTTTGGTGTAATTTAGATCATAAACTGATCTTTCTTTATTATTTTTACTGTACAAGTATGGGCCTAAAAATGCAAAAAACCGGATGTGTAAATATATACTTTGATTCTGAGCTAGACGTACAGACAGACGGCGAGCATGGGTAGCTCACCGCCCGTGTGTACGGCGCGTCGCGTTCCGCGCTCATCTCAAAGACCCATCAGACCACCACAGATGGGGTCCACTAGGGATGTTGGTGAAGTTAGCTGATCATTGTCCAGCAGATCAAAAATAAATGAGAGTTCTTGTCGCAAGCAGCCGAGTTCTGCAGTTCCTGATACCTTTTATAAATAGTTACGGCGTTTTTACCTTAAAAAAGACAATTGAAAAAATGATCTGCCAACCGGCTTTATAGCAGATCATAAATAAACGTCAGTTATTATCACTTATGAACATAGTCGCGGAGAACCAAACGGGTAACCGGGGCTCCGGCTCGACGTGTAGGAGAAGGAACGGGGTGGTTTTTAGTCAGTAAGAGTCTGACACTCCTCCACTTGTAACTCGATGTATTCCTCTCGGGGGGTAATAGTACAACTAATTTCCTACAAAATTAGCCCTTGGTCCCAGGTCCGACAGTGGTTGAAATTTGGCTCTAAAACCGCATTGCTTGTTACAGATAAGGGATAGGTAAGGGACTGTCGTGGGTGCATTAACAAACATACAAGTTCACATACACATAACACCCAGACCCGAAACAAGAATTTATGGATCACACAAAGAGTTGCTCCGTGCGGGAATTAAACCCGCTGCACATTACGTGGCAGCCGGTTGCCCAGCCACCGCGCCAACCATGCAGTCACTCAATTAGTGTTGCTACGCAGCACTTGACACTTCTAATCTTCTAAATTTAATGTGATCGTTCATCGCGGTACGTAAGTATCTATAGCAGGCAGTTTTGAGGCAGCGTAAGTTTCACCGGCGGCTGCAAATTCTGCTGGTGATGCATCACGTGCCGCCGCAGCTGACCGATCGTCGACTTCGGTTCAGCTTTTAGGTGGGCACACGTGAACACGTCGACCCCAATGCGTGCTGACGCTGACATTGCCGCTGACAAACTTGCTGAAACACAAGATAAGCAAAAAAAACGGAATCGGGACAATGGGTATACTTTTATTCATAACTTAACATAAAGCCTTTTATTCCCATACGGGTATGAAGAGGTTCACATTACGGCACTTAATGCCACTGTATAATGTAACACCCACTTTTCACTATTTATATCATGAGTCGCATGTAATAGGGGGTGACCCTATTGCCATACACTGGGCACAATTCCAGACTCCGTGCTACTACTGAGAATTTTTTTTAAAACCCGGTAATACTTTGCCCGACCCGGGAATCGAACCACTTGCCCGGCAGTTGCACTTGGGACCTCTCGGCCAACGAGGCAGTCTTTTAGAGACTTTTATTCATATATCGGAAATATTCAGAATAGAGCAGAATCTACAGCCATATTTCGACTTCTATTAATCGTAGAGTGATGTTTAATAGTCTATCTAAGCTAGGCTTAGGCCTTCCTTGTTAAATGCACTACAGAATCCTGTGAGATAGTTTTCAACTATGATGCGAAGGAAGCCGCAGACAAAGCGCTATTAAATAAACGCAAATAATATTAACTTTTATTGTAATGTGTAAAGATTGCAAACACTAGGTAATTAATACTAAAAATAATGGTAATTGTACTACTGAAAAATGTGTGAGTACTTGTATAATATATATCATTACATAATTACCTATTATTACTTAAAGAAACTTACCTTAGTTTATAATAATACCGTATATCTACACAGGCACATACGTCACACACCTTCAATGAAACGTATACAAGATCAAGGTAACTAACGAAGTCCAAGGTTGAAACTATTTATGATTTATATCAAGCTGTTCTTCAGTGGTCAGGCAGTTCAGGCCCATGTGCTGGTGTGATGCACACAGGTACTCGTAAATTTACTTAGGTACCTAGCTATATTTTTATCTATCTTCACAGTTGGTTAGCCAATAATAGATGAATAAGGATGAACAAATTGAAATTGCACTTAAATACATACCTGCATTTGCTACTGCAGTTGCCCGCTGGCTATTTTCCCGCACAGACGTGTGCAAAAATATATCAAGATGCTACTCCCGATCGTGTTTATTATGATATTCGCGAGTGCTTGTGAAGGCTACAAAATTCTAGCACTGCTTCCTTACCCAGGGAAGAGTCATTTTATGGTGTTTGAGCCAATTTTGGATGAATTAGCTAGACGAGGTCATCATGTCACTGTAGTTTCCTTCTTCCCATCAGCGTCACCTCATGCAAACCGACGTGACGTCAGTTTGGTGGGTCTAGCACCATTAAACGTAGAGGTAATAAACCTCCAAGATTTTGACAATCCCACATTTTTATCAAGTAAATTCTCTTTTCAATTTTCTTTATTGTCCAATATTATGGCTTTTAATTTACAACTTTGCCAAACCGTTCTGTATTCGGATATTTTCGAAGAGTTTGTAAAAGGTGAAGGTGCATACGATGTCGTGTTAAGTGAACATTTTCATACTGATTGCATGATGGGCATCGTGCACATCTACAGGGCACCTTCAGTGGCTCTGATGTCCTGTGCCTTAACACCGTGGGCATTCTCGAGGTTTGGAGCTGACGACAATCCTGCTGTCTTTCCCTCTATGTCACTACCACTCGTTGATGAAATGTCATTCCTTGAGAAACTGGTAAACGCGTTTAATGTAAACTTGTATAAATATTGGCATAGTTATACAACTAGGAACGAACAGAAACTTGTGGAGACGAGGTTAGATCGCAAACTGCCACCGCTGAATGAACTAGCGAAGAATGCAAGTGTTGTGCTTGTAAACACTCATCACACTCTGAATGGAGTGAGGGTGTTACCGCCGTCAGTGGTTGAAGTCGGAGGCATACATCTTCACAACAAAACAGTGAAACCTCTACCCGAGGTAAACAAACGTTACACGCTATTTAGATATATATTTTATTAGGTAGGTACCTAGGTAGTTCAATACTTTTCCCTTGCATGCACTACTATTTTACCATTTAAACTCAATGTTAAAAAAGTGTAGGGATGTAAATAAATATCTGATGACGTAACTAGGTGACTTTGTACAACACGTCCTTGTGTACAATATATACCTACTATCTAACTAGTCACATCTTCGTTCTTGACTAAAATCTTCATTAAAATAATTACGTACCCACTTTGTCTGAACCGCTCAAGTGAGTTGCAGTATAAATAGTTGATAGTTATTCAATATACAGGCAAGTCTTCTAAAAATAGCTTCATCGTCTCGCCGTTGTCTTTCTTACAAATAGAAAATAGGTATAATATAACGAAGTACCTATTTTATGAATTCCTCCGCTTAACAAAGATTTTATTTTACCCAGAATCTCGAGCGCTGGGTATCAGAATCAAGACATGGGTTTATTCTCTTCAGTTTCGGATCACTAATCCGCGGTTCATCGTTGCCGCCAAAAAAATCGGAAGACATATATTATTGAAAGTTTTCGCGCGCTTACCGCAACGAGTTCTATGGAAATGGGAAACGGAAGATATAAAAGGGTTGCCAGATAACGTCCTCGTGCTGAAATGGCTGCCACAATACGATTTACTTAGTAAGTTATTGCTTTAATAACTGCACCTACTTTTAAATATTTAGCATGGATTAATTGTGTATTTAGGTACGAATTAAAAAAAATCTTGTCACCTCTACATTGGACTCATAACATAAATGGTGAAAAGTACAGTTACATTGTACAAACAGTGGCATTTAGTGTCGTTATGTACACCTCTGCTTACCCCTTCGGGCGTGATGTTCTTGTTTATGCTGCTACTTAGATAATTAATTAATTAACCAAGATATACATAACCGTTACAACTCACATCAAGCATATCGTTAAAAACAATAGTCGTTTGTTAAAGAGGAAGCCATGTGGAACCGTACTGTAACTGTTCCCTCCTACCTACATTTCTAATCATATCACGGCATTATGATCAACATGCATAAGTCTAGATTTACGGTGATTTTTACAATTCATTCATCCAATGAATTAATAGAGTGACTCAGTTGAGCAAGAGAGGCGGTTAAAAACTTAAATACCTACGTAGTAACTTAGAATTTAGAGTAGATATCTATGTGCTTAGATAAGGCTAAGGTAAACCTAGATCCTATGAATTCTGGATTAGATTGAACTGCCGGGATAGTCCGGGCGGTCGTGAGGTTTTTGCCCCTACTTATAAATCAGCTAATGTTATGCACAACGCCACAACGGTAAAACATCACCTAAAAATCTGTATTTCGTTGGTCCTACCGAACTCGTTCTGAAGCGAGAAAGTGGTCATTTCAAATTACCTACTAATATTACCTATCTTCTCAATTACTAGATCACCCAAACTGCGTGGCCTTCATAACTCACGGTGGCCTCCTGAGTTTGACAGAAATCGTTGCAGCAGGAGTACCGGCGCTGGTTATACCAATATTGGGCGATCAGCCTGGAAACGCCGCATTCGCTAAACGAGCTGGAATCGCAGAAGTATTAGAATTCCATCAAATTGATGAGGAGACATTTTACAATGCCCTCATGAAGGTTTTAACGCCAGAGTAAGTGCAAGATATTAAAGGTGATTGAGATTAGGTATTAGTATCGGATTTAAAAAAATATTAACTGAATCAATATGTACCTACATGTTAAACGTAGTTTTATTAACAGGGTAAGAACCGATTTCTATTTTGAATCTTTCCCGAAAGGAATATCGGTGATAGTATTAAAATTATCATACACTATCTTTCATATCAGTAAGTAGGTACTCTTGCTTAATTATCTTGAATTTTCCAACGAGACCTACTCACTACATGGTGCTAGCCCGCAGTTTTCCTTCGTCGTTCAATAGGATTTTCGATATTTGGCAGTTGCTGTGATTGGACAAAAATCCCCTTTATATTGGAGCCATGTCATGAGCAAAAAAACATTAGCCTCATTAAAACAAACATGTAAATTCCCTACTTACTTTTACGAACTTTACTAGTAGTGACTAATGTAGGTAATCGTGGTCAAATTGAAAACATACCTTAATGTTTATAATTTTTAATTATTATAATTTTATAATTTTACAGAATGCGAGATCACGCCAAATCGTTCAGCAATCGTTGGTGGGAACGCCCCTTACCGCCTATGGAGACAGCCATACACTACATAGAAAAGACAGCTAAATATGGATATCTCAACATGTCCTCACCTGGCCGTCTTATGACCAAACCAGAACTTTTATTCTTCATGTCTATTGAATATTTAGTTTTATTTAGTTTAATTTTCTTTATTGCTTTATTAGCTAAATGTTTCTTCTGTCCCCAAAAGATTGAGAAATTTAAACAGAGTTGATGTTACCATAGTTGTACGCAATATTTTAATTTATTAATAATAAAAGACGAATTGTTGTTTTCTAGTTATAGTATAGACTATTGCAAAAAGGCAAGAGTTTGGAATGAAACAAAGTAATTATTAAAAAATAAATTTATTGTCCCTGATTTATTTTAACATTTATAAAAAAATACAAAACATTGTACAAAAATATTTATGACGATTCCTTTATTTTATTTATCTTTATCACATAATTACCTAGATGAGCAAGTTGATGCAGTGTAAAATGAGTTGGGAACACTCAGATGGAATGTGTTTGACAATAAATACTTAGATTATCTATTTTACTAAATAAAATAATAATAAATATAAATGGATATATCGTTTTACGATCGGAAGCGAACAGCTTCATATCCCTAATCCCAAAACAAACACGCATAATTTTTCTTTTCTTTTTGTGCGTACTTTTTCTATATTGCTAACGGTTTCTATGGATTTCGGATGATTTTGAAAATTGAACTCGACAGATGGCGTTGCATAATGTTAGCTTTATTGCTAGTGCTCGAGTTCAGAAAACTGCTTCGTTTTTTTAATTATTCCGTTCAAATATAACGAATAGGTACAAAGGTCTTTAAGAATAGATAGTCTTAAAAAATAATCTTCTTCATTATTATTTAATAAATAGTAATTTAGTAATTGATAAGGAATGTATGTTATGAACGGACCCAAAGATAATGACTGCTGTAACATGAACCAGAGTATTATTATATTTAAACAATCTATATACGTATCCAATAACACTTATATACTACTTAATACAATACATGCATGCAAGCACAGAATGCATTCATACTATTCAAAACATAATTTTATTTAAGGCCACTCTGGTTTAAGGATTATGCGTTAAATATTTCAATAAATACAATTTTAGTTTAATTAATGGAAGACCGCGATATGACTTTTAAAGTCGGGAATCTACCTAAAATAAATGCGACTTTTACTGTCTAAGTAACAATCTCATAATATCATTTGTTAATAAAATATAATGAATTTTGGATAAACAACAGTACAATAAATATTATTAAATCGTTACAAATAACACCCGAAGATTAAAAACCTGATAAATATAATAAAATTCAATAATAGATTCAATACGTCTCATGGTTAAGACGCTTACCTACATTCTAAAATAAATGCATGTTTAAGTACAAGTTACCCGGTTACATTTCTAGCTAAGTGTTGTTTCACAAAGGTTGGTAGCACGAATGCAGCCTTATGAATATCACTGCTGTAGTACCTTAACTTCATCTCTTTTTCATCTTCTTCAGTAAAAACATGTTCGGGTTTATCAAAAACGACGTCTTTGTCTAAAGATCCGATAACGAAACCAATTTGTCCTGAGGGGTATGTGGGGACTGAAGCGTAGGCGTAAGCGGCTTTAGCAAACTGGTTATTGCATATTTGTAGAATATTGGACACAAGGTCTAGATCATTCCAGACGGTTCCAGCCTGGGAGCAAATTATCCCGTTTGGTTTCAGCGCACCTTTCAAGAGTATAAAATAGTTTTCTCTGAACAAATTTACGGCTGGCCCTACGGGGTCGCTACTGTCCGTGATTATAACATCGAACTCGTGTTTATGATTTGCCATAAATTCAAATCCGTCGCAGACGTGAAGTTTTAGCTTTGGACTGTCGAAACCTACCGCCATAAACGGTAGGTATTTTTTCGAGACTTCGATGACTTTCTCGTCGATTTCCACCTGGAATTGTTGATTATATTTTTAATATAAGCAGCTTATTTATAGTTTTGTTAAATAAGTTCGACTGCACGGTTGGCGCGGTGGCTGGGCAACCGGCAGCCGTGCAACGTGTAGCGGGTTCGATTCCGATCCGGGCGGGATCACACAGATCCATAGATTGTTGCTGCGGGTCTGGGTGTCATGTGTATGTGAACTTGTATGTTTGTAAACGCACCCACCACAAAGGAGAAAACGCTAATGTGAGGCAACGTATTTAAAAAAAAATGCACAGCTATGTATTGTACAGGTTGATTAATTGTAGTTATACAAATGTACAGTACCTAAATAAGGTAAAAAACGATATTATCCAGTTAATAATATGAACAAGTTACCCTTCCTGTTGGGTCAGATAAGTGTTATCAGCTTAAAGTAATTATGTACTGTGGTCCCCTGATAAAAGGTTACAATGTGGTACATTATCATTTTTAGTGGGGTATTGACAGACCATCTTAGTAAATGTTTAGATATTTATAAGTATGCTGTTATGTTACAAAAGATTGATTAGAATAAATTGTGTAAGAGATTCTAAAATATACAATTTTCGGCTTGGGGATCTTATGACGAATAGTAACAAAATAGGAATATACCAGTTATGGTTTTCACAATTTGGTTTTTACGATTTTCAGATTATTTTTTATGTTTTTGGCTTACTCACATAACTGCTTGAGGAGGATCCATTCGAAATGCTCTCTGAATATGAGCCTCTTACTATTGATTTAGTATGTCTTACAAACATTTTAATTTATGGATGGTTGTTAAATGGTTCTGACGTTTAAACTTAAAAAAGACGATTAGAACAGCGAACATGTGATACATTAAATGAAAGATAAAGACATACCTGGACTATTTCTTTCACTTTGGGGTGTTTGGCAACTTCTCGGGCAACTCCTCCATCACCTCCACCCACAATCAGCACCTTTTCCGGATTCTTGTGAAGGCACAGAGGTAGGAATGATATCATCTCCTATAAAATAAGTGAAAAGTTTTTTTGCAATGAATTATTCCATAGTAACAAACTTAAATAATGAAAATAAAAATGGGGTAGAAAATGAACAAAAAAATATGTACAGGTCATGTGGTACGGTTTAAGTCGTTGAGTACTGTTATTATAGACAATAGGTAAAAAAATTAAAGAACAATAAATTGCGGTCACCGGTGACCGCTCGGTGTTTGAGAGTTTAAAAAACTATAAACTTATTGTATGAATGAGTTTTATACCCAAATACTGAAAGACTACTCAATTTTAAGTTGTACTTAAATATCGTGCCCTCTCTCTTACTTCATCATCTTACAAAGAATTTGTAGACAAAACTATTAAAATTGCATGGTGTTTCAGTGTTTGGGCATTAATAAAGTTTTTTTTTAATAAACCATGGAGATACACACCTGGTAAGCAAATTCGTCCTTCTCTGTGCATTGAATAATGCCATCTAGTACCAACACTTTACCAAATTTAGTAGTATCATACACATTTATTTTTTGGTAAGCAGATGGCTCTGAATACAAAACTTCTTTAACTTCAATGGAGAATGTACCACCAGGCCACATCTCACAATCTTCAGTGAACCAATTCTTTTTTAGGGTATCCATTTTTAGTTGGGGTCTGAAACAAAATAAAAAAAAATATATATAAAAATACCATCATTTTTAAAACTCTACATTCGGAAAAGAAAACATGTTTTATTCAACATCCTTACTGCAATTACTATTGCAATTACATTAAATGTACCAGAAAAATACACCTACAAATTATAATACTTTTTTATACTAACAAGTTTAAGTTTAAGGACTAATAAATTAATGAAGTTAAACATCAAGCAGAAAAACTTGTTTTTAAATAGACAATATTAAACATTTAAATACCAATTTAACAACCACATTAATTTCTATGCATAATAAAAACCAATCATTTATGTTCTACGTGAGCTATGTAAGCTATTATTATGGTAATAACACTTAGTGTTAAGTTAGGTACTTAGAAATAATAAAAAAATACCCGACTATTAACAGCAAAAATAAAAAAAATAAAAAAAAATATACTGGTTAATTTTATAAGACCCGTGGCGTTGAAGATTATGTTAGATGGTACACCTTGTACTATTTCGTTTTCGGTTTGTACCTACTTACAGAGATAATAATTATTAATTATTGCGCTCGCGCACCACACACGAATCGCTCAGGGTATAAGTGCGACTGAATAGAACTAACCGTGACTAAGTCCAAGGCAGCACCAAATGGTTTGTTTAATATTCTTTATCACTTTACTGATAAGATTTGGTTACAATTCATAATTTGATAAAAGAAAACATAAAACAACAAAATCACTACGTACGTGCTGGACGGACGTAAAGAAAGGAATGTCAATTGTCAAGAATGACAATGACAATTATAAAATTGACATTTAGTTGGTCATGCCATGAATGATGTCAACTGTCGAACGATTTTTACTCGAAGGTTCGAATTCGAACGTTGAACGTTTTTCAATGCGGTTATTCCCGCTCGTCACCCCAAGCTTTGTCCCCTCCGGTGACAAGTGGGAATTATATTGAAAAAAAATCCCATATGTCGTTCGACATGAATAATAATTTTGTGATAAACAAATAGTAAATAAATAAATAACTTTTGTGTTAGATAAACATTTTCATTTTATCAGAGAAATTTCAAAAAACATCACGGTTATACGCCAGGCCAGACAAAGGCGTTCGACGAATTTTCTATAAGTTGAGGAGTTGAGGAGCCTCTTTCCAAGTAACGCTAGCAATACTAATTTGAGGCTGCTATTGTCAAATGTGTTGTCCAAATCAAAATATAGATAACAAATGTCAATGTCAGTGTCAGTCAGCTGAACCGAATTGTTTTGAAATTGAAAACTGAAAATTAATAATTTTTATGAAATTAATTGTTAAAAAAAGTACCTACGTGTTATATATTTATGAAACGAGTAATACCGGAAAGGAATCCGGTCAGAATCAGATCAGATATAGGAATATCTACGTTTAGTCAAGAAAAATAGAAATAACAGCATATGAAACTTGAGATTTTAGCTGAAATTTATCGTCAACATCAGTTTCAGTTAGCTTATTTTCCTTCGTATTATAACCTACACACATACAATACTTTATATTATCCAAAAAAAATCTTATTGTTGTAATAAACTATGAGTATCACAACGATCACGTTTGATGAATTTATCGCCTCTGCTAAAGAATTTGTCGAAAAATCTGAGAAAATAGGCGATGATTGGACATTGAAGGAGGATAAAACAGATAATCTTAAGACTTACTTAAGAAAAGACACATTTGTTCAATGTCAGGATGAAAATATGAACCATTTATTGAAAGTGGAATATGTGATATTTTACAACTTGAGTTATGGAGTTCCTTCATTCAGTTTTAACGCCTGGAACTCTACTGGTACATTGGTTACTTTGGATGATATAAGAAAAATGTCCTTTATACAGTAAGTATTACCATATACAATTAATTTTTCTATACTACAGAAAACTTAAAAATAACTTGTTTATTAAATAGAATAAAGTATAATACCTAAAGTAACAATACCAACTGTTTCTCTTTTTTAATATTTATTGATATATAAAAAAGGAAAACAGGTACTTTTTTCTTTACATACATAACTTCATTCAACTTTTTTACTCCCTTTCCAGGATAAATGAAAAGGACTTCTACTCAGTAATAACACAACAAGAACACCCTATATTCCAAAGGCCCTACTTCATAATGCATCCGTGCCACACTGAAACATTACTGGCCGCTTTTAAAAACAAAACTAAAAATATTATTGTAACCTTCTTGGGTCTTATAACTCCTTTGATTAGGCTCAATTTGCCTTTGGAGTATGGATTATGATGAACTGAATAGAATATTTTCTTTAATAGAAAACTACTACCAACAATTGTTGCAATATAATTTGTATGGAATCATGTATGTTAGGGTGTTGGCCATATTTTAATTTTTTAATAGATTAAGGTATGTAATAGCTTCACCTTTTGTTTTTAAATACTGCATTGTTGATTAACTTATTTTTTTTATATTCATTTTTGAATTGCAGTAATAACTATGTATCTTGTGTTTTCAGATTATCGGATCTTAAATATAAGTTATTATTGTTTAATCAAGAATAAGAATAAAAGATTAGCAAATATAGCACTATAACCATGTAAACATCATATAATTGAAAATGGACCTTATGTGGTTTACATAAGTTATATTTAAAAAAACATAATTTATTCCATTAAATGCCAGGTTTTCTATCTATTCTAGTTGCTAGGTTTAGAACATGTAAACATTCTATTAAATAAATAAAATGTAATGAAATCTCCATAACTTCTAAATTAGAAAAATTCTCCAACTTCAAGATTCAAATTAGAATGGGGAATGCTCTTCGAGCCTTCCGCGTTAGGCCTTCTGCGGCTCAGCATTGGGCTTAAGCCATACTTGTCCCCATCTGTAGTGGTCTGATGGCTCTTTGAGGCGCGCGCGGATCTGGTTCTTTAGACTAATAGACAATACAGTTTTACCAGGTTTAACATGATCTCCACTATTGGGAGGTGAGATAAAGGTCGCAGTTAAAAAGTTCACGAAATTCGGCATAAAATTGAACTGCGCCAACGTAGCAGCTAGCAGTACTTTGACTGGCCATTGTGGTGGTGTGCAATATAATAATATCATGTTCGATTAGTCGCTGTAACCGATATTGTTGAACACTGTTATTATTTGTCTTCCGGTCGTTCATCAGATCAAGCGCCCCCAGTAGGGACGGACGCTCTAAAGGGACACCGACAACATACCTAAGCAAGCCAGGACTGGAATGCCAGGAGAAAAGAAAACCTCAGTATGGTGGCCGAAGCGGCAATATTGGTGAAGCGTGCAGCTCAAGACCGGTCGTGATGGAAACTTTCTGTAGACGCCGTCTGCCCCATCTAAGGGACACAGGATATTAAGTCAAGTAAGTAAAACATTATTTGTTTGTTATTCAGCTATAGGAATTTCTTTATTCTCTTCTAACACGAGGATCAATAACTGGCGAAAAGGGGCTGTGTTAAAATAAAAATAGGTTACACTTTACACCTCTTTTTAACCCCTTTTTTAAGGGGGGGAAATCATCGAATGACTTCTCTCGCCTGGGTGAAGCGGGAGGGATTGTCAGACTCTTACTGACTAAAAACCACCCCGTTCCTTCTCCTGCACTTCGAGCCGGAGCCCCGGTAACCTTTTAAGTTCTCTGCAGCTTCTGTTTGTCCCTAGAGGGAAAAACAAAGTTACCTAATAAAGCTTTAAACAATACCACGACACGTGCACGCAACATTAATTGATTCATTCATCATTCTTTTACAACCTTTTCTAATACCTATATTGGATTATACCTATTACTGGAAGCAAGTATAACAGCTTACACATAGGATCCATTTCGGTTTTAGTTAATTTTCCGTGTTGCTTGGCGACTGGGCTTCACCCAGTTGTACAGTCTCTTTTTTGTGCCTTTAGGCTTAATTTATTCTGTCTCCTGCAGTAATGCACTGAGGGAAGTGGAAACTATCTTTTTTTTCTTCTCCTCTTATAATATCTTCTGATTCACTTCAGAACTAAGACAGTTATTCATGTCCCTGGGACGCCGGACTTCAGTGTTCCGGTGTATTCATGGTTTTGCCTACTGTAGATCCTGGCTTGTCAAAGTCAAAAATCAAAGTCAAAGCATTTATTTTAATTAAACCATAATTTGGTACTTTTGAAACGTCAACAAATACAAAATAAATAATAGTCTGTCAGTCAGTCCGTCAGTGAAGCTAGGCGAACCAAAATGTAGATTCGAATGGAGAAGAAATTGTGGCGGGCTTGTAAAAAAAACCTTTTCCAATTAACTCCATGACTCCTAAGTTCCTAAATCATTATCAATCCTCATAATTATATGACATGTTGTTGGCCTAACTAAGTTTTTTTTTTTAATATTTGGAAACGGCCGATAACATTGCCGACGAAAATTAAACTAAAACAACGAAGGTCTAGGGCCCACGTCACATCGACATGTCGTCAAACTTTTATTGATATCGTATTGGAAGATTAGATAGCACTCGCTATCAACTTAGCCGTGTATTCATTGTTATATTTGTGTTTCACTCGAGCGGTCATGTATGTGTTGTACATAAATAGTTAAATAACACAACCTCCTTTTTTTAAAGTCGGTTAATAAATGACTGTTTGTTGCTAAAATGTGATACATGTGTTTAAAATGAGACAGTGTGTTGGATATATTTTCAATTTGATTCATAGAGTGTATTTGTATTTATTATCGTGGGTGGCTTATTTTTGGTCCTTTTTTTACGATGTGAGTATTTTTTTAAATACTGTTACTAGACTTTTAGTGGTGAAAAGCAGATTTTAGATATATTCTGTGTCTAGTGTCTCTGCTTAACCCTTCGGGACATAATAGGCGCAATGTTGTGTTTAAAATAAGTCCGTTTTGTGAAGTTATCGATAGCATAGCAACTACCTTATATTATACATAGGAGTTGGATTTATTTTTCTGGGGCAATATGAATTTTTAATTTTGAATGTACTGGATTCACTAGTGTTTATACAGGAGTAGGAACAGGGTGGTTTTTAGTCAGTAAGAGTCTGACACGCCCTCCCGCCTCACCCAGGCGGGAGCAGTCATTCGATGATTTCCCCCCCTTAAAAAAAGTGTTTATACTCTTTAGTGGAGTTCGGGAACTTTACTCTTATGTTATTAATTTTGATTCTAGAAGTAGTTACTTTATATTTATTTTATTTGATAGGCATTGTTTTACCTTTCCCCATTCATTTAGTACGAAATAACAATAAATTGTCACTTTCTATAAATTGTGAAATTATATAAATATCTTTTGCAATCCTAAAAAACATTTTTGAAGAATTTAAAACTAATCTAGTAGATAACAGAGTCTACTTAAGTATACTCCAAAAACACCGGCAACGTACTTGTAGCTTCCTTCTGTGGTGTTGAAAAAGATAGAAGTGCTGTTCGTGGACATCCGATCAGCCGACAAATCACCTGGTGGTCACCGACCAGTCCTGTCTATAGACATCAGTCAATCATTTCATCTGTCTCTTTAGCTCTTTATCCCATAAAATAAATCCTACTAAATGACGACATACAAACTATCATCAACTAGCGATCCGCCCCGGCTTCGCACGGGTGCAATATGCATTTATTATACATATAAACCTTTCTTAAGAATCACTCTATCTATTAAAAAAAACCGCATCAAAATCCGTTGCGTAGTTTTAAAGATCTAAGCATACATAGGGACAGACAGACGGCGGATAGCGACTTTGTTTTATACTATGTAGTGATTAACATCACTATGATATCTATAACACACCCTCAGCTGAACTTAGGCCTTCCTTACAGGTGCTGAGGCTGGCCTTTTATACCCAAAAAAACCATTTCTCAATAACTTCATTCAAATCAGAAGGCCAAACGTCGTTTGAATTACAAAATATTTTGGAATGTAGTCTCTGTTAAATATAGCTCATGTAATTGTAAAACAATATATAGATACATAAAAATGTATGTATCCTATCTCACACAGTCAGAACGTTGGTTTATTGCAGTAATTACGTTACTGGCTTATTGTTACGTCCCTATTGATAAACATTTGAGTTGTCATTCATATTACTTTTCATGTGCATTCTTAATATTATGCAATTACCTATTTTTAAAGTTTTATTTATGTCAATTCCCCGGAATTTAGAAATAAAATTATCTTCGACGATTAACGAAATCCAAACGAGACCGCGTTCGGGGCTCTGATTGGCCGGCTCCGATGAACCAACCAATAAGAACGCCGAACACAGTCTCGTTTACTCACGTAAAATAAACTTTATGTGTTGGGCCTCCCCTCCCATTCTCCCTTAAATCGAAATGTTTTCATAGTTGCCATTTCTGGGCCAAGATTCCAGAGACAAATAAATAAATAAATAAATAAAAAAATCCTAGACAGATTTCTATTTTAAACCCCTTTTTGATTATCCTCCTAGGGCCTATATTCATAATGTTACTTAGGTATTTTTATTCGATTCATAACTATTGTTGATGATTTGTAGATATTTACTTTAATAAATCATGGATAGATAGGTAGGTGCTACGTAACTCATATCATATCTGACATCATATCATTATTGATCTTGAGAGTTCCCTTCAATTCTCAATAAACAGGTAACGCTTAGGTAGTTAGCAACAGCGTGTGAACGTAGCAAAAGTGAGTATCTAAAAAAAAAACAACGGATACAAGATAATTTTGAACCTGCGCACTTTGGGTAATTTTATATTTTCTTCCACATAAAGTAAGAAAACATAATGTGTTATAACTTGACAAAATTCACAATAAAAATAAATACTTAATTTTTTGAACCACTGGATGCAGGTAACCAGCAATTTGGAAGTCTTTGAAGGGAGGCCTGAGGCCTATATCAATGATAGGCGTCTTGCAGCTAATGTGTATGATGATAACGAATGGCACTCACCAAATTAAATCTCCATATCTATTGCATAAATTGTGTTTTTTTTTTACTGTCAAAAATGTCAACGAATATTTTTCTGCCCCTATAGATAAATCGATACCGAGACCCCTTGCAGTCTAGGTATCTATAATAGTTTTATGCAAATGTTTATCATGTAATAATGATTAATTAATTGTATACCTACTACATTAATTAATATTTAATCACAATCTCATATCTTTACTTGCTCGTTATTTTGTTATTCATTAAAATTCAGTTACCTATCAAGGCTATTATAGCCTTGAAGGTAAGTAATCGGCGCCGCCTGTAGACACCCGAAACACCAGAGGCGTTACAAGTACGTTGCCGGCAGTAATTTAAGGATTGTTGGGCTTTCGGGGTTTGGGGAGTTTCGATTACATGACGAAACACAACGCAAGCGTTGTTTCACACCGGTTTTTTGTGCGGTCGTGGTATCACACCGGTTAAGCCGACCCATTCATGACGAAGCATGGGTCTTAGTAGTATATTATGTCTTAATTCTGTAGCTAGAACATCGAGGATTAGTTCGTCTTATCGTGTCGTACCTATAGGTAACTAGTGACAGTGTGTCATCGTTTAGCTATCAGCCGCCTAACAACCTGTCCGTTCAAGGGTAGGTTCCCAGAAATTGCAATCAATACGTCAACTATCCATATAAAATATACAAAGCGGAAAACTGCATCGACAATATTACACGTAGGTAAATAAGTAAGTGAAGAGGGAAAGTGTCTAATGCAAATAGTCAATTTGGTGTCTTTTATGGTTTTATCTAGGTTTAGAGAGTTTAGAAGTTTGTAGCACTAAAGGGGATAAAAGATTAAGGAAATGGTAAATGAACCGTATATTTTTAGTAGAATAATTTCGTAAACTGGTGAATATTTCATTTACCTACTAATTATAAATTTAGACATTATGCACGTTAACCTTTAACCAGGTCATTTGCTAATTATTAAAGTTCGCAACAATAATTTTATTGTCATCAAACGATCGAGCCATACTTATACGTAATTGCAAAATACCGAACAAATTAGCGAGTAAATTGATCATAGACCTGATTGAATATAGCAAATTCATATGACGTCACAGTTTAATTCTCCACGTTCAGCCAGTATAAAAGCTCACCATGAAATAGCGAAATTACTATGCAGTTATGTCTGGGCTTTTTTTGATCCCTCCGTAGTATAGAGACAAAACTGTATGTCTGTTTGTAGCAATATATTGTTTAAAGTTAAACTGCTGAATAGATTTTAATGAGATTTTGTAAGAAGTTAGTTTGTAAAGAATGAAAGAAAATGTCCTTGTTCTATATTTGGGTTTTGTAGGCTATAGCAAAATTAACACGTTGAACGCCATGGGGGTCACCGGTGACCGGCGTTAGCGGAGGATTTACCTTCAACAGTTTTTTATTGGCAGTCAAAGTCTTAATGATATTTTTTGGTTCGGTTAGCATAGAAGGCGACACGTAGTGTTCATTAAATGTAGTGGTCAGTGGACAAATATTGACACAGTACTAATATACAAATAATTACATGCATCGAAGGCACTCAATGGCATTGATTGCTCATCAGATTGCCAATATTGTATGCCGTGAAGTCACTAATATTTTTACACTTTATAGTGTCTTATCCACGCTTTGTTGTAAGAATATTTTTCATTTCAATTTCAATAGGTTATAATTAAATTATTATGTTTTTTTTTCTCAGATTAATTATTTAGTTTTTGATTGTTCTGACTAAACTACGTAACGCTAAGTGATCTCTGTCATTTAGGAGAACTTTAGTCAGCTGTATCGGGAGTACTTATAACATCTTTTAGCGTATATATGGTCCACACTATTTATACAATACAATACAACACATACAATATACAATACTTACTTACTTACTTACCGTATTGGAACTCATTTAAATTAGGCAAGTTGCCCTTCAATTAAAAATTAACAAGAATCTTTTTAGTCTCAAAGGTTAGAAAATGATTAAAAGTTCTTATGCTAACATGTTTAAAGTATCGTCGGGTAATCTTTGACTAATGGTGAGGTGAGGGAAGCGCTAATTGGCTGTCAGATGCTAGACTTCTCACGATTAGCTGCAGCAGTTGGTAGCGACCGGTCCTGACATTGGATGCCCGTCCAATGGCACGTCAACACTGGCCGGTATGTTGCGCCCACCTAGAGCCGGCCATTAAAAAGTTTCTTTCGTTGTTACTCGCCTAAAATTCGATAATCAAATGAAGGTAATTTAGTGTTCTTTTTTTGAATGTTGTTAGTTTTTGTTTTTTTTTTTACTTTTATGCACTTTTATATGTTTGCGGAAAGTTACGGAAACACGGAGACTATTAAACGTAATAATATTTATTTTAAATAAATGCTGATGTTATTTTTTTTCTAAAATTCTTCATTGTTAATTTCTACTTGTCTCTAGTCGAGACCAAAATAATACCTAATAATTATTCAATTTAGTGCTGCATAAAACCTGAAAATTAGTTGATTAATAATGATATGTCCAAGGGTTTTTCATGCCCATGAAGAATGTACCCCTAAATCTGATACGTCACGTCTCACGTCTTATATTTTTCTAATGGGCTTTAGAGTAAAGCCCTATAATATTATTCAATCAGTCATCATTATTTTTGACTGTCCAGATCTACTCAAACTCTTTAAGGTAAACTTCGAAAATATTAACCGTCATTAAAAATGTTGAACATTTTCTATCGGGAATAAAAATAAATACCTTATCCGTGCACCGTGCACCTTCATAGCCACTGAGATGTGCAAAACGAAAGTTTTTGAAAAAAGATTTAGATAACTTAAGATTAAAATATTCACATGATCTGGATTTCGATAGAAGCTAGATATAGCTAGTATATCTTAGTATCAGATTTTCTCGTATAACCAATAAAATACTTACCCAATTTTGTTGAACTTGGCTTTTTACGCTGCTATCAAACACTTGAGTTATCTTAATACTGTTGATGTGATAACGACATTTTGACTGTTCAGTGCCCTCAATATGCTATAATATAAAAATATGTTGCACCGGCTTGCAGTTACATAAATACACAACGTAATGTTCGTGGCTTTAATTGTGTGCACCTGGTGGACTCATACACCCGGGCGGTGAGGTAAGGAGTGTACTGAATAATTCGTTCCAACTCTTGCTTCAAACCGGAGCCCCGTAACCCTTTTTTTTTTTTTTTTTTTTTATTTTTTTAAAAGGGGGGAAAATCATCGAATGACTGCTCCCGCCTGGGTGAGGCGGAAGGGAGTGTCAGACTCTTACTGACTAAAAACCACCCCGTTCCTTCTCCTGCACGTCGAGCCGGAGCCCCGGTTACCCGTTAGGTTCTCCGCGACTCCGAATCGGCATCGGCCCTATTGGGCCCCATCTGTGGTGGTCTGATGGCTCTTTGAGGCGCGCGCGGAACGCGACGCGCCGTACGCTCGGGTCTGTTTCTGGTCGGACGGGGAGCCACCCATGCTCGCCGTCCGCAGGCCCGCGCTTACGGTGGCCGGAGATCGTCCCGCGATCCCCGACGCCCGGTGTGTCCTTCGCGATGGCTGGGTCGCGAGGAGGCAGCGCTTCGCTGCCTCACGCGTCCCGCCTCCTCCTTAGCTAGCATGACTGCTTCGCAAAAGGAGGAGACGGCATCCCAGTCCCCCTCGCTCCGCACCCCCCGTAACCCTTGCGGTTGTTCGCAGCCCCGGTTGGGCATCGACCCTAGTGGGCCCAATCTGTGGTCTGCTAGATCATTTGATCTATGATAATATCTCTACACTAGTCACAATTCTTTTAGAAATTGTACGTAATTTTGCAATTTTTTAAATGAAAACCTTTGAGCAATCTGTTGGGTCTACTTTCGATCTTGTGTTAAGAAGACTCTCTCGAGATAATATAGACCTCGTATCATTAAAGTAGCAAAGATTGGAATGTATTTAACTATGTAAACAAAAAACAAAATTATAGACACAGAGTTCACATTTATGATTGTATCGATTATTCTGTCGTAGAAAAAAATGGAGACCTTGGATTCACACTTCATTTTGCGTAATGTCCCACGGTGGTGATGGTATTATGCATATTTAAACATGGTGAAGGTTTTTTTCTTTGACACCTTAAGTAAAGTACCAGGTTGTCATAGCTTCGAGGAATGTGAACGGAAAATAGTTGTAAAGTAACTCGTGTAGGATAGTTGGGTATTTGTTGTTCTAGACGTCCAGAGACAACACTTGTTGTTAAAAAGATACGGTATTGAAGTTGTATTATAACTTTCTTGAGACATACTAAATAAATTATTATGTTTTCGGCTTACTCACGTAATTATTTGACGAGGAACTCGACTAGTTTCAAGCCATGCGAATCACGGCAGAGGGCGCGCTGGGCCCGTAGCCAGTAGCAGCGTGACAGTCGCCGCGTCGCGGGTCGCGAAATGCTGCTCATGAATATGAGCCTCTAGCATGGCTTGAAACTAGTCGAGTTCCTCGTCAAATTATTACGTGAGTAAGCCGAAAACATAATAATTTATTTATTGAAGTTGTAAGTTCGGCTAATCAAAGTAGTTCTTATTGATAGGAAAATCTACAAACGGTTCAATGAAAGTAAGTTTTGTAATTTAAAAAATACTTTGGCTTAGTACTTATGATTTTGACTACTGAGGTTAACTTTAGGTTGATAACTTCGAATATAAATTATTTCATCCAAAAGTTTTCAAAGTTGTTAGTTCATACGAAGAATGTTTTGGATGTCAATGTCTTGTCCTCACCTCATATGGTTTCTAACTTTCTTGTGTTTTCTAAATCACATGTTCAATGTCATGATAAGTATCATAAGTATAAATATCCAAATTCTTATTTTGTTATTCATAGATATTTTTAATCTAAATCTATTGTTTAATAAAATAATTAAATCGTACCTAAGTATGTACATTTAGTGCTTAGATATACAGGTGTAAACCGAACGCACCCTAAACGCTGGCAAAAATAAAAAATACGTGCCTTAAGCTTTAAATTAATGTACCAGACGGACATTAAAATAAAATTTAGAAAACTACCCTATTTTAATCGTTTTTGTTTTCATGTTATTCATGCAATATTAGCCCTGAGCAGTTAATTGCAGCTATTATTACATAAAAGAAACATAATTCCTTCCTTCCTAAACCTTTGATTTGATTTGATAACCTTTGAAAATGTCGCGGAGAACCTAACGGGTTACTGGGGCTCCGGGTCGAAGTGCAGGAGAAGGAACGGGGTGGTTTTTAGTCAGTAAGAGTCTTGACACTCCCTCCCGCCTCACACAGACGGAAGCAGCCATTCGATGATTTTCCCCCTTAAAAAAACCTTTGAAAATAGAGCTTGTTTTTTACCATCATCTGTTGGTGTAATTCGGGACTGTTCAGTTTACACCCAGTATGTAAATACATTGGCAGTATAATCACAACCAGTGCTTTGTGTAGTACGTTATTTATTTTGCCATACCATTTTAATCATCATATCACCGCGCTTTATCTACTGCTAAACTTTTCTGCTTTACGTCACTTAACTTGATTTTAAGTGCTGCTTCCTATTCAACCATTGGCTCTATAGTCAGAGCCGGTGCCCTTGATAATCAACACAAACTGATTGTATTGCACATAATATGCGATTACCAATAATGTAAACCAAAAACCGACGTGAAGCAACGCTTGCGTTGTGTTTCGTCGTGTGAGTGAGGTTACCGGAGGGCTAGTTACACCCCCTTCCTCAATCTCCCCAATCCCCGAATCCCCAACAATCCCCAATCTCATAATCCCCGAAAGGCTGGTAACGCTTCTAGTGGTCCAGGTGTCCATGGGCGACGCCGATTGCTTACCATCAGGTGATCCGTCTGCTCGTTTACCGGCTTATGCCATAAAAGAAAAATAAAGGAAGTGTTCACTCTATTTTGTAAGCCACGACCATACATTACCACCTCCAACCATGGATGCAGTTAATCACTTACCGTTACTGATATGCTCGTTTCTCCACTAACCAATCAAAAAATAGGTGTCGTTACCTGAACAGTTGATAGAAATATACTGACTACTGCTGTGTATCTCCAACTATGACGTGTTATTGAAGATTCTTCAAGCTATGAAAACTTAATTTTATTATTTTACCCAGGGCAACAGAGTATCAGCGACGGCGCAGACGCGACAGATCGACGTCGGCTCCCCTATCGAAGGCGAGAAGAAGAAACACAACAAGATCAAGACGTCCAAGTACACGCTCCTCTGGTTCCTGCCAAAGAATCTATCGGAACAGTTTCGGAGAGTTGTCAACTTCTACTTCTTGATAGTTACCATCATCTCCATTGTGATTGGTGAGTACTTTGATATACATATCTATTAGGAAGAAGTAATGGTTGGTGCAAATCATTTACAGCAGCCTAAAGATCTACAATAACATAGATAAAAATGTCGCTCGTACAAGTCGTACATTGTCCTTTACCTATATTGTTTATGCTTTGTTTGAACCGACTATGGAATCGTGGCAGGAAGATTATATTGCTAAACAAATTTAGGGTTAGGTTAGTCCATTTTTAGGGTTTCCATTTTGAAAAACACAGTGAAGTAGAGTCCAAAATTGTTCCTAATACATTCTGCTGCTACCACATGACTTTCACAAAGTAAATTAGAAAGTAACAAATAAACCTTGCAATTTTCTTCGAAACAAATAATAGACATAACATTGTTAGCTATATTCAAAAAGGTAGCAACATTTTTCAATTCAAACAGTTGACATTTCTCCACAATAATTTATTCGCCCATAAAATGAAGGGTTTCTTGTCTAAATTAGATGTTACGGTTCAGAGTAGTGTTTTCTGAATAATTTATATTTTAGGTCGAGGAAAAAACGTGGGACAATTTGCACCTTTCCTTCTCCTCTTGTTATGAAATGACATTATTTAAATTATAGTGTTTTTAAAGGGCTTATAAGGCTGATATGTTTTACCGGGTTGTTTGACTTACGTTTTAGATATCGGCATTATAGGTAAAACTTATTTTTGCTTTAAATACTCACCATCTCAACTAGACTGTGTGACTTCACAATTAATAGTGGTCAAAGTACTTTGTGTACCCTGATCTGAAGAATAAATAAAACGAAAACATGATTCATATCGAGGGGTAACAGGCTATTTGGTTTAAGCGACATTTTGGGCGAATTTGAGTTATATATATTCGACGGAGAAAAATTAGCTGATTCCGAATATATATATAACTCAATATCGACCAAAATGTCGCTTGAACCAAATAGCCCGTTACCCCTCGATATAACACTGAGACTCAGAAGTTTATAGCGGTCATGCTTGAAGGCATGCTTTGAAGAACCCCATGGGGTTCTACCGTTCTATCGATGAAATTCTAAAAAATATCAGTCCGATTGGTAACCAGCGGTTTATTGCGATAATCATGTGTTGTGTTGTTATTATTTTATTCAGGATTTAATGTTAAAATTACAAGGCTTATCAGATAATAATTAATCAATATCGGCCCATGTTAATTTACTTATATCAATATTAGATTAGCTTTGTAGGAATTACCCGATTTTAAAACGTAATTTCTTAAATCTAGAGAGGTAGGTACCCCAGCACATCAAGATACCCTGTACTGTCTGTGTATCAATGTTAATAGATTTTCGACCTTAATGATTACAGTCACTAAGATCGAAAACCTATTTAGTTTATGGTTGTCTATCAGTAGATCGATTTGATTCCCTGGTTGGAAAAACCAAGGTTATTCTCTATTACATGCAACTTATAAATGTCGAAATGGTGATGATATTTATATACGTGCACCTCTATAACCCCTTTTGGTTTTGTTATGTTACCAAAGATTAATAAAACTATCGGTAACATACCTTTGCACTGAAACGTCTATAAAAGCTTTTCCATGTAGTAGTTAGTGGGTAATCGATATTCGCAATGCCTATTAAGCTCAGCGATTCGCGATCAAAGACACAATCTATAATTTGCGTAATAAACTAATGAAAAGGAATTATTCTTCGGTCTATCATTAGAATCATTACAAATGTTTCTTGATCGCTTCATAGATTTATTTGCATGGTCATTGTCGTATGAGAAACACATGGATGTATGCATACATAAAATAAATGACTCAATGCATACGCTTATTAAAATGCCCCCACTTCAAGGTTTCTTATTGGTTAGAATGGCTTGTATACTTTCCATCAAGGTTTAGAATTGCCAAAAACTTTGACTTGGTCACTATATTTTATTATTGCTTACTTAATCGATCAAATTCTAGAGTGTACTAACAGCTATATCAGACATTATCGATGTTTAGACTTTTAGAGTACTTAGTCAAAAGCCCAAAAGATGGGTATAACTTACATACACACACAAACTCAGGCCTGTGTGTAGGCAGGGACTATGGAACGCCAATTACTACGATTCTTATATACCTCTTTCGCTTCATCAACAGTCATTAGTCTTTTCATGCGTTCTCGTCGGTTAAGGGTACTTTTAATTCTAACGTAGTAAAATAATATTATTCTAAGGATATTCTAGAAAGGAGATGGTAATCACTTCATAAAATTTGTAGTGTTCATCTAGGTTAGATAAACGACTTCGCCATTGTCACAACATCGTGGTATTTTCCTTTAAAAGAAGTGACGCCATCTTAAATTCCAAACTGAGGATTAAATTCAGGATATCCGTACAACAAACACTATCAGAAATTATATCTTTATAGCTGTTATCGGCTAGCATCCTACTCAACTTAATAAAGTATGCAGATGATTGACTTATCTCCATCATGCTGATTACCTACTTTAGCAAACAATGTTAGATACATGTGCAGAAAAATGTGCTGATCTTGATTAAGATGGCATTATTTTCAAACGCTGTTATTGTCATCGCAGAATATATTTTTATTTTGGTTTTAGTCTCATTAAACTGGCGGATTCAAAGCTCAGTATAAAAAATATTCAATTTATAAAAATCTTATAAAATTTAAGGGGCTTAGGTTTTCTAAGCCCCCGCCCTTTCTACCAATCACACGTGGTAAAACAGGAAAATGTTGCCATAAATTGATAACGTGAAATTGAAAGAATCTTTATTTTACCTATCTATCTACGCAAACCGAAACAAAACTATTTTGTACGTATCTACTAATCAATAGATAATAACAATAGATAAACACCCATGTGCTAAGTACCATGTACATAATATTAAGTATTTAGATTTATAATATTTGCTCCTATCTTATCCGATCCGTTTGATATATTTTTGCTTTTAATGTAAGATATTTTGGTAGCTGTAGTGTAGCTTATTGTGATTGACCTGGCTGCTTCAAATGTTTATCTCATGTTTATCATTTTCATTGTTCTGCGCATTTTGTGATAGCGCTACTGATGTGTTTGATGGATTTGTTGTTAGGTGGTTTGTGTCACTAGTGGGCATCGGCATAGTATTATTGGTACTTTCGATTTCAAAATAATCTAAAAATCACACACATCACAATCCCCGAAATTAACTAAAGATCGCGGATTACTCCCGTGAATATTCTTCGAGTGGTTTTTAGTCAGTAAGAGTCTGACATTCCCTCCCGCCTCACCTAGGCGGGAGCAGCCATCCTATGATTTTCGCGCTTTAAAAAATAAAATTAAAAAACTGAGAAAATCTCTTCTAGTTTTATTTTTATAGATTTTTAGTACGTCTCACGATACTTATTAAAAAAAACCCCAGATGTATGTACGCGCATAACTTCAAAACGACAGTACCAAATTGAATATTTTTTTATTTTATGTGTTCATTATTGTCCGGAGAAAGGTTATATGGAAAAAATGCAACGGAATGCACATATGAGGTCGCGGACAGCAGATAAAATGATTTGTCTATATTCAAATAGTGGCATAAGTGCTTTTTTCTAGTTATCTGCTAGGTTATATTTATTTTTTTCTAGCTTAAAGATAGGTATTGAAATTACATTCAGCCGCGTAGTAGTATCTCTAGCTACTTACCCTTTTGCGTAGATTTGCATTCGTATGCAGTATGACAAATGCAATGACCAATCGCACTTGTAATCGTTATCTCTCTAGGAAATGTACATACATCGATTGACCACTTACACAGTTTATATATCTCTTCATATTATCGCCTACTTAACTATTAATAGCTAAAATGTTAATTGTAAACTATTACTCGTAATTATACCCTTGTTTCATTATTTAATACTATTCTGAAACTTTGAACTGAAAATTGTAGATTGATGATTAATAATATGTAATTTCCAATTTAGAATTGCCGTAATTGACTTGCGAAGGGTTGGGAACTTGAAATAATTGGAATAACCCTTTAAAGCACCTAACAGTAGCAATTTGTCTGTCTTTGTGATATGTCTTCTAGTGGTTGAACTTTGATCGCGATTTATAATCGGTTCATTAGTATTTAGTAGTAAATTATTCTCTTCAGAAAAGGGATTTTTTAAAATGGATGCTATGAGCCCCTGGCGTGGCTTGAAAGTAGTTGAGTTACCTCGTAAAATAGTTTTGTATGTAAGCCCAAACATAATTACATTATTCATCTTATTCCTAATTAAAACCATTAGCCATTGCCTTTAAAATAAAAAAGGCGATTTAACACCTAGTCTTTTTGTCTGAACCGCATTCTAATTTTTTTTTCGCAGACAGTCCAGTGTCTCCGTTTACGAGTATTCTTCCCCTAAGCTTCGTTGTGCTGGTAACAGCTGTGAAGCAAGGCTACGAAGATTGGCTAAGGCACAAGGCTGATAACAAGGTCAACAACCAGATAGGTGAGATATACTGATAACCACCCAAAACACTTTTTAATCTAAGTATTACTGCATTTTGGACTTTAGGTTAACAAGTTAAAGGTTGTTTTGCATTCAATATGGTGCATATTTTCTAGATTTGTATGGGATTGTGAAATGTTCAGTGCCGTTTATTTTTATTCTTATTGTGACAATGGCCTCTTTTGACGAATGGGGGAAATAATCTAGTCGCTTTTGGAAACACAGACTATGGAGCATTGGGGCGTGGGAGGGAACCTTGACACTAAAACCACTCCGGTGTCCACCATAAGGGGGTACGCAAAATATGCATTTTACTCAAAGCACCAAAATTAATATTACCACATACATACCAACTAAAGAAAATATGCAATCCCTATCAAAAACCTTGAATATAACACCGCTACCTTTATCTTGTCATGAGTCGACTATTCAATCAGTTGAACACTTCAGCAGTTTTCTGTAAACTGACTAGGCAGGGCCTTGTCGATAAGGCATTTGTTAGTTAGTCCATGTACATGACCGCAAATGATTCACACATTACGTGTTTCTTTTGTATTATGAAATTGTAGCTAATTTTAGCATGTAGATAAAGTCTAACGACCCATTCGCTTTCCGGACTTACCGTGTGACGGTGTAAGGACACGTACACAAAACTGCGATGCGACGTCGCATCGCAAAAATGTGCGAGCTCCCTCTATGCATCGCAAGAACTTGCGAATCGATTCGCATCGGGCATCAAAGTCGTATCTTCCCAAAATCTTCTTTGTTTCTTATTCCTGTATCTCCTAAGCAATAACAGAAGTGCACACTTCTTTTTACGATCCATGTCACGACCTAGTTTTCAATTTATAATATGTTAAGTACGGTTGACGATCGTCGAAGGAATGGTTACCCTGGGAGACGCATTGTCGCACGAAATCGCATCGTAATTTTTTGCGTTGCGAATTCGCATCGCTTCGTACGCTAGTAGGAAGTATTTTTGTGTACGAGCCCTAAGTTAAAGAATTTATTAAAATAAGTTTATAACTGCGAATATTTTCAGTAATGTAGGTAGAAACCATACGAACAAAGCTTAATGCTGGTTGCATAGTGTAAAGCTTGTTGCAAAGCATAGTTACTTTAGACGTTAGGTACTTATTCGTTAAAATCAAAGTCACAGTCAAAATCATTTATTTAAATTAGACCAGAAAGGCACTTTTGAACGTCAACAAAAATGAAGCTAATTAAAAGTGAAGCTATTTGCAAAAAGTTTTAAAGTTAGCAAACCTAAGCAGAAACACATTACTGCTTGTCAAACTAACCACTTCAAACTATAATATAGGTACACTAAACTTATAGCCTAAGCTACTTATTTAATAAGGTACAAAACTAGTTTGCATATAGTAAGAATCACTTTGACGGTGACACAGTCTAACAATAATTTCGCTTGCCACGCGCAAGTGCTTAGGAACTTAGTTATCTTATCAGTTACCCAGTCCGGTTTGGTGCACTTAATGACTTGTCATTCCATGAAAGCAATCTTCTAATAAATCAGTGATAGTTTACGAGTTCCGCGTTTGTATTAATCAAATATTTTATTACATGGTGGTTCCTGAAACTATGACTAAGTGAACGTATTATGAATAGAACTGGTGAAATCTGCCTATATCACATAACATCACGCTTTTTATCCCCGAAGGGGTAGGCAGAGGTGCACATCACGGCACTTAATGCCACTGTATAATGTAACACCGTACAATTCATTATTTATGATAGGAATTCCATGTAATAGGGGTCGAGCCTATTGCCATATACACCGTGCTACTACTAAGATTTTTTTGACCGAGACCCTTGTCTGGCAGTCGCACTTGCAACCACTCGGCCAACGAGGCAATCGTATTCATTTTCATTTTGTATAGATATAAAGATATGTATATCCGAAGATATCTGCGAGTTCATTGATACCGGTATTGGTTGCGTACAAAGGTTCACAAAATGAGATATGGTTTATGATCTCATTGGTAAATCCTTTTTATAACCAAATGTATTGATAAGTTGATAATTCCGTAGTGTACGAGGATTGGGCTTCTCCCAATGTTATGAATTCTTTTACGTTGTTGAAGGCCTAATATTTCTTTTCAGATGGATATACACATGCTTACGGGATAAACTGTAAAACGGGGTAGTAATGGATGATCCGTAAAAATAGTTTGACCCTTTAGTACTTAGAATTTAAATAAAAAAAAACATTTAAACCTCCACTTATAAGCGTAGTGTAAATTAATTTTAGTTTCATTCCAGAAGTTTCCAAGTTCCAAGGAATATAATTAAATCAATATTTCTTTGTATTAATGTTGTTTCATACGGTGCCACTGTCGATTTTGGTTCAATAGAACTGTAGTGGTCACAAACGCGAAGCATCCTTGTAAAAATAATTTCTAGGTAACTACAAATATTCCTACATATCTAAATATTTGCAAAATGAAAGTGATATATATATTTATCAGTTTAATTAAAATGAATTGTTATCTAATCAAAATATTATACACTATTATCTATACAAATTGGCAAGGGCTATTGTCTAATCCACGTGACATAACGGTAAAAAATTAGAAGTAGATGTAGGTTCTTTTTTGTTAAAAAGTATTATATTTTACAACATTTCGACGACGTATATTGTACATTATATAGTGTAACGATTATGCATGAAATAAAAGGCTCTTTTATTTTTTTATTTTATATTGTACCAAGATCCTAAAGAGTTGATTTATGTCTGTATTACAAGATGTCCTCTTCGTCGCTGAACATAGGCCTTCTCAATGACTCCTAGTTAATTATAATGAGTGTATACAAAAAGTGAATTTGAAGAGTCCCTAACCGGTCACCAGTGACCGTTCTCCACGTACTCCATTATAGACCTTATTTCCGATGTTTAGAGACTATTTTTGTATGAACAAATGAAGCTTGTGTATGCCCATGTCGATCTTCTGTTGTTTTACAACTAGATATTCTCTATACATGGAATTACAAAACCCATTTTTGCACTTTTTTCTCAAGTACTCAATATTGTCCTACAGTTGAAATAGTCCACAAAGGCGTGATCAATGAAGTGCGGAACTCCTCAATCGCGCCTGGCACTCTTGTCCGAGTGCGGAGAGGGAAGGAGGTGCCAGCGGACTTGGTGCTCCTCTGTTCTGCCGGGGACAAGGGGAAATGCTACGTCACCACCGCTAATTTGGATGGAGAAACCAATTTGAAGACTCTAAGAGTACCACCGCCTTTAGTCGGGTTTACTCCAGGTATATTCTGTGGTGTTTGGTGTGTTGTCTGACATCTGTGTGTGTTGGTCATATCTCATGAAGCTGTGTGTTTGATTATATACGTATGTTTGTGGTGTTTTTGTTTTAAATGTTTGTATTACTGTGTGTACAGAGGTTTCTGATAGGATGGTTAATGTAAAATCCTTACCTGGATGTAGTATTGTTAGAAAATGAATTAAGTTATATTAACTAAAAATCGCGGGTTACTGACGTGAATATACTGAGAAAATCTCTACTTTAGGTCGTGCAGCCTAATTTAGTATGTCCCACGATAGTTATTATAAAAATAAAGTAATATTATTGTAAAAAATATATGTATAAACTTGTCAGTGCACAGATTAAATCATAAATAGGCTGCTGCTGCTACAAGACGTGGCTATTCTGTAACTTTCAATTGGAAAGATCGAGGTGACCTCGATCGCAATCCGCCATATCATTGGTTGTGAGAATAATCTCGACCAATGACGGACGAGAGTTCGATCGGGCTCACTTTGGAAGTACGAATTGACAGTTACAAAATAGATACAGTTACCGTAACGTACAATTAACATTATAACAAATCAACCATGCTCACTTACAAATAACGAAATCATCATCATCCCTTCAGTAATCTCGAAAAATGTACCTTAACAGTCTTAACACCATTCGAATAAAGTCTGATATTATTTGGCATTAGGATGTAAGATAAGTCATTTTGTTTTATATGCGTGTTATGTAGTTGAATGTGGCAATAAACGTATTTGTGATGTCCTAAGTGCTTTTATTTTTCTCACTTTTCATTCGTCATCCTGACACGATCTCATAGTTGGAGTGTAATTATAAAGATTACAAATCATAAGCTAAATAAACAATCTCGATCTCCAGACTCTTTAAACATTGTCTGAACAATATTTAGGAGATTTGGTTGATTTTCAATTTGTTCGGAATTTTAATGTGAATAGAATATAACATAACATAACATCACGTCTTATATCCCCAAAGCAGAGGTGTACATTATGCTACTGTACAATGTAACACCCACTTTTCACTATTTGTGTTATGAGTCCCATGTAATAGGGGGTGAGCCTATAGAATAGAAAAAATAGATTAAAATTTTTAAGATTGGACCTGAAGTTAGGAGGCCCTAGACTACATAGTAGTGTTCGAATACTGATGCCGGAATACTGAAACGTTACAATTTTAAGTCAAATATCGTGCTGTCTCTGTCATTTTACAAAGAATTTGTAGAGACAGAACTATACTTAAGCGCGACTTAAAATTGGGTAGTTGCCTGGGTCAAAAATAAATTATTTTGATTTTTCAATCCAATTAAATATTGAAAAATAGTTACACTTTCATTCATTGATTTGCCGATATACTTAATTTTCGATTTATTCTTGCATTTTTTTCGGATATAAGTGTGCTATTTGACGCGAAAATATGATGACGTCATAAGCTAGTATTTCGTACAGAATTCATAGAACAGTATCGTTTTTGACGTTTCGATAAAAGTATTGAATTTGACTAGTTGTCAAATACCGTATTGAGTAGCGTTTCAGTATTCCGACATGAGTCGAGTAAACACTATTTAATTGTGGGACTATGTTTTGTATGTAGTTAAAGTCAAAATCTTTATTTCAATTAGACCAGGAAGGCAGTTTTTAACGTCAAGAAACAATTTAAAAGTGAAGCTATATGCTCATATGTAGATTCTTATGGAGAAAAAAGAGGGGCAAGAAACTTCTAACTTACATACTTACATACATAGCATACTTTCTTGAACAATTACATAACTTTTTAGAAGTATTTATACATATATAGCACATAACAAGATTATATAGTATCAATAAGCTGGGCAACCGGCTGCCGTGCAACGCGTCGCAAGTTCGATTCCCGCACGGAACAACACTTTGTGTGATCCACAAATTGTTGTTCCGGGTCTGGGTGTCATTGTGTATGTGAATTTGTATGTTTGTAAACGCACCCACGACACAGGAGAACATTCTAATGTGGGGCAACGTTTTTGTAAAAAAAAAAAAAATAAAAAAAAAAACAAGATTGTTAAAAACTCAATTAGAAATCCAACAGACCCTTTCATTCTGTATTTTAGACCTAACCTCTTTTTTCCTTAGATATCCTACCTCATGGTATGAAAATCGAGATTCCCAATCCAGTGGCAGATCTGTATACGTTCTACGGTCGCCTCGAGATCCCTTACCAGGACAGTCTAGTGCTGACTCCAGATCACCTCATGTTGAGAGGATCCAGGGTCAAGAATACTGAATGGGCTATTGGCTGTGCTGTTTATACGGGTGAGTTGTTATAGTGTTTTTACTACGGCATACAATTGGTTGAGTAAATATTATATTTTTGTGGGTTTGATTCCCACACGGAACAAGTCTTTGTGTGATCCACAAATTGTTATTTCGGTAAGATGTGAAGCGGATGTGAATTTATATGTTAGTAAATGTACCTACCTATGACATAACATAACATCACGCCTTTTATCCCCGAAGAAGTAGGCAGCGGTGCACATTACAGCACTGAATGCCACTGTACAATGTAACACCCACTTTTCACTATTTATATTATGAGTCCCATGTAATAGGGGGTGAGCCTATTGCCATATACCGGGCACAATTTCAGACTCCGTGCTACTGTTGAGATTTATTTAAAACTCAGTAATACATTACTCGACCCGGAAATTGAAACCGAGACCCCTTGCCCGGCAGTCGCACTTGCGACCCTCGGCCAACGAGGCAGTCCTACCTATGACACAGGAGAAAATCCTAGTGCGTGGCAAGACAAAACTATACGGCTTTCTGTTAAATATTTTTTGTCTATATTTAAAATTCGAACCAGAAATTACTTTTTTATATATTTTTTGTGTTCTTTAAAACTTTTTGCTGATCTTCTATTTCATTTCCAGGTGAAGAAACGAAACTAGCTCTTAACTCAAAATACACAGGGAACAAATTCTCATCAAGCGAGTTGGCGATTAACCAGTCGTTGCTATGGTTCATAGGGTTGCTAATCGCTGAAATAGTGATCTCTTTAGTGGCAAAGTTATGGATAGAGCGACGGAACCGTGAGAGAGACCTGTACTTGGGGCCTGGGTCCCCAATCCCGGCTCCATTCGGCGATATCCTGCAAGATCTGTTTTCTTTCTTGTTACTATATTACTATATTATACCTATGTCTCTTTATGTTACTATTGAGCTGTATAAGTTTATTGGTAAGTTATTTGAATAACTATTTTGTTAAACATGTCTTTGCTAGTTCTATTCGATTTAGGTATAATTCTCAAATCAGGGAAGTTTATGCAAATAGTTTAAGCTAAACTACTGGGTTTTCAATAAATGCCAGAACTTATGTTCGGTATTTGAACTGGATGGAACTTAATTTAAATTATTTCTAACTGTTGTCCTTATTGTTTAAATTTCGTTTTTAGCCTAAAACCAAGCCATACATTTAGGCAAGCCACATATTTTAAAATAAAAATGTCTATGAAAATTAACCAAAATGAATAAAAAATAACTCCTATTCCAGGATCACTATTCATAGCCTGGGACGAGGAGCTTCGGTGCGAAGAGACAGGAAGGCCAGCGGCAGCAAACACATCAGATTTGAACGAAGAGTTAGGTCAAGTAGAAGTCCTATTTTCGGACAAAACAGGGACTCTGACTAAAAACCTCATGGTGTTCAAGGCATGCTCCATAAAGGGAGTAATGTATGAAGAAAAGGACTCCAAATTATATGACGTGGAACAATTTGATGAACCAGTCGATGTGTTTCAGGTCAGTTTTGAACTTTAAGCTTTGTTAGTTAAGGTTCTTTTTTGGTTGTTGTGCATTGTGAAAATGTGCTGTGCAAAGATATAAGAGATTAGTAGATTGAACTCCTTTGTTAAAATACTCATAAAATTGTTATTATGAACTATTTAAGAGTGAATCAGCATTTTTTTAAATCTGGAACACCAGTGGCGTTTCTATACCGGGGCTCGCGGCAGATTCATAGTTACTAATAAAAAAAAGGGAACTTTAGATGAAAACCTTTGAACGGCCCCTTCCAGCTTTTTTTTTTGACGGGGTGAAACCTTCCAAAGCGCCTAGCTTTTCGGGGAAAAAGACTAGGGAGTGTTGGATTTTTACCTCACTAAAACCTCCCCGGTGGCCACCATCCGCACTTGAAGGAGGCACCGGGTCCTCTTAATAGACCAACTCCGGAACCTCCACAGAGCAACGCCTGTTACGGCACCTCCCTATGGAGACTTACGTGTCTCTCTTATAGCCTCTCTGTGCACTGCACGGCGGTACGTGACCTCTGTGCCGCCGTCATCCTTGAGGACCCCTTCCACCTGAGGCCCGAGGCATTTTGCTGACTTGCCACCCTGTAGTTATGCCACTGGAACACTACCGAAATCTGATCAATGATGATTAAATTTAGGTACTTACCTAAATGCCTATATTTACGATTTTAAAATAATACCTACTTAGCAGTAATAATTTATGCTTCTTATACATTTTTTTTTCATTTCACACTTGTTTACACAGAGCAATTTATTACTTTATTTCGTACCTAATGTTATAAAATAAATAATGCTTACCTATTTAATTATTGCTAAGCAAAAAATTCTAAGTTCGACATGCCTCTGAATGTTTCTTTGATGAACAGTAGTAGGTATTGATATAGGGTATCTGTTTAAATTGTATGATAATAATATAATAAATCCGTCATTAGCGATTCATTATGTTATTTGTTAGTCTGATGCAATAGTAATACGTACCAAGGACGTTAAAAAAAGGCGGACATATGCCCGAATACTGAAACGTTACTCAATTTTAAGTCGCACTTAAGTATAGTTCTGTCTCTACAAATTCTTTGTAAAATGACAGAGACAGCACGATATTTAAGCACGACTTAAAATTGAGTAACGTTTCAGTATTCCGAAAATAGTCTCTTGAAGTAACGACTGTGGCACCTGGCTACTATAGACTTACACGAAGAACAAAACACATTGACACGAAGGCCATCTGTTGTTTTCTTAAGTCTGGTAACGTGGTAAGCCATTACACACGCACACATAAAAAAACACTGACATTTTGTTGCTTCAATCATTTGTAAGTGACATTATATCCGCCTTTTTTCAAAGTCCTTGTGTTGTATTTGATAATATTGGTACTTTACATATAAGTAGACAGTTACCCGTACTTATGTTGAAATTCAATTTCTTAATAGAAAACAATTGGAAACCAATAGCTACCTATTATGACTTCATCCAGCAGACTGTGTATTATTTGTCATCAATAATTTTAAAATGGAATATCTTATACGTTCCGTTTAAGTGCCCCTTTAGATTCGAACGTTAGCAGCGCGACAGTAGTGCGGCAGAAGCGCATTCTTTCACATTATGAGAACAGTCGCGCGTTAGCAGCGCCACAGTCGCGCCGAAGTTGAGTTCAGTGTGGTGCACTTTATTTCTGAAATGCATAAATAATATTCATATCTCTTTCTAGTAAAATATCAATTCAGATAGCAAATGTCATCCACAAATACCAGGAGATGGCAAAACGACTTATTTACAACTAGTTTTTATCCGCGGCTTCGCTCGCATCACAAAAGCATAAAAAGTAGCCTATGTGACATATACCAATACACACAGCGCCATCTATACCAATACTTTTGTATTCCCTCGGAAATATCAATTTTTTAGGGATAAAAGTACCCTATTATTTAATCTGGACTTCTATCTTTACTTCTCCAAAAATTCAAAGCAATCGATGAAGTAGTTACGGCGTGAAAGCGGAACAAACAAACAAACAAACTCACTTTCCGATTTATAATATTAGTAAGGATACTGGCTCGTCGCCGACTGTGCAGCGAGTAATAGCTGCGCTTCTGTTTAAACTATGAAATTCTGGCAGCGCGACAGTCGCGCTGCTACAGCCTAAATGTGAATGAGCTCTAATAAGCGAATCACAACAAAGCGGTTCGGTAGACGAATTCACAGCTACTCAACCATATAAGTAGCAATATGATATAACCGATTATTTATCATATTATATTATTTGTTTATGCAAAACTTTATCGTTTACTGCGAATAACAGTCTTCCTTGTTTCCTTTTATAGCTATCTGTGTTACACTTGAAAACTATTGACTTATCTCGATTAGTTTATCTGAGGCCTTTTGATTTACGTTTAAAGTATTCGAAACGAGTACGCGTTCGGCAATCTGATTGGCCGGTACCAATGAAGCAACCAATCACAGCGCCGAACGCGTACCCGTTACGTTTACTTTAAACGTAAAACAAACTTGTACTAAGCCCTCTGTTCTGTGATACCCAGGTTACATGTCGAGTGAAAGGTTTTATCTGCGATATTGATGATAGTTCTGCATATTCATTGAGATTTTATTATATTTTATTGAGATTTTTAAAGATGAACTTTGGCTGTGTATGATGTAGAGTAGGAATACTTTGATTCAGATGAGACAGGAACTATTTTTGTTTTGCATAGTGGGGGCTTAAGTGGTGGAGGTCTATTAAGGGGCCCCGTATACTTGGCTGATCCTGATCTTTCTCCTCAATAGATTTTTTATAAACTATGTTTCAAAAAAACCGACTTCGACCCCCTGTTTTTTGAAGTCGGTTAGTTAATAATAATATACTAAAACCGCATCAAAACAGGTTCAGCCTATCAAGAAATAAACATAGATACATACATACATACGTATATACGTATGTATGTATGTAAAGAAAAAGTATGTTTTTAGTTTAACCAGTATGTACTGGTTAAGCTAAAAACATACTTTTTCTTTTTGAAGTCGTTTAAAATCTTGACACCTTTTGAAGATATCGTCGTCATAAGAAGTGCTAATTTCAGCTTAAACGAAAATACATCTATGATTTGATTTACATTTTACTCTAAATAAAAAAATATTGTATCATTTTTTTTATGGTATAGGAGGCAAACGAGTAGACGGATCACCTGGGCCTTTAGCCAAACGCCACGTTAGCGCTTGTCTACAGAGAGAGTAGAAATCAAAATGTATGGGGATACACAGACAAGTGTAAAATTTTACGTCAATTCCATATAAATTGGTTTTCTATTCTACATGTAGACAAGCGCTAAATGGCATTTGGCTACAGCTGTTGATGAGAAGCGATTTGGTATAGTTAGGTACTATACACCACTTTTATCAATCACATTAGTCAAAACAATATGCCTACATGTATGTTCACTATCTGGGATGATCTAGAAACAATAAATAGGTATCTGGCTGTCCTGTCTTGTCACCAATCAATATTTACTTCTTAACAGATAAGTACTTAAAATGTGAATTGATAATTCATATCAATTTCCTTATGACCGAGCTGATAAAGTAGGTATTTCAGCGTTTTTTACTCACCTTGCTATTTCGTGAATGCCAATTTTTACATTGATAATTTTATATGTACGTTAATCAGTACGAAATATTATGTTTTTTGTTCGTATTCGTTCATAGATTTCAATATCTATACGTAGGTCTCTAATAAGATTAGATACACAAACTTAAAGAACGAATTTTGTGAAGTTTGATGACAACTGAAAACAGATGATTTAGCTTATGTAGGTATTTATAAATGTACCTAAATCCACCATTTTTAACAAAAAGAAATATAGGTAATTAGGTACTTCTATTAAGTACTAATATTATTTTTTGATGCATAATAGAACACGAGAAGAAAGCATTTATTTAATCCGTCAGTTAGGTACTTAATTGGGTACTTTCCATAATCAAAAATTAATTATTTCGACTGTTCAATGCAATACAATACTAAAAAATAACCACACTTTCATTAATTGTTCTGATGACTACTTAACTTTTAGTATTTTTCCAGCAAATTTTTAAGAAATAGGTATGGTGTTTGGCGCTAAAAAAACGTGACGTTACAATACACAATCTCGTACAAAATATATAGAAAACTGTCGTTTTTGGCAGTTCGAGAAAGTATTGAATTTGACTTGTTGGCGTCAATTGGTGACGCCCGAATACTGAAAGGATAAGTAGCGATTAAGTATAGTTCTTTCACTACAAATTCTTAGTAAAATGACTGAGATGGCACCACAGAAATATTAAAAAAGAAGTATTTAAAAAATTCTTCTTTATTATATTTGTGGATAGCACTATATAGTTCTAATTTTGTATAATGTAGCTGTTGATTCGCCATTTAATTAATAAATTAATATTTAAATACAATTTACAATTGAGTAGCCTTTCAGTATTCGGACACGAAAAAGACAAAGATAAATCTGCTAGATGGACATTCAAAAATGACTTTTACCTTATTGTAATAAAACATGAATCCCTTTCTATTTCAGACAGACATCAAATTCTTCTTCAAAATCCTCGCTCTCTGTCATTCCGTACAAGTATCAAACGAAGACATGAAGAAGCTCAGCGCCCGTCTCTCAGTTACCGGCAACATGCAGCTCATGAGCTTCTTCAAACGAAAGAAGATTAAAACCAATAACACCAACGGGTCAGTCGTCGACAATGTAACTTGGAACTCTATTATCAATGAGAATGGGAATAAAATTGATTATCAAGCTAGCAGTCCTGACGAGAAGGCGTTAGTCGAAGTAGCTGAGCGGTTTGATATAACTTTTCTAGGTGAAGAAGGAAATGATTTAGTACTGAAAGTTGGAGAGCATACTGAAATGTATGAACGACTCCAGATAATTGAGTTTACTTCGGAAAGGAAGAGGATGTCTGTTATACTTCGGGATAGAGATGGGAAGGTATGTGTGACATACACTAAGACTCAGGCTCCGTTGTTTCTTTTCACATAAGCATAAATAAAATCTCCTTGCAAAATGGCCTGTAACGCCCTTATGGGTGCATGGTATTGTAGGTGTCGTCTATAGGTGGCGTTGGTTGCTTACGATCAAATAATACATAAAATCATTTGCACCTGTTTGCACCCAGCACATAAAAATTGCTATTAGGCCTTTGTTATGCATACAAAACTAACACTGAGAACCTAACGGGTTACCGGGGCTCTGGCTCGACGTGCAGGAGAAGAAACGGGGTGGTTCTTAGTCAGTAAGAGTCTAACACTCCCTCCCCCCTCCCGCCTCACCCAGGCGGGAGCAGTCATTCAATGCTTTTCCCCCCTTAAAAAAACTTAATCTATACATCTATATAGATATATAAAATTGAAGTGTCTGTTTGTTATATAAAAATAACCGCTTTTTAATATTCATTAAAAATATACATGCCTATGAATATACATTATATTTTGGTATGTGTATCGTACAATTACTATAATAATTTGTTTTACAATTTTTGTCTGTCTGTCTCTTTGTACTGGCTAATCTCTTCAATGGCTGGACTAGTTTTGACGGGACTTTTATTGGCAGTTAACGGATGTACTAAGGTACTCCTTACATAATGTATCCATAGATAGTACTGTACTCAAGCCAGCATATGTATTAAATGAAGAATGTAATGATAATCAATCTGATAACACTGTAAGGCATACGTACCTACATAGACTACTTTTATTTTGGAAAATTGAAACAAAATGAAATATGTCCTAAAATTCATATACTACGCGGACGAAGTCGCAGGCAACAGTTAGTGGTACCTATATGATATTTGTTCGTATGGAGATATGTTAGTGGCAGCCGAACCTTAGAAAGATACCATGATTGACTGATAAAAATATCTCGGTTTTGTAGTCTTAAGATATTTCTGGCTGGCTGCCTAATCTATTAATCCTATTTGGTAAAGTTTGCGGAAGCTACTGTTGTAATAAGGTTTATTTATTGGATTTATTTATCAGCTTATTTTTAATTACGTAAATATATACAAAACTTTTCCATTACCTATTATATGTACGTATTGATGATGGTCGATCTTATAAATACGTAGTGTAGAACTTGGTTATCTACATAACTTCCTTGTGACTGTCCAAGTAGAAAATTAAAAAAGTAGTGAAAATTAAGAGGGTTCTTTTCTAAAATTCTCTGCCAAAGCTAAAAATCTCGTTACATAAAAAAAATCTATAATCGAAAAAAATAATTTTAAACTTTATAGCAAAAAAAATAAGGTTGGAATTCTAATAAACAAATTCACGAATTAGCGACCCCGCATCTCGGTCCAGCAAGGTCTACGGATCCCGTAAATTTTCGGAAAGGTTTTTTTTAAGGGGGAAAAATCATCGAATGATTGACTTCTCCCGCCTGGGTGAGGCGGGAGGGAGTGTCAGACTCTTACTGACTAAAAACCACCCCGTTCCTTCTCCTGCACGTCGAGCCGGAGCCCCGGTTACCCGTTAGGTTCTTCGCGACTCCGGAAAGGTTTACACGTAATATTTGGTCTCTTAAAGAATTCGAAGCTGCCTAAAAACCTAGAGTTATTTCTTAAACATGTCTTCAATTTTCCAGATATGGTTGTTCTGCAAAGGAGCTGAGAGTTCCGTGTTCCCTCTGTGCACGAACTACAGCTGTGTGCAGGAGACTGACAGAGATATCAACATATTCGCCAACAAAGGTCTTAGGACGCTCGCTATTGCTTACCGAGAGGTGCCTGAGGAGGAGTATGAGAGGGTTGCTGAGGGTAAGTTGTTATTTGTGTTAGAAATTATTTAATTATTTAAAGAGACATACTCTATTCAAAGATAGGTAAGAGTATGTGTATAGACTAGATAACTTTGAAATTATAATTGCAATGCGCACTTGTTAGTAAAGGTAGACCATATAAAGGTAGAAAATACTTTACTTGACTCAAGGTTTGAACCCGAGACGTCATGCTATATACTATTTTATGTTAAAAGCTAAACAATTATTTTCAAGTGTAAATCCCGAACTCCGGGATTTCTAAACCAATTATCCAAATCAAACCCTACAAACACAAATCTAATACAACATTCCTAATCTTTAACCCTCAGCAATAAAACGCCTAGACGGTAAGAGCGCGGAATCACTCCAGCAAGTGACGCAACAATATCGCGCACTGGAGCGACACCTGACATTGGTCGGAGCTACTGGCGTCGAGGACTGTCTGCAGGACAACGTCGCTGATACACTGGCTTCATTGCGAGCTGCCGGAGTTAAGACTTGGGTGCTTACTGGGGATAAGGTAACTATGAAACGTTTTTTATACAATAAGATGCAGGTAACGCAATAATATAGAGCACTAGAGCGACACCTAACGTCGGTAAGAATTATTAGGGACAAGGTAACTAACCTTTTTTAACCATTAAGCTGAGTCCTATACCAACGCCATTGAACAAAATTTGGATATACATAGTCTTGAAACAACGAACTGTGGCACCTGGCCACTCCAGTAACCTCACAAGGCCGTGGTATCACTCCGTTCGAGCTCTTTCGTGGCGCAATCATCATTAGTAAATATAATGCGAAATTGTTACTGAGCTGGACCATTCTCAATTACAGGTAGAAACAGCAATCAACGTCGCCCAATCCTGCGCACATATATCAGAAAACGACAGAAGAATGTTTATGATTGGCGTAGAAGACAAGACGACGTTACAGGCTCATTTAGACGAGTGTTCCCGGATCATTAGTGAACCAAGTTACAGAGACCTGACCTTAGTCGTAGATGGCACTAGTATGACGCAAGTTTTAGACACTGTATATGCGCCAGCGTTTGTTAATATTGCTATAAGATGTCATGCTGTGCTATGCTGTCGGTTGTCGCCTATACAGAAGGCTAAGGTATGTATTATTTTATGTTAAACTGTCAAACACCGCGAGGACACCGGTGACTGCAACCTATTGTTCTTTCATTGCGTCTATAATGACGGTACTCAAAGGGTTAAAATACTTAGGCTCATCGAATGACTTCTCCCGCCTGGGTGAGGCGAGAGGGAGTGTCAAACTCCGCAATCCGTTAAGTCATCCGCGGCTCAAAATACTTAGGCTTTTTTTTTTTTTTTTTTTTTTTTTTTTAAGGGGGGAAAATCATCGAATGACTGCTCCCGCCTGGGTGAGGCGGAAGGGAGTGTCAGACTCTTACTGACTAAAAACCACCCCGTTCCTTCTCCTGCACGTCGAGCCGGAGCCCCGGTTACCCGTTAGGTTCTCCGCGACTCCGAATCGGCATCGGCCCTATTGGGCCCCATCTGTGGTGGTCTGATGGCTCTTTGAGGCGCGCGCGGAACGCGACGCGCCGTACGCTCGGGTCTGTTTCTGGTCGGACGGGGAGCCACCCATGCTCGCCGTCCGCAGGCCCGCGCTTACGGTGGCCGGAGATCGTCCCGCGATCCCCGACGCCCGGTGTGTCCTTCGCGATGGCTGGGTTGCGAGGAGGCAGCGCTTCGCTGCCTCACGCGTCCCGCCTCCTCCTTAGCCAGCATGACTGCTTCGCAAAAGGAGGAGACGGCATCCCAGTCCCCCTCGCTCCGCATCATGGCCTGAACTAGGCCCGGACGCGAGAGGTCTCCATCGCCGATCACTTCCCTGAGGGCACGGCGGTGCTCAGCCCACGCAGGGCATTCCGCAACAGTGTGTTCCACCGTGTCCTCAGGGTGGTCCTCGCAGTGATGACACCCGGGCGTTTCCTCCCGCCCCATCAGACACAGGTACCTCCCGAAACTTCCATGTCCGGTGAGGACCTGCGTCAGGCGGTAGGTGAGGACGCCGTAGCGTCTCTCAAGCCACTCCTCAAAGAGGGGACTTACCGCTGCAATGGCAGCGAGCCCAGCCCTCGGTTGCGACAGTCGTTGCTGCCATTCCGCCATGAGATCGCGCCGGAGCTCATCCCGCCACGCACTTATCTGGCGCGGCAGCGGAGTTTCGCCCCGGCGACGTGCCTCCGCGCGCATGCGATACACGCGCGCGAGCACCTTCGCCTCCAGATCCCACGGCGGTAATCCGGCAAGGAGGTTCGCCGACTCCCCAGAGATCGTGCGGTATCCGCGGATCATTCGGATCGCCATGACCCTCTGTGCCATAAGCAGCGCCCGAGCGGGCCGCTGCAGCAGGTTCGGCGCCCAAACAGGGGCGCCGTAGAGGGCCATGGACCGCACGACCCCGGCGTATAACCTCCGGCAGGAGGCGTTTGGCCCCCCGAGGTTGGGGAGGATGCGCTTAAACGCAGCCCCCACCCTCGCCAACTTTGGAGCCAAACGTCGGAAGTGCTCCACGAAGTTCCATCGACTGTCGAGGACGAGTCCCAGGTACTTCATCGCCGTCTCGACGCCGATGGTAACCCCTCCCGCCATTATTTGAGACCCACCAGGAGGTGGCGCATTCCCGCGGCCATGAAAACACATGGCCTCGGACTTGTGGAGCGCCACCTCGAGTCCCAACTGCCGGATTCTCTCAACGACTGTCGCAACCGCTGTCGCCATTAAATCGGCCGCCGCCTGGTGCGACCTCCCGTGCGCTAGCACCAGCGTGTCGTCGGCGTAGCATATCATGCTAACGCCGTTCGGGAGGTCGGTGCGCAGCACCCAGTCATAACCGATGTTCCACAGGAGCGGCCCCAGAACCGAACCCTGTGGAACACCGCGTGACATCTCTCGCCGGTTCCACTCGCCCCGGTGACCGGGGTAGATGACGGACCTGTCCGTCAGGTATGCCTCGATTACACGACGGAGGTAGGTAGGCACCCGATGATATCGGAGTGCCTCCAAGATGCAGCTCCAGGGCAGGGAGTTGAAGGCGTTGGCGATGTCCAGAGACACCGCCACTACGACCTTACCCCTGGACACTGCAGTCCCCGTCGTCCGGTCCCTAACGCGCATGATGGCGTCCACCGTGGAGCGCCCTCTGCGGAAGCCGAACTGGCCGTCCGATAGGTCCGGCCCAATATCCGTCAGGTGCGCGACGAGGCGGTTCGAAATGATTCTTTCGAAGACTTTCCCCACCTCGTCGAGCAGCACTATGGGCCGGTACGCGGACGGAGAGTCCGCAGGGCGCCCCGTCTTCCGCACGAGGACCAGTTTTCCCGCTTTCCAGAGCAGCGGGAACTGGCCTCTCTCCAAGCATGCGCTGTAGAGACCGATTAATCGAGGCCTGAGAGCCTCTGAGGCCAGGACCCATGCTTTGCCATGCAAGCCGTCGGGTCCTGGGGCGGTGTTCTTGGCGCCCATCCGGCGCACCGCCGCTCTCAGTTCTGCCTCGGTCACCTCTGGGACGATGTCGTCGTCGTCGTCGCTATAGCCCGCGTCGGGCACCGCAGGGGCGGAGTCATATACGGAGGGGTGAAGCCCCTCCACAGCCGGGGGAACAGGGCGCCAATTACCTCCTCAACGACCTCTGGCCGGAGACTCTGAGTGAGCGGGGGAGCCCAAGCGCGAAGCTTGTCGCGTACCATGCGGTACGGGCGTCCCCACGGGTCTCTATTCAGAGTCCCCAGCATCTCCCGGCGGGCCTCCTCCTTGGCCCGCAATATCTCCGCCTTGAGGACGGCTTTCGCCGCCCTGTATCCCTCATACAACTCCGCCTCTCTCGCCTCCGCATTTGGAGGACGGAGACGGCGCCTGCGGTGCCTAGTGTACTGGCGTCGCGCAGCAGTGCACGCCTTGCGTAGAGCTGCCAGCTCTTGCGACCACCAGTACACCTGGCGCTTTTGTTGCCTCGACCGGATCCGGGGCATCGCCACGTCACAGATCCTGGACATGGCGTCCTGGAGCCACTTGGCCTCATCGTCAATGTCGGCAGGCCTGACCGGTGGTATCACCCAGGCCTGCACGATGGCGGCTTCCAGGAGCAGCTCCCGGTCCAGCTGTTTCAGCGCCCAACGCGGGCCACATGGGGCCTGTCTGACCGGCGGATCCGCGGACTCGGCGGAGACGTTGAACCGGATATACCGGTGGTCGGAGTACGTCTCCACCTCCTCCATGACACGCCAGTCAACGATACGTGGTGACAGAGCAGGGCTGGCGAACGAAATGTCCACCACCGACTCGCCCTGCATCCGCACGCACGTAGGGACAGAACCCCGGTTCAAGACGACTAGGCCTGCCTCAAGGGCCCAGTCTTCCACCATCCTACCCCGGACGTCGGTGAACCGGGAACCCCAAGCCAAATTCTTGGCATTGAAGTCCCCGAGGACGAGCACGGGGAGGGAACGGAACCCGACGACGTGTGACCAACTCCATCAAGGAGTTGTGGAACTCGGCGAGAGTTCGGTTCGGAGAGAAGTACACGCCCACCACAGCGAGCTCTCCGAACCGTGCTGCGACACAACCCCGGCCTCTTTGAGCTGCCTCAAGAGTCGGGGTACCGGCGGCGGCCGATGAGATGATGGTCACCGAGCCGTCCAGGTCCGCCACCCAGTGATCCCTGGGCGGGACAAAGTACGGCTCGGAGACCACGGCGACATTGATCGACCACTGCGCCATGCTCTGGAGCAGGAGATCCTGAGCAGCGGCGCAGTGGTTAATATTCGCCTGGAGGAGGCGGAATGGAGCCATTATTGACAGTCCATTCCGATCTCCTCAGTAGCGGCAGCGGCGACTGCGGCAGCAGTGGCGGCGGCGGCGGCGGAAACGGCAGGGGTGGCGGAGGGCCTACCTTTGCCCTTGGGTTTGGCAGGAGGGGAGCAGCCCTTGCTCCCGACCCGGTGATTGGCCGGCTTGCCAGCCGCCGCACATGCGTTGCAGTGCAGCGGGGCAGTGCAGGAGCCGGCCCTGTGACCGGGCCGACCGCAGCGGAAGCAACAGTCGCTGCGGTCCACCTCTGAGGTGCATTTGGCGCTCACGTGCTCCCCCACGTGACAACGGTAGCACCTCAGAGGCCGGGTCTCGAGCAGCTTTACCTGCGCCGAGACCCATCCCACCAAGAGCCTTTTGCCCTCCTTCAGCTTCTTGGCCGCTGTGACGGGGCAGCTCACCACCACCGTGCGCAGCCCCGAGTTGTCCGGACGGATGGTGCCCGCCTTGATCTGGTCAGCAGGGCACCCTCCCGTCCTGGCCACAGCGGCCACCACCTCACTTTCCGTGACGGAGTCGTCCAGGCCCAATATCCGGACATCCACACATTTGGTGGGCCTGGACACGCGGGCCTCGTCTGCCCCGAGGCACGCCCTAAGCCTCTCAGCCAGGGCGTCGGCCGACGGGCCACTGGCCGCGCCGGGGACCTCCAGTAGACGGGCTCCGGTAGCGGTCACCTTGACCGCAAACCCGTCCGGGGCCCCGAACTCCGCAGGTGTTACCGCCCCCTTGAGCTTGGCGAGGACGTCACCATAGGTAACGCCCCTATTGACCGCCTCGGGCTGCAGTGTAATAACTACAGCCGCGGTCTTAGGGGCGAGGAGCAAGGCAGCAGCGCGTTTCTCCCTGCGCTGCTGCTGCCGTCGCTGCCGCTGCGCCTTTTTGCGGCGCTTTCGGCCCTCCCTGGCGACTCTCCTCGCCTCGCCGGCGATTTGCCAACCGCCGCCGTCCTCCACTCGCGGGGCGGGTTCCGCCGCCGCCGCTGCTGCAACTCCAGCTTGCCGGGCTGGAGTGTCCCTCCTCTTTTTGCGCCTCATGGGCGCAGGCGCCATCGGCGCAGCTGGGGTCTGCGCCGGCGGGGGCGCCGAGGGCCTCGCGGGAGGAGGCGCCCGCGCCTTTGCCGGCGGTTGGGGGCCGCGGCCAGCCTGACCAGTGGAGGTCGGAGGCTTGGCCACAGCAGCCGCGTATGAGCCCGATGCCGCGGGCGGGGAGGCCCGGCTCGATGCGAGCGGGGGGCGCAAAAGCCTGCCCTCCAGCACGTCAAAACGTCGCTGGAAGGCAGCCATCTCCGCTCGCAGCAGTCCGACTACGTCGGACTCCGCCGGGGGCTGGGGGTGACTGCCGCGAGCAGCGGCGAGCTCGGCCCTGGCCGTCCGCAGCTCGGCCTCCAGGGCCGCATTGGAGGCCGCCAAGCGCGCCAGCTCCCGCCGCATCTCGCCCAGCTCGGAGCGCACCTTTTCTGCAGTGGGCACCGCGCACTGCTCCAAGGCTGCCTCCGTAATAGTGGCCACCGCCGCCCTAGGAGGGAGAGCCTAACCGGCTGGGATTTCCCCATAGCCAGTTTATGGAGCACCTCCGTGATGGCCTGTCGGAGGTGCCCGGAGCCGCTCGCGCTCTCGGAGCCCGACTCGCCCTCCGAAACCTCCACGCCGGACATCTCGGCTGCGGAGGACTCTGAACGGGCAGCGCTCGAGAGAGCCCTGCCCTCCGCAGCCAGTCTCGGCTGACTCCACGCAGGCAACTGGTGCCGGTTTCCGGCGACCGCCGCCCTTGCCGCCCCTACCCCGCGCCGCCGTTGGGACTTTAGGGGGAGGCGCCTGCGCGCCGGAGGACGGGGACGAAGCGTCCTCCTCCAGCCTGGGACGCTTAAACGTCCCCGTCACGCGACGGCGTGAGCCCTTCGAGCTCACGCTCAGCCGATCCGCCAGTGATGTGTCGGACTCAGGGTCCGACACCATCGTAATTGATGCCCGTGTGTGGGGCACGCTAGATGTGTCCAGCGTCTCCCCACGGGCGCCAGAGCCCCTTGGTCCCCTCTACTACGTCTGCAGGTGAGCCAAGCTCACCTGCACTCTCCTCCTCCGACAGTTGTGGTTTTGTTTTTTTAGGTTTTACTTTCTCCATACAGTTCCCACGAGTATGGGGGAAATATTCGGTCCACCCAGGCAGTGCCCCCTGTACCTGGGTAAGTGTTCATTTGTTTCCCAACTAGAGGTTCCACTGGTCCCCTAGCTGGGGGTGCGCTCGCGACTGACACTACTCCTCAGCCATGCATACTCTCGCCGCGCACCAGAACTTAGTATTGGAGGAATTTTTTATAGAGGTTATCTTCCTCGCGGTCCGGGCGACCAAGCCAAGACCCTCGTCCCGTTCAGAGTCACAAAACATGACCGTGACCTCCTTACGGGTTACGATATCGACGGCTGCAATCGGGGACAGCTTGTGTCCCGATGCTGCTCGCTGGCAGGGTGAGTGCACAACGAGCACCGCCCTTGCCTCTACGCCACGCTCTCTGCTATGTCCAGAGAGACGGGCGGAGAAACGCCCCTCGGAAGCGCGGGCTATGAGCCTCCGCACACAGCCCGCCGCCTCCAGAACCCTATCGGGTTCGCCCGCCCAGTCCAGAAGTCTGCTGCGGGCGACAGTCACTCCAACCCTATCACCCCCGCTAGGGAGACTGTCGCCCGCACCCAGGGTGCACCACGGGGAGGTCTTCTGGCACCGCACCCCAAAATACTTAGGCTAGGATTTTTTACGTAGGTTATAGAGGGAGGAGGAGAGGAGGGAGGGAGACCCTTATATGTATTTACCAAAAGTGTTTCTAAACAAGCAACATATTCATACTTAGTGCTATTCAGAATAGCATTTTTCTCTTGTTCATACTTTTTCTGTCACTCAAAACTGTCTCTAAGTAGAGAGTGCGCATGAGTTTTTAGCTGGTATGGAAACCAGGTCCAAGTCTAACTCGCGTCTTGCTCGTTGTGTTTGTTAGGTCAGATAACTTTTTGACAGTGCTAATCCATTTGATGGTCTACACAATATTTTACACACATAACATCACTCTTTTTATCCCCTAAGGGGTAGGCAGAGGTGCACATTACGGCACTTAAGGCCCCTGTACAGTGTAACATCATGAGTCATGAGTCCTATGTAATAGGGAGTGAGTCTATTGCCATTATACTGGGCACAATTTTGGACTCCGTGATACTACTGAGAAATTTTAAAAACCCAGTAAACTTTGCCCGACCCGTGAATCGAACCGGATACCCCTTGCCCGGCAGTCGCACTTGCGACCAGTCGGCCAACGAGGTAACATTTGACAGTAAAATGTATTTAATGCTTTTCTAACAAGTTAATAGCCGAGAAAAGCTCTACTAGTTTCGAACCACAGAATGAACTGCGCGACGTCGCCGCGACCGCGCACGCTGCTCATGAGGAAGAACCCCTCTGTGGTTCGAAACTAGTAGAGCTTTTCTCAGTATATTCACGTGAGTAACCCGCGTTTTTACTTAATTTAGTATGTCTCACGATAGTTATTATAAAAAAGTTAACAGCCGTGTAGGTCTCCGGTGACCTACATTAGCGGAGGATTTTCCTTCAACAGTTTTCTGTGGGCAGTCAAAGGCCTAATTCAAATTTCTTTCTGGAATATTTACAGATCGTAAAATTAATAAAGGAAAGTGACGAGCGACCTATCACTGCGGCCATAGGAGATGGAGCCAACGATATATCTATGATACAAGAGGCACATGTCGGCTTCGGCATTCTAGGCAGAGAGGGACATCAGGCTGGGAGGTAAAATTTGATAATATACTTTATTACTTAGTGGTATAGTCTAATTTGCGTTAATATTAATATACAAGGTGTAGTTTTGAAACTGTGTCATTTCTCGGGGGCATGTCACAGAAGTCATAAAGGTTCAATATAAGAGAAAATTTCGGGCCAATAGTTAAGTATACGGTTATAATAAATCGTTGAAGTTTGACAGTATTTCAGAATAAGCAATAGCAAAGTTTTTTATTGGAATTTTATGGAATTATGAATAATATAAATTACGTGTTTGAGTTTGTGTGTGTTAAGCCGCGTTATAATGCTAGTTACAAGACAGCGGCGTGTACTTCGCACTTACGGATTTCCGTAATTTAAGGAAAAATATTTACCTACAATATTTTTTATTGATTCGGACTCAGAATCGATATCCGAGTTACCTCCTAGACAATGACGCGAATTTAAAACAACACCTTGTGTAATATTAAAACGGTATTTTTATATTAATACTCTTGTTAGATATATTTATTAAAATAATTGTGTTTTACAACACAATAAACTGGGACACAGAACTGTTTGACGAGTTCCAACTAGTTTCAAACTACGCTAATACGAATTAAATGCGGTACGCTGTAAAACAGATACGTGATTAACCCGTGAAACACCGCTAACTTAAAATTTTAAGTTAAAAATTAATTTAAAACAGGTTTTTATGCAACTTGGCATTTATGGTTAGTGTTCATGCAAACTAAATGTGTATACAAAATTTCTGCTCAATTGCACGCACACACACGCACACACACACACATACATTCCTATATGCGTACTGTGGGTAGCAGGTCAACCTAATATATTTTGTCAAATTTGTTTATTAGATTTTCATGTATAAAGTCGAAAATTCATTGACAAAAATCGATACATTAGGGTAGGTTTAAGTGGGCCAGCACTTAAACTTCACTATAAATTGAAAGTTAAATAAAATATTGCGACTTGTAAAAATGGTACTTTGTTTTTGTATCTTTTAAATATGAGTTTGTTTTCCAACAGATCTGCTGACTTCGCGATCACGAAATTCTCAATGATCAAGAAGATTTTACTAGTCATGGGACACTGGTACAACCAGCGACTGGCCACACTCATACAATATTTCTTCTATAAGAATCTAGTCCTTGGGAATATTATGGTAAGGAAACAATGTTTGTCATATTCATACATTTGCAGAAAAGGAGATAAAAATTAGACATACTAATTTAACTAAAAATCCCGGGTTACTCACGCAAGCACACTCAGAAAAGCTCTACTAGTTTCGAGCCACAGAGGGGTTCTTCCTACCGCGACATCGCCGCGGTCGCGAGCGGTACTCACGAGGAATAGACTATTTAGACTATATTTTATGATTAAAAATGAGGAAGTCCAGTACCTTGTTGGAATAAAATACTAAAGGACTATACTGATAATTATGTCCTATCTACTCTAATTAAACCGCCCATTGTACGCGAATCACTGTAACATTGTAAACTATTTTGTTTCTGTATGTGTGCAATAAAGTATTAATAAATAAACCTCGCCAAACCTATCCTGTATCTACTATTTATACTTGTTTATTTACTTAGGAAACTTTGTTCTCTTTTTTTCTTAGTCTTTTTATACTGGATCGGCAGTCAGTCAGTAGACACCTAAAAGAGAAACACAACATAACATAACATAACATAACATCACGCCTTTTATCCCCGAAGGGGTAGGCAGGGGTGCACATAGAAATAACACCCACTTTTCACTATTTATGTTATGAGTCCCATGTAATAGGGGGTGAGCCTATTGCCATATACCGGGCACATTTCCAGACTCCGTGCTACTACTGAGATTTTTAAAAAACCCAGTAATACTTTGCCCGACCCGGGAATCGAACCCGAGACCCCTTGCCCGGCAGTCGCACTTGCGACCACTCGGCCAACGAGGCAGTCGAGCTAAAAGAGATTGCATTAAATAAGCGAGTGAGAGCATACATTCGTGATTTAACTTTATCAGCTATTTCGATTTTTTTATATTCATAACGACTGTCCAAATCTTACTAGAGCAGTGTTCGTATGCACAGAAATGATAATAAATAATGTGTTAACTTAAGCTTCCTTGGGCAAACTATGTACTAAGGAGTGGCGTGCCAGATTATGTCTTTCCTGAAGCGTGGGTGTCTCCAAGGCCCGAGTGAATAGGTTGCATTTGGGTAGACGTGGACCACCAAGCTAGATAGTAGCCAAACGTCGTCTCATCAAATATAGATATAAAAAACTACATAACGTTTTATTTTATCAACAGTTTCTATTCCAAATACACACGGTGTTCTCGACGCAGTCAATCTTCGACTCAATGTACCTGACGTTCTACAACCTCGTGTTTACGTCAGTGCCAGTACTACTGCTGTCTGTCACTGAACAGGCCTGGCCTTCTGATGTACTCTATAAGTAAGCAATTTTTTATATTTGTAGTCATATGAAGTTTTTGTCAAACAGCTAGATTGATCTAACAATTTAGGGTCGTTCAGTTCACGTAGCGAGTTATTGAGTGAGTCGCAGAGTTGCTCTGAGTGCCAAGCACGAATAACTATCGCATTCGTAACATAATAGTATCGAGCGAGTTCGGCGCTCTGATTGGCTGGCTCAAGTGAACCAACCAATCAGAACGCTTAACTCGCTCGATACTGTTACGATACGAATGCGATAGTTATTCGTGCTTGGGCCTCAGATGCTGAAGATGTCGTATCGTATCCGCAACGAGATGATTTAACAGGGAACGAAAGTGAATGTATAGGTACTACATACATCAAACGAAATGTATTATGACCCTGATTGAACAAGAAGAACCTGTGAAGTTACTTGCTCGTTCTTCTCCATCATCAACAGCCTATAAATGCCCACTGCTGAGCAAAGCCTCTTCTCACACGGAGAAGGTTAGAGCATTAATCACCACGCTTGCTCAATGCGGGTTGGCGATTTCAAACTTATAATTAGAAATTATAAGTCCAGGTTTCCTCACGATGTTTTTCCTTCACCGTTTGTCAGTGGTGTCTAAATAATCTTAGAAAGTACATATATCTCGGAAAAAGTCACATTGCTACTTGCCGTTGGTAGGTTTCGAACCCGCACCCTCATGCATGAGAATTGAGCGTCTTAAACCTCCGGGCCACCACGAATATATTCTCCATAGGAATCTATAATTTGGAACGAGCAAATAGCTTCACTTAAAATAGGTCACGACCGACAGACTGACAGTTTTAATAATTTGTTTCAACGTTCAAAAGTACATTTATAAATTTGACTTTGACTTTAAAATACTTTTTTGACTGCACGGTTTGTGCGGTGGCTGGGCAACCGGCTGCCGTGCAACGTGTCGCGGGTTCGATTCCCGCACGGAACAACACTTTGTGTGATCCACAAATTGTTGTTTCGGGTCTGGGTGTCATGTGTATGTAAACTTGTATGGTTGTAAACGCACCCACGACACAGGAGATAATCATATACAAAAAAAATAATTTAAAAAAATGTTTTCTGTTCTTTATATATGTATATATATATACATTCAGTGTGTTTAGACAGAATTACATAGATATTCTCAACTTTACCACCAACCACATAAAGTTCAAAATCACAAACTCACTAAGCCCAATATTTTTTCCAGCAACCCTCAACTATACAGCGGTATAAAGAAGAACAAGTTGATGTCGTGGCCGTACTTCGTGTCTTGGTGTATTGCCGCCACGTACCACTCCCTCGTCATATACTGGTTCAGTTATTTAGCCTTCAAGTATTCTGTCATCAATCTTGATGGGAAGCCTGTGGATTTGTGGTCAGTATTAACACTATCTTTTCAATTTTTTTTTCTTTTGTGTATTTTTAATTGACGGGCAAAGTCTGGAATTGTGCCCTGTATATGGCAGGCTCACCCCCTATTACATGGGACTCATAATATAAATAGTGAAAAGTGGGTGTTACATTGTACAGTGGTATAATGTGCACCTCTGCCTACCCCTTCGGGGATAAAAGGCGTGATGTTATGTTATGTTATTTTTAAGTGGTAGTATAGTAACTCGTCACTAGTACTTGTAACTCGTCTGCCCGCAAGTGTTCTAAGAGCTAACTAAAGAACTAAACATTTGACAAAGACCGAGCAGTTGAGTACTTTGATATACCTTATGAACCTTTTAAGGTGCGATTTCAAGATATTTTTTTTAAATGAGCGGTAAACAAGCAGAACGGGGGAGGGGGGGGGGATAATTGGGCCTCCGATAACCTCACTCACACGATGAAACACGCAAGCGTTGTTTCACGTCGGTTTTCTGTTTTTCTGTAAGGCCGAGTTATCACTCCGGTCGAGCCGACCCATTCGTGACGAAGCATGGCTCTCCCACATTTAAATTGTTTTATTTAAACACTAGCGGACCCAACAGACGTTGTCCTGCATATCCACTTGAATGTATAAACAAAAATTCATTCAAATTAGTTCAGCTGTTTAGGATAAATAACCTAAACACCGACTGCAGCGCCATCTGCCGGGCTGATTTGTGAATCTAAACCATTCTCAGATCCCCTTGAACACACAAAAAATTTCATCAAAATCGGTCCAGTCGTTTGAGAGAAGTTCAGTGACATACAGACTCACAGAAGAATTATATAATACAAACATAGATAAAATTTACAGCAAAGTTGAGATGTTACAGATAAGTGGCATCCTCTATGTTTTGCCCAGAGGCGTACAAATGTATTATTAATATTACAAATGTATTAAACGTTTAACATCGGCAAATGCATGTTTTCAACCCGTCTACCAACCATGGATGTTATAACAAAGCCTCTTTATAATCGTAAGCAAAGCAATCGGCATGCAAATGTTTATGGACACCGGATTTGGATACCAATTGTCTCTGCTACTCACACCAGTGGATTGTCAAGGCCTGATGGTGATAATCATGAAGATATTTTAATTAAATCATCATTGGCTCCTTTTGAATTTTGAAACGTCAACAAATAAAGAAATCCTTACTAATATTATAAATTGGAAAGTTAGTTTGTTTGTTTGTTCCGCTTTCACGCCGTAACTATTAAACCGATTGCTTTGAATTTTTGCAGACGTAAAGTTAGAAGTCTGGATTAAATAATAGGGTACTTTTTAACCCGGAAAAAATTAATATTCCCGAGGGAAAACAAACGTACCTAATGGTATAGATGGCGGTGTGTGTATTGGTATATGTCACATAGGCTACTTTTTATCCTGTTGTGACGCGAGCGAATCCGCGAGTAAAAAAGCTAGTGTTGCATAAAACGAAGCCATCTGGTGGCGAAACGGAGTTCGCCGGGTTTGCTAGTTATCTAATATAAATATTATAAAGCTGAAGAGTTTGTTTTTTTGTTTGTTTGAACGCGCTAATCTCCGAATCATGAGGCTAAGTTGAGCAGAGCGGCTACAACCGCGCGGAAGTAGGTAGTCTAATATAGATGGGCAATACAATTCCAGGTGCTTCGGCGCAGTGTCGTTCCACCTGCTGACGGTGGTGGTCAACCTGAAGCTGTGGCTGCACGCGCGGTACCACACGCTACTGTTCGTCTTGTCGGTGCTGCTCTCCATTCTCATCTATATAGGCTTCAATACTGTGTATTCTGTTATTTATTTGTGAGTATAAATTTTATTTTGTTTAATTTTATAATGTAATTTAGTACAGTTTAATATTAAATAAAAATAACGGTTTGCTCAAGTAAATATACTGAGCACAGCTCTTCGAGTTACTAAGGGACTCTTCCTCATGAGCAGGTCGCAGCGACGCTTACCAGTAGATGGTGCAACGTTCATTTTAATTGAACCATTATTTTTAGTTTATTCAGTATATCTAACGACAGTTATTATAAGAATATAGTTTAGCATTGTTCGATATGTTGCTCCTTTGACTATTAGACGAGATCCCTCTTGAAAGTACCTATAATAATAAGTTTATTTCCTATTAATTTGTATCTTTACCTGGTTAGGTTGTACTTCTGAAGATAAATCGATGAAAACTTCAACTGTCATTTCGCAATCGTTTATTGTGTTAGTTAAAAGACATTCCAATAGATTTTAGCTACAATTAAAACCTACTCAAGCGTAACATGGATAAAGTATCTTTCCTAATTATAGCTATTATTTATATACCTTAAAACCTGCATAATAAGTACCAGAATACAATAAAAAAATCTTATGTCGACATGTCAATAATATTTACCATAATATTAAACAAAACCTTACTATTTTCCAGGCAAATCGACGGCGATGTTCTTGGAACGTATCTAAGGTTACTCCAATCTCCTGGCTTCATGTTTCTCAACCTAGTTGTAGTTATAGGCTGTCTACTGCCAGACTTTGTCGTCAGGATCATCTCCGAGCGCCTTATAAGAATGAGGATCATGAAACGACCCACCGAACCTACTGTTTTTATTACTAGTCTATGATAAAATCAGTTCCAGATTAACCACGTAAGAAAAGCAGTGAATAGTGTTTTGATGTGCAGTCATTGGATATTAAATTTTTGACAGCTACCAGTGATTGAAGACGGCCTAAAGCTACTTTAGCGCCACCTGGTAAGCAAAAAGCGGTTCCGTGGTAGCTTAATTCAGCACTACATGCAATGTCATGAGTAAATAACTCATATATACTGTTGTTTGAGGCAATAATCATGACTATAACTTACAAATATTGAAGTCAAATGAAAGTATACGTAAATAGAGTAAGAATAAGCTAGGTTTTTGAGAAACGTATGTGATATATACAGGGTGTAGGTTAGACAAGTTTAATGAAACGATTTTATTGTGCTATTGTAGTAATTATTGGTGCCGTAACGAAATTAGCCAAAGTTAACTTGATACGATGCTAATCGTACAAAATGAATGAAAATATTTTTGTAGTAAATTTTTGACCAGTTAAAAATACACCCTAAATTGTAGATGATAAGACAAATTGGATATTTGTAAATAGATACTTTAAGGTTAATTGTTCAAAGTCGAGATTAGAAAATATTTGTCAGTGTGCAGAATGAGTACTTATTTGAACTCAAGTATTTAGATTAATATGTTCATGAATACATTGTTAGTCACAACTCTGTAATTTATTCATGGCCTGGAAACTAGGTAGAAATAATTTATATTTTAGATATTGTCAAATATTGTATTTTGCTAGTCCAAATATCATAATTCGCGGGTAATATATGAATGTGATAAACGTTTTAGATTTAATAAGTAATAATAACTTAAGTGGTGATTTGTGGACATGTTGACGACGCACGATAATTACTCGTGTCCGTTGCTGTAATTATGAATAAATTTTCGTATAAAATGTATCTGAAAATATTTTGTCTTGTTCCGTGAATAATGAGTAGATACTCTAGATTTTAATTTATTTATTTCTAGATTTTTATTTATTTATTTATTTATTACACAAGGGATCGGGATAAATTTGGGAATTTTTTTACGAGGGGAATATCATGGAATGACTGCTCCCGCCTGGGGTGAGGCGGGAGGGAGTGTCAGACCCTTACTGACTAAAAACTACTCCGTTCCTACTCCTGTACTTCAAGCCGGAGCCCCGGTAACACAGTAGGTTTCATATTTTCTTCTCCTCTTATAATATCTTCTGATTCATTTCGTTGCGGGAACCAAGACAGTTACTCATGTCCCTGGGACGCGCCGGACTTCAGTGTTCCGGTGTTTTCATGGTTGTATCTACTGTAGATCCTGGCTTACAGGAGTTGCAGCGGTTTTGGGAGGATGTGGCGGGCTTGTCCCATAAAAAAAAATCGGTATCAGCCCTATTGTGCCTCATCCGTGGTCTGATGGCTCTTTGAGTGGCCGTACGCACGGGATAAATTTGGGATAGGGGTACATTTTGGTTTGGCATAATACATAAGCTTCTTTATCCCTCGACTAGTAGGCATATAATGATATCATTACTGCTTATTAACGGACACGATCAAAAATCGTTCCATGACTTACCCATGTACATAGTCTAGGTAAGTAGGCACCTAATTGTATATAGTATACTATACTTTTTATTTATAATTATTTTCCTTATGTCCATAAACTTTGCATTTCTATGTATAATATTTTTAAGATAAAATGTTTTATTAAATTGTGCATTCGATTGCAGATATTTTTAGAACATTAATAAATCTAGTTAAGTAAGTAGATATTTTTGTAGATTTATTTAAATTTTTAGTACAACATTCTTTGTACAAATAATTTATTATGAAAAATAGTGCGTTTAGTAGTCAAACACACATTTTTCTTTATGACAAATGAATTATTTAAATTAAGTACTAGCTATAGTTTAAGATTTACCTCGCATAAGTGTACATACTCTGTATGTTAGATAAATTATTATTATTAAAAACATTGAAATAGATTTTTTATAAATTGCGTTTTATTATTACCTCTCTTTGTTTTGTCACTGACTGCCTCATTGGCTGAGTGGTCGCTAGTGCGATTGCCGAGCAAGGGGTCTCGATTTCGATACCCGGGCCGGGCAAAATATTAATGGGTTTTTAAAAAATCTCAGTAGTAGCACGGAGTCTAAGAACATTTCAATGTAAAATATTGCCTCGTTGGCCGAGCGGCCACAATTGCGACTGCCGGGCAAGGGGGCTCGGGTTCGATTCCAGAGTCGGGAAAAGTGGCAAAGTATTACTGGGTTTTTAAACATTCTCAATAGTAGCACGGAGTCTGGAATTCTGTCCGGTATATGGCTCTCCACCTATTAAATGGGACAATAACACAAAAATGAAAAGTGGGTGTTTTACATTGTACATGGCATTAAGTGCCGTAATGTGCACCTCTGCCTACCCCTTCGGGGATAAAAGGCGTGATGTTATGTTATATTATTTATACTTTATTGCACACACAGAAAAAAATAATCCTTGTTTACTTTTCTAGAAGGAAACTGACTTCCACATAGTAATTAAAACAACCAGTAAACTTATAAATATTTATCAAAAGGTTCTTATTCAGTATTTTCTTTTTTTAAAATCATATCATTTAGTGGTTAATATAGGTAAATTACATTGAGTTGTTGGCAGATAATTAGATACATTTCCGACCATATTACGCATTGAGGCATGCAAAATACAAAATTACAAAAATGACGGCATCACAATATTATTCGAACAAAAATTAATACTTTCAAAATTCCAAACTATCAACACAATTATTGTAATATAATGTGACCAAATTAATTAAAAATTTAATGTCAATAAATATATTTGTCATTTTTAAAGGGACACACCCGCCACAACCTCCCAAAACCGCTGCAACTCCTGTAAGCCAGGATCTAGGATCGGATCAGTAAATACAACCATGATCACACCGGAACACTGAAGTCCGGCGTCCAGGGCCGGATTTAGGGGTCCAGAGGCCTCGGGGCAACAAAGGAGTGGAGGCCCCCTTGCCCCAAATTATTTTCCAGATTGAGATCGAGGACGCTCGCTTGATTTCGAGGACGCTCGATAACGATCGAGGACTCTCGATAGATTTCGAGAACGCTCGAAAACAATGGAGGACGCTCGAAAACGATCGAGGATGCTCGATTGATTTCGAGGACGCTCGATAGATTTCGAGGACGCTCGAAAACGATCGAGACCTCTCGATAGATTTCGAGGACGCTCGAAAACAATCGAGGATGCTCGAAAACGATCGAGGATGCTCGATTGATTTCGAGGACGCTCGACAGATTTCGAGGACGCTCGAAAACAATCGAGGACGCTCGATAGATTTCGAGGACGCTCGAAAACAATCGAGGACGCTCGATAGATTTCGAGGACGCCCGAGATTTCGAGGACGCTCGAAAACGATCGAGACCTCTCGATAGATTTCGAGGACACTCGAAAACAATTGAGGATGCTCGAAAACGATCGAGGATGCTCGATAGATTTCGAGGACTCTCGATAGATTTCGAGGACTCTCGATAGATTTCGAGGACGCTCGAAAACAATCGAGGATGCTCGAAAACGATCGAGGATGCTCGATAGATTTCGAGGACGCCCGATAGATTTCAAGGACGCTCGAAAACGATCGAGGACTCTCGATAGATTTCGAGGACGCTCGAAAACAATCGAGGATGCTCGAAAACGATCGAGGATGCTCGATTGATTTCGAGGACGCTCGACAGATTTCGAGGACGCTCGAAAACAATCGAGGACGCTCGATTGATTTCGAGGACGCTCGATAGATTTCGAGGACGCTCGATAGATTTCGAGGACGCCCGATAGATTTTGAGGACGCTCGAAAACGATCGAGGACGCTCGATTGATTTCGAGGACGCTCGAGGACTCTCGATAGATTTCGAGGACGCTCGAAAACGATCGAGGACTCTCGATAGATTTCGAGGACGCTCGAAAACAATCGAGGACGCTCGAAAACGATCGAGGATGCTCGATAGATTTCGAGGACGCTCGACAGATTTCGAGTTTAAGAATTGAAGAATACCAATTGTTCACATACTGCAATTAATTTTTTTAATGGTCGAGACACGGAATCGAATAGCCAACCTCCGAGGTTGCGGGCAAGTACCATCCCACTGAGCCATTGAGCCATTGGGGTACTCCCTCAAGATGGGTAGTAAATTGGAAGTGCTTATCAGAGCCATTTGAGATTTTGATATTTCACTGATTGCCTGATTGGAGTGAACAAATATAGATCAATGATTTCTTTTTCTGTTAATATTTAAAATTAAAATAATCATGTATGTATAAAGTACTTTAGGCTGTAGGTAAAGGTAAAAGCGAAAAAAAAATATCAAAGAAAAGATGTTTACTAGGTTTACTAGTTGAAATTTGAAAGATTTTTTTTCCGAAGTCTATTGTGGAGGCCCCCTGCTTGTGGAGGCCCCGGGGCTTTCGCCCCGGTTGCCCCCCCCCCCCCTAAATCCGGCCCTGGGCGCGTCCCAGGGACATGATAATTGTCTTGGTTCCCGCAACGAAGCGTATCAGAAGATATTATAAGAGGAGAAAAAAAAGATATATTTGTCAATAAAAATGTCACGAATGTGTGTGTATCTGCACAGGGAAGGCAATTTTAAATAAAAATGTCAATATAAAGGACAATGCCTAAAAGTGTGTGAAATCGGTTTGCGAATATCACATATCCTATCAAATGCATGCAAAACTTACACAAAACAGTAGGTAATTTAGTATAGTTATTGTTGAATTTAGTTCATATGGAATACTAATCTTTGGTTTATTGGACTCTGAAATTGGAGTTCGACCAATGTAAAAGTCATTAAAAATAATTGACAGCTGCTTGGGGTCAGATACCATGTTCTAATCTTGATCAAGGATTTGCTGTAATTGGTCTTTGTGGCACATGATTAGCGTTAATTATCTTCCAAGTTGCCGCTCCGGCTCGAAGTGCAGGAGAAGGAACGGGGTGGTTTTTAGTCAGTAAGAGTCTGACACTCCCTCTCGCCTAACCCAAGGCGGGAGAAGATAATGGGTAATTTTCCTCCCTCAAAAAAAAAAAAAGAAAAAAGTAGCTAGTGATTTATTTCGGGCATTTTTTATGTAATTCTCATTACGAGGATTCTAAGATAGCTTAATGATACGATTTAGCCGCACGGACAAAGCTAGAAATCTTTTACAATTTATTTATACTTTTGTTTTCCCTTGTGGGTTTTTTTCTGTATTCTCACAAAGGTTTTCGAAATTAGACATCTTTAAATCCTTTTTCTTTATAACAGCTGATTGAGTCTCGGCTTCTTTGAAATACGTGAATATAATACCACTACTAAACTTTTTCAGTATCTTCTTGTCCTCAAACGGATGGTTATGGGTGAATGTTCTGAAAATATAAAAACAATTATTATACTTTCTAAGACTGGTGTATAAATATACACCAAGAAGAAAAACATCGTAAGAAAACTTGGGCTTATAATTTGTAATTATAAGTTTGAAATCGCCAATCCGCATTGATCACGAGTGGTGATTAACCCATGGTACCTATGCCGGGAGCGTAGATATACGAGAGACACAATGTGTTTTCTATTGTCTCATATGCCGGCAGATAAGAGGTTAATGCTCAAACCTCCGTGTGAGAAGGCCTTTGGTCAGTAGGGGCCACTTGTTGGCTGTTGATGATCAATTAACCATGTAAGTCATTACGTCCCTGGTAAAATAGTATATAGCAATAGGCTCTCCCCTGTTACATGGGACTCATAACTTGTAAAAGATGTTTGTTACATTAAATTATCGTCTATCTCAATTGGAAGGAACAAACATTTAAGGTACAGGCTCGGCAAGTTTAGATGAGTTATTCATAGACTGTGTTTTTGTTACAATAAACACTTTTTACTATTTACTAGCTTTTACCCGCGGCTTCTCTCGCGTCACAAAAGAATAAAAAGTAGCCTATGTGACATATACCAATACACACAGCGCCATCTATATCAATACTTTTGTTTTACCTCGGGAATATCAATTTTTTCCGGGTTAAAAAGTACCCTATTATTTAATCCAGACTTCTAACTTTACGTCTGCAAAAATTCAAAGCAATCGGTTGAGTAGTTACGGCGTGAAGGTGGAACAAACAAACAAACTCACTTTCAGATTTATAATATTAAGTATGAAGTATGATAGTATGATCTTCCTTTCAAATGTCCACTTACCTGTCTACAACAGTATTATTGTTTAAAGTACTTATATTGGCTGGACAATTGTTATTGGACGAATATTGCACACACCGCCAGAATCGTCTGCCATTGGTCTTGCTGATGTAGCGCAGGTTGTAAATATATCGGTTGTATACAGCTTGTAATCCACCCTGGTTTGATATTGAGTACTGTACTTGTTTACTTACTGTAATGTAATAAAAAATGTATCGTCATTATGAGTGTTTTGGTTCATCGGTCAATATAGGCGCATAAAAATATAATAAAAACTAGCTTTCACCCGCGGCTTTGCCCGCTTGTTTTATCCAATGGGAGCATTTAATGCTTAACTTCTTTGTGTTGATGAGGTAATAAATATTATAGACAGGCTAAAAGAATCTTGTGCCGTGGGTTATGATAATATACCCAATTGTCTGCTCAAAAGATTCAAACACTACATTGCCCCTACATTAACTCACATTTTCCAGTTATGTTTAGCTAAAGGAATATTTCCCAAGTTTCTGAAACGGGCCTTGGTCACCCCTGTATTTAAGAGTGGATTGCGAAATTGTATAAATAACTATAGACCAATTGCAGTACTAACAGGAATTTCAAAAATCTTAGAGAAAATCATTAACAATAGATTAATAAATTATATTGAAAGTAATAAATTGCTTTCGGACCAACAATACGGCTTTCGACCCAAAAAATCCACTGACCAAGCAGTTCACCAACTAACAAATTTTATTAGTATGAACCTGGATAACGGCTTGCATACCTTAGGGATATTTTTAGACCTAGCTAAAGCTTTTGACACAATATCGTGTCCCCTACTCTTAAATAAGCTTGAAAGATGGGGCATCCGAGGAACACAACTACTTTTAGTGTTACCTTTTCAGTGATTACCTTAACGATCGCTACCAGTGTGTCAAAATTGATAAATAACAAAGCTCAGAACAAAAAAGCAGTTGCTACGGTATCCCACAAGGAAGTATCCTTGGTCCTACACAGTTCTTAATATATATAAATGACTTGTGTTGTTTATTACTTATTAAGGGTATTGTATTGTCATATGCAGATGACACGGCTTTACTGTTCGCAGCTAAATCAAAGTCTGAAGTCTACGAACTACACTGCTTTAGCACTGTAACAAATTAGCTTCATAAAAATCTTTTAACTTTAAATACTGATAAGACTAAGTACTTATTATTCACTATAAGAAATACTAATCCACCTACTAATCTCCATATTCGCGCACACAGCAATTGCAGCTTACATGTAAATGCTGACAGTGCGTGTGCCTGCCCTACCTCAACAAAAACGGATCATATCAAATATCTTGGCGGTACGATTGACACAAACCTAAATTTCTGCAAACACATTGTGCGGTAGGATTCGCAAACTAATTTACATTTTTAAATTTTTACGTAACATAGCTGACTTTAAACTCATTAGACAGGTATATTTGGCTTTGTGTCAGTCTATTATTACGTATTGCATTACATCTTGGGTGGTGCCGCTAAATCAATGATACTGCATCTTGGACGAGCCCAAAGAGCAGTCTTAAAGGTTGCTACTTTTCGGCCGTTTAGATTTCCCAGCTTTACCTGGCATGTAAGGTACTAACAGTCCGAAAATTATTCATTTTAAATAAACTATTACTGCAACAAACTAAACTTGATTATATTCCTCTGCTTGCATAGAAGAAGAAGGGATTTGGTTTGTGATAACGCCCAGACTAAACATGCTTTTGCTAAACGTTTCTATTTATTTCTAGGGCGGTACTTGTATAACAGAATCAATAGAACGCTAAATATTTATAGCTTAAGTTATAATAAGTAATAGACAACCTTATGCCCAATTAAATAGGAATAAAAATCACTCACACAACACATTCCTTGTTGTTTCAGGCGAAATTGGTGGTTTATCATCTTTTTTATACTTTTTATTTTTCTTGAGTGGTATACTTGTATCTGTGATCGCCATTATGTCCGTACTCGATTCGTTCTCTGTATCCATTGTTGTGTCGTAGTTATTTGCATTTTCACTTATGTATATTCTGTAAGAGGTAAAAAGTAAGTTGGTTGAGTATTCTGAAAGCAGGTACACAATTATTTTTGTAGGAAGTGGTTAGTCATTGTACGACTCCTTACGACCTGGGTTAGGCGAAAGGGATTGTCAGACATTTACTGACAAAACTACCCCGTTCTTATCCTTACTTCGAGTGGGTCGGGTATCAGTCCTTCTGGGCCCCATCTGTGGTGGTCTGAACGAGTGGTGGCCCTACGAGGCGCGCGCGAAACTTACTGATCTGAATCTTCAACTTTATAACTATCAGTAATTCTATTGTTATTGTAAGTGATTGCGGAACAAGTAATCTTGGTTTCGATTTTCTAAGATTGTAATACATATTGTCAAAGTCAAAGTCAAAGCATTTATTTCAATCAAACCATAATTTGGTACGTTTGAAATGTCAACAACTACAAAATAAATAACAGTCTGTCAGTCCGTCAATGAAGCTAGGTGAAGCTAGGTGCTCATTCCAAAATGTAGATTCGAATGGAGTAGAACGAGAAAGAAACTCAATGGGTTACTCTTTTTAAAAAGTATGTTCTACAATGTCTCTGATTCATATCGTATTCTTAAATCTTAGCAATTAATATCAACAAGCCAACTTCTAATTACATTTACACGGGACTTATGACAAAATTGCGGTGACAACTGATAAGTATTAAAATTTACCTATCCCTTTGGGAATGTTAAATGATAGCGGAGTTCATACTTGCATATAGGTTCTGGCGACGATGTTAGGATCTGTTCCTGTGTATCTTTATTCTGTTCTTCTTTTAATATTTCTGATAAACTTGGCATAGTTGGTCTACTCTCTTCTGGAGGTTTTCCTTCATTCTTTTGTTATTTCCATAAAAAAAATAAAAGATTAAAAATGAATGAATGTTATTACATTAAAACCATGTTTTTAAACCAGTTTTTTTAATGCTAGCAAATTATTTTATTTAACATTACTCTAGCGACCCGCCCCCGGCATCGCACGGGTGCAATATCCATGTATTATACATATAAACCTTCCCTAAGAATCACTCTATCTATAAAATCAAACCGCATCAAAATCGGTTGCGTAGTTTTGGAGATCTAAGCATACATTGGTACAGGGCGGATAGCGACTTTGTTTTATACTATGTAGTGATACGTAGTAACTTTGTCTGTGTATTATTTTCGTACCTATGTGTTCTTTGTTCATATGGCTAAGAAAATAATGAACATACAAGTTCAAATTACATAAACATATGGCTAACATCAATAGAGGTTTATTCATTTATTTAGACTTTTTAAGTTCACAAAAATGGAGAACAATAGTACAGTGGCCAGCAGATCAACAATCTGTCAAATTTATTTATTGGACTTTCGACTTTTTGTCAATAAAGATGTTATAGAGAAATTGGTAAAAGATAGGTTGACTTGCTGATAACCATACATAATGGTTTCTGAATCTATCTATATAAATAAAAATGAATTTCTGTTCGTTATCCTAGTTAAAACTCGAGAATGGCTGAACCAATTTAGTTAATTTTGGTCTTGAAATGTTTGTGGATGTCCAGGGAAGGTTTAAAAGGGGAAAAAGCAAATTTTAGACGGTATATAGTTAGTCGGGTCAGCTAGTAATTTAAAAATCATATCAACATAACAAGTTAGTTCAAGTGAAGCTCACCATGTCCTTTAGTCCCCTTATATGTAATGCTCTACCAGCACTGAGCAGATCAGGCAGTTTGTCGCGAGGTACTTGCACTTCGCCAGTGTATACATACTCTAATATCGCACATAGTGTAGTGTATGATATATTCTGAAAGGTAATATTACACTTTAGATATTAACCATAGACCTTTTTCACTCCTTCATCTTATTACTATATTATATCCAGCCAAAGAATTTAATTATATGTTTTACTAATTTGAGGAACTCAACTAGTTTTAAGCCGTGCTAGAGGCTCATATTCATGGGCAGCATGGACTAATTATAGATGAGTTCTTCGTCAAATAATAACATGAGAAAGCCGAAAATAAATAACAATCTATGAGTACTTTTGATAAATCAGCAGGCTTTTTTATTAAAAAATATATGTATTATCTTAGATATAATAGATCTAAGTATTGATAAATTAAATAAAAAAACAATGCTATACTTACATTAAGAAAAATAACAGGATGTGGGCATGGGGCTGTTGATATAAGATCCTTCAGGTACGGGCTCACTAGCGACACAACCATCTGGTGGACCTTCACATAGTGGCCGTCAGCAGCCAGCGTCATGTCCACATATTCCCCACGCTGTAACACATAAATAGAAACCTTGTCTTAAACAGATAAGGATGCCTATACTTTACATACAAGTTCTTTGTTCTTGTTACTTTAAACTCTTAATCAACCTATAGTTATAACATTAGTCATTTAAGATCATTGTAAGTGAATTTTATGAGTAAATAAATAATAATTAAACATAACCTTCATTTATTTGCCCTCATTAGTTTCATTTAATAATAGGAAACCATTGAGATAGACATAGGTTTAACTCAATGTAGGAAATTATAAAAGATAAAAAGATAAAACATAAAATATTGTTTGTAAACACTATGGTTGTTAATTTTGTAAAAAATAGCTATGGAAGAGCGGGGTTTCATCACAGGCACATGTTGCTCAAAACGCGATCACCCAATCTTTACAATTTGTAATAATAAAAATTTTTTTCATTTCATTTTCATAAATAAAATTGTACCTGCTGCAGTACGCTTAGTCCGTTACAAATACTTTTCTGGTGGGAGTCCCAAGATAAGGACAGTCGTTCCGTTTGCGACATGTTTACTATAACTATTCAGAAAATTGATTGTTAATTGTTATTATTTTACACTGCACACAAAACAAATTCTGGAACCAAATAAAGTAAAGCTACTTTCGTTCGTTATGTCTCGTTTGTTGTGTTTTTTGACAGTTGTTTGACAACTATAGGGCTGGAGGGAACATTAGATTAAAATGAAGTTATTCTCGATGCGGTAACGTGAATCGATATATAAAGTGAAGTAAATATTAATGAACAATTCTAAACTGTGAATAGTACAAAATTCGTTAGGTATAGGATTATACACGAAATTGTTTCATGTGATTATTGCAATCTCATACTTTATCAATAAGTCAATAGATAATAATAAACAAATAGGTAAACTGTATCGATACTATTTTAGTGGAATTATTCACATACCTAAATGGTAGGATTGGGTAGGATCCGTTCAGAAACTAAAAATCCGAGAATGTGGGATGGAATTTATTTCGTTGGCTTCCGAACTGTTGGATTGGAATACATAAAGGTAGCTTTGGTTCGGTTAGGAGACTAATGTGTCTACACACTATTTTTTTTATAATAAATAATGTGTCGTCTTTTGTGCCCATGCCCTTATTTCGCCTGATTGTAAGCGATGGTATGGCCTACGATGGAGCACACTGGCCCATAAGCATTCACTCTGGCCTTGAAGAGTTTAGTAATAAGCTTTGTTTTGACTACCAACTGAGGCTCTTATCCTAAATCCAGGTAAATGTAATACGGAAAAACAAGACAGACTTTTAGATTGTTGGATATAATTTTATTTAATTGTAACACCTTTTTGTGTTAAAGTATTATCTTCATAAGTTTCCAGTACATCAGCCAAATGTTCGTTGTCTCTGGGTTTCTTGAACTGTCTCCGTTTTTGTGCAGTTTTCTTTCGTTTTGGCACCACAGGCTTTCTAGGACCATGATCTTGCATAGATTTGATGCCCTGTTTTTCTAAATATTCTTCAATTTTCGCGTCATCCATTGCATCTACAGCAGTTGCGCGCCATAACTTAACAAATTCTTCATCAACCTAGAAAAAAAATCATGATTAGTTTTTATTGAAACTATTTAAACACTATTTTTCTGTAAATGTTACTTTGTCAACTTAAGTTTAAATCACACTATTGAAGTATATTAATGAGTATGATAATTGTACTTACATCAAGTGTTGCTGTTTTGTCATTATAAAATAATATTTTCTTCTTATCAGTAGGTCGAGTTATGTACAAAATTTCTTGAGCTAAACTTTTTAATGCCCTCTCACAATGAGGCAAAGACTCCTGTACATCTTCCAACAATATACCACCTAGTCCTTTGAGATCATGTTGCTTTAATAACCTGTTTGAAAAAAAAACAATATGAAATAATTTGGAACAACTATATAACAATTTTGATTATAAAAAATCTCACTTTAGTAATGACTTCTTGTCCTTAATTTTATAGACAGGCTTAAATATGTATTTTCCATCAGGTGAGCATTCTATTTTGGGATTATTCTGCAAAGCCTCTGTTTGTAGCCACTGAAAAGAAAAAAACAACAACATAAGTAAATTTGCAAGTTATGTGAAATTACTTATTAAGTCTGATTATGAGAAAGTATTGTTTAATTGTCACACTAGCGCCACCACATAAGAAAAAGTATGGTAAGCCCCATTCCTCCATTGAAGTTAATTATTCAAAATAGGCCTCCAATAACAAACCTGTTTCACTTTACTGCCGACATCCAGTTGGTTTGTTTCATCTAGCACCTCATCAAGAGTTAAAGGATGATCATCTCCCTCTTGATGGCGGGCCCTCATGTGTCTGACAATACGTGCCAGGACACCAAACCTATATGCTGATGTTCCTGACATAGTTTTGTAGCTGAAAACAAGAAAACATTCAATATCAACACATCAACAGCCTATAAGTGGCCCTGCTGACCATATGCCTCTTCTCACACGGAGAAGGTTTGAGCATTAATCTCTACAATTCAAAGGGTTGGCGATTTCAAACGCCAAATAAGAAATTATAAGCCCAGGTTTCCTCACAATGTTTTCCTTCACCATTTGTCAGTGGTGTCTAAATAATGTTAGAAAGTACATATAACTTGGAAAAATTCACATTGGTACTTGCTGTTGGTAGGTTTCGAACCCTCCGGGCCACCACAACATTTTTATATTACTTGGCTGAAAGTAACAAATGTATTTAAATACCAAATAAGATTTTTTATCCTTTTATAGAATTATGTATTCTCGTTTTTTTATTAGCGATGATTGTCTCACAGCAGGGCAAAGACCTCCCTATCCTCCTTCCACTCATTTCTTTGTAGAACATTCTTTCTTTATGTTTTCTGTATAATAATATCATTGAGAGGTTGATGGATAATTTTTGTTAGGTGTATGTTACAGCAGATAAATATATGATGTTACTTACTTTGTAGCATCAAGCTTCGGCCCAGAGCTGACCGAGCTTGATGATGACGATGATTTTGATTTCTTTTTGCTATCATCTTTAAATTGGGAGTCATCTCGTTTTTTCTTTTCTATACTGAAAAAGGAAAAATATTTTCTTTGAAGACACCAGGACACAGTTGACAAATATAAATAAATCAAATGTAAACAAAAATGTTTAGTCAATAAGTACTATAAATAATAATATGCATATCGTAAAATGCAACTTTCGTCACTGATTGTTAAGTGATAAAACATGGCAAGGAATCATTCTGTAAAGATTTTTTTAAATGTCATGCTGATATAAATTGGTAATTGGATTTGTTGATGTAGTGTGTGGGAGCAAGAGAAAGTACATGTTTGACGTGACGACATGATGCGAGCAGTGTCCGCGAGATGATGGTAACCACCACAAGCGTGTTACGTACCTCGGCGTAGCGAGTGCCTTCTTTTTAAACGCTTCACGTTCTCGAAGCAGTGCAGGATCCATTTTTACATACACCAACTTTATGTAATACCAGTTAAAGCGTGAGTATGTTATTTGTCATATTAATTAATTCAATATTTTGGTGTCCTATTTTCCACTTTGTCCAAACTTCGTAAACTAATTTGACAGTAGTCAAGCGTCAAGCGATAACAAGCAATAAAAAAAAAGCTTTTAAAAGTCAAACTGTCAAAACAATATTTTGAGTTTGACAACTACGAGGAACTGTCAAATTTAACGGTGACTTTCTTAAATACGGAGACAAGGTATTTTTGCTACAACATTTATTTTTACATTGGAAAGGTTTGTCAAGAGTTTTGTGAAGTTGTGATGTGAGTCCAGCGGTCGCAAATATGTGATAATTAATAGGCTTGATAAGAGTACGAGAGCGTTTATTAAGATATTCAATTTCAAAATTTTCTGTAAATACTTTAGAGTCAAAATAAAGGGAAAACGCCCTGAATCCTGAATGGTCGGTTAATCGAAAGTAAGGTTCTTGATCTTGAGTTCGATTCTCGACGAAGACGGAGCAAAATATTGAGTTTTAAATGTTCGGGAATTCTCAGTAATAACCAAAACGGCACGAAGTCCAGAATTGTTTTTGGTGTTCTGAAATGAGCTTACCTACCCAAAAAGTGAATGTGCATTTTTATCGACCAGCATGGGCTGGCCGATAAAATTCTGTAATGGTACAGAGGTGTAATTTATGCTTGATTACCTACTAATTATTTTGCATGTTATCGTTAAAAAGGTCCAATATTGTACTCACTTGTTATACAAAATTGTGAATTAAAAGTGTTTTGTTGAAATAATTCGGTTCAAGCCAATTTTTACTCTAACAAATTGAAGGAATCGTCTTTAATATATGTTTAAAGAGGCAGGTACATAACTATAATATTAGTTGTTATATAGCGGTGTAAACGAGTTTCGCGTTAACACTACTTTGTTTGGTCGCGGCGGGAAATCGCTTCGACGGACACTGTTCCAGCTATCGCGGTGCAGTGTGGACGTAATCTTTACGTGTAGGTGCGTATACATATTGTTCTTAGTATTTACGATCTTTTATCAACCAAGTTATGTTTATTGAATATTTTAGAAAACTAAAACGTTTCTGTTTCACACAGATTTCGTTTAAAAATGACGTAGTGTGCCAATGTTCGGAATTTTTGTTTTAATTTCGGTATTTTTTTTACATTTACATTTCATTGGACATTATTCTTAAATGTGACGCATACCACCGGTCATTGGATATTAAATAATAAGGAAATCCGGATAATAATACTTACTTTATAAAAAATCTGGGTAAGAAAAAGTAAAAAATGCTGTTTTAATTTAAAGTGTTCAAGTGTGTTTATGTTCAAGCTATTAGACTTTATTTCAGTGATCGTCGCGTCGATATTTAAAAAAAAATATACCTATAATTAATTAATATCTTGTTAGAGGTAGATATTTACATGGATCTAGACTGGAGATCAATAAAACGAAAAAAGTAGTTAACCGGTTCCTAGTCACTCTTGATGTCGCGGAGAACCTAACGGGTAACTGGGGCTCCGGCTCGACGTGCAGGAGAAGGAACGGGGTGGCGTTTAGTCAGTAAGAGACTGACACTCTCTTCCGCCTCACCCAGGCGGGAGCAGTAATTTGATGATTTTCTCCCCTTAAAAAAAAAAAGAAAAAAGTCACTCTTGATATATTTTTAAATTTTGCAACGTTAATTGTATTTTTCTGTTAAAAAGCCTTATGAAGTGTTTCTGTTAAAAGTCCATTAAAATATTTATTGCAGTCAAGAAGTTTAGTAGGTATAGCTAGATTAATGTACTCGTAATATTATTTAGAACTAGGCAGTATGAAAAAACATGGGAGGGAGTGTCAGACTCTTACTGACTAACTGACGGTTCTCCGCGACAAAAAAAAAAACATGATTTGGCCTTATTATCTACATAAGTATCGTAGATTTCTGCGTTGTTATAAAATCAAGTCACGCAGTGCCGAAGGCAGGGCGCGGAATACTTTTCTTACTGATTTAATCAATAAATACCTAATATCAATTTTAATGATCTTTACACATAAGTAGTTCATGGAATGTTTACCGTATTGATATTGTGCAATTTATTTTTGTACCTACATCCATTTTTTGTTAGTACATGTGTCTGTTCCTATTAGACGCCCTAGATTTCCGTTACTTTTACTTTTACTCACGACAATGTAAGGCCGTAAGTTCTTATTAATATGTATATGCGTATATTTTTAATACATACATAGTCAAATCCCGATTAGTTAAAACAAAAACTTACTTGATGCCATCTTTATGCTAAAGTATTCTTTTGCCCTACACCCCAAAAAGATATGATTTTAGATTTGTTTGTTTCGAACAATTTTGTTTTATCTTTTTTTTAAAAACATTGCTCTGCACTTCGATTATCTCCTGTGTCGTGCGTTTACAAACATACAAGTTCACATACACATCACAAACAGACCCGAAACGGCAATTTGTGGATCACACAAAGAGTTGCTCCGTACGGAAATTGAACCCGCTATATGTTGCGTGACAGCCAGATGCCCAGCCACCGCACCAATTGTGTAGTCAATTGTGATACTATTGTTAAATATTAAAAGTTACCCATTTGACAATGATGAGGAAAAGAACTAAGAAAAACCCGAGTTTTACTTGTTTACGATATTAAAATTTTAACTTCATACAAATTAATGTTGAAGTAGGATTGCCTTTTAGATTAAATATCTATTTAATAATTAAAGCATGGTTTTTCCTAGTTAACATTAAATGTTAAATTTGAATTACAATTCTGTGCCAATTTTATTCAAATTCGTACAGCATTTTTTGAGACAATCGCTAAAATTCGTCACGAATGACGAAACGTCACGAAACGACCAGAGTGATACCCCGGCCTCATAGAGAACTGACGTGAAACAACGCTTGCGTTGTGTTTTGTCTTGTGAGTACCCAAGGAGGCCCCCCCCCATCCTCATCCCTATTAACAATCCTCAAATTTATAATTAGAAATCATAAGGCTAGGCCTAGGTTTACTCACGATGTTTCCCTTCATCGTTTGTCAGTCGTGTCTAGATAATCTTAGAAAGAACTCGGAAAAGTCACGTTGATACTTGCCGTTGGTAGGTTTCGATCCCGCACTCTCATGCATGAGAAGCTGGCATCCTTATCCTCCGGGCCACCACGAACTCCTCTTAATTTATTTGGTTGAATATATATTTAATTTTTAAATGATATTCATCAATATATTTTTTAAAAACCGATTACCGGCTAACCAATATCAATCCAAAATTAGGATCGAGTTTTAACAGAAACTTTTTTTATGGGATAAGTCGATAAACAAACTATGGACATCTGAAACACCAGAGAGGTTTAAGTGCATCCTGGCCTTTTGGGGATTAGGAATTTGAGGATTGATGGGAATTGGGGAGATAGGGGGCTTTTGATAACCTCACTCGCAGGACGATGAGATCGTGGTATCACTCCGGTCCGACTCATTCGTGCCATAGCATGAATCTCCCACAAAACACTAAACTCGATAACATTTATATCAAAACTACACCTGAATACATAAGATTTCCGATTAACATCCTTCAGGTATTAATTTCGGCCGTAAAACATCGATCTTGTACTGACGTAGGCAGCCACTAAGAGTAGTTTAATCAAATTTTAAAATCGATTAAGCACCTCGTGTTTTAATTACTAATTCAAATTTTGTCATTAATGAGTTTTCTTGCAACTGTTGTTATCAGCCAATGAAATAATTATGTACTTAGGTTTGTACTAAGTATGTACATAAATATACATATCTACATACATACATTCACGCCTGTCTCTTATGGGGGCAGGTAAAGAGTTACATACCTTTTCGCTTCATCAGCAGTTTATCAGTCTTTTTAATTTCAAATTCAAATTCATTTATTCATTGTAGATCACAGGTAAATACATAATACAGTTGTTGTACATGTAGATAATTTGTAATTATTATACATGTAATTTGTAGGTACTAAGTATAATTGTGTGTCCTGTCATTTAAAGCCGTCACAGATATTATTTTATACAATTACTATATAAAGCTGAGGAGTTTGTTTGACTATAGGGCCTTCCTCGATAAGTGGGCTATCCAACACAAAAAATATTTTTCAAATCGGAACAGTAGTTCCTGAGATTACCGCGTTCAAACTAACAAACAAACAAAGAAACTCTTCAGCTTTACATAATAAAAAGTAATAAGTATACTTTATATAATAATAGTGATGCGGACGAATACTTTGACGCCTAAATTAAGGGTATAATTTTTGTTGTTTTCTTTTACTTTCTTTTTATTTAAGAGTTTAGTTGTAGTTTATTTTAACTCGTCGAGTACCGGTTTTATAGACACAATTAAAGAACAATAGGTCGCGGTCACCGGTGACCGCTTGGTGTTTGACAGTTTAAGTTGTAAATATTTATGTAGTAATAAGTTATAAGTATAAGATTAACTATCGTGAGACATAAGTACGAAATTAATAAAAAATCAACTCGCGTGAGCAAATGTTAAATGTTCTTAAATAGTCAATCTTATGAATTTAGCAGGATAAGTTTCGAATCGGAATAATGTATGACAATAACTTAAATATTAACTGCACTTTTCCTTACATAGTATGTGTCATACCCTGTAACAAATTTATTATTGTGTAGGTACCAAATAATATTAGCCAGTCAACTGTTAATAAGAATACCTATTGTTTTTGTACCAAGTATCCTAATTATGACTCCCATGAGATAGTACATTAACGTAAATAAGCCGTACGACCTAATTAATTAGTTATATATATTTTATTGTGATTCATATATGACTGAAAATTCTGATCTTTTGATCCATAAAGTGTGGGAGAGCAATGCTTCGGCACGAATGGGCTGGCTCGACCGGAGTGACACCACGGCCTCACAGAAAACCGACGTGTTGTGTTTCGTCGTGTGAGTGAGGTTACCAGAGGCCCAATTACCCTCCCCTTCCCAATCTCCCCAATCCCTAAATCCTCAACGATCCTCAAACTCCTAATCCCCAAAAAGCCGGTAACGCACTTGTAACGCCTCTGGTGTTCTAGGTGTCCATGGGCGACGCCGATTGCTTACCATCAGGTGATCCGTCTGCTCGTTTACCGGCTTATAACATAAAAAAAATACTCTTTCTTGTTTTTGAAATCATTTTGAAAGGAACGGGCGAATGTGCAACCTGTTGGTCACATAGGATTGCTCCGTACCTGAACCCGCCACACGTTTGCACAGCAACCGATTGCACAGCATCTGTATCCATAGATTTGATGTAATATTTCTGTGCTTGTAGCTATTTAGTATATTTGTACAACCTAAAAATTGATAGAAGTAGACTTATGTGAAATTTAGGTTTCAAAAAAAAAATAGTAAGTATCCACGACATATCTAGAAAAAAATTAATTGCTCGAAGTATGAACGGAGTAGTTTTTAGTCAGTCAGAGTCTGACATTTCCTCTCGCCTCATTCAAGGTGGGAGAATCTATGGGACGATTTCCACATTAAAAAAAAAGAAAAAAAAACACCTATTACCCATTTAAAAATGTGTTTTATACATGTGTTGTTTAACTTTGTTTTAGCACAATAGTGTGGTCACAATCGATTATGACGAAGATAAGTCGATAAGTTATCATAAGAGACAGAATTTAATTTTTGTTTTTTTTTTACAGATCAAAATGTGGCTCCAAAGGTGTTGTCTGTTTGCCGTGTTGTTAACATTATGGTGAGTAAATAAATATTTTCTTTTTATTTTAAATCTTTTAGTCCTTTTGTTAGTTAGGTAATTAGGATTTCGAAAACATGTTGAGTTATCTGTAGGCATTAAACTAGGCAGATATTAAAAAGGTGACTATTAAAAATTTAAAAGGTGATATGTGTAATATTTGCGCAGTTACATCTTTTTTCTCTCCGAGGGATCATTTTTATACCACCATCCTACTTCTCAGAAATAATATTTCAAACATTTTTACTTTAAATAATCTACTAAGATTAGATTGCATACATAATGAGTAATGGTAGGTACCTATATGTAAGTCTAGTTGTTAATATGCAACGATTTAATCATCTAATAGGTTTTACCCGCATAAATTAGCCTCTTTCTTCGAATTTTAAGCCGCCTTGAACAAGAGCGTGGCGATTAATGCTCAAACCATTTTCGTGTGAGAAGATGCCTTTGGTCAGCAGTGGCCACTTATGGGCTGTTGATGATGTTGTTGTTGTTGTTGTTGAATGCAAAATTTCAAGATGATTGATGTGGCTAGATAATAAGTAAAGCGACTAACGGCCGCAATTTAATAACCGATGTCAATTTTTTTTTTAAATGGCAATCGAGTCTCCGATACATTTTTGTCGACTATACTGCCAGTGTCGACTGATGTCAACATAACATGTATAATTAAATTAATCTTTGACAACGTCATGTTTTGATAGAAATGGTACGGTTAATGCAGAAAGATTAGTTAAAATTAATGTCGGCGGTTACTGATCCGCACACGCATGAATATACAGCTAATGTATTAACCCTACAAAAAATACAAGTCTCCTATCACTTTCGCTGCATCCTGTCACATCAGACCCTAGCTTAAATAATAAAAAACAGTTTAGCGCTACCAGGATATCCTCGCACGTCCAGCAATATTTATTTATGAGAGTTTTATACCCTGGGAAAGTAATGTAGGTGCACACCACACACTACTGAAGTCAGAGATACACACTACCATACATTATTTAACTATATTATTATGTATGTTAAACCTGCGATCCTACTTTTTTTTTATTAAGGTTACTTAATTTTTAGTTGTATTTAAATATATTGCCATCTCTATCATTTTACAAACAATTTGTAAAGACAGAACTATATTCAATCGTGACTTAATATTGAGTTATAAAAAATTGACTGCCTCGTTGGCCGATTGGTCGCAAGTGAGATTGCTGTGCAAGGGGTCTCGTGTTCGATTCCCGGGTCGGGCAAAGTTTACAGGGTTTAAAAAAAATCTCAGTAGTAGCATGGAGTCTCAGGAATTGTGCCCGGTATATGGCAATAGGCTCACCTCCTATTATTAGGTACATGGGACTCGTAACATAAATAGTGAAAAGTGGGTGTTACATTATACAGTTGCATTGGGTGCTGTAATGTGCACCTCTGCCTACCCCTTTGGGGATAAAAGGCGTAATGTTATGTTATGTTAAAATTTAGTAACCTTTCAGTATCCGGGCCTAAGTCTGTTAACGTCTTTATTTTGTATGTCTTATTCGCTCATTGGTAGAGGTCATGATCGTTGCAAATGTCGGGACAATCATATGCGGTGTCTATCGTTGAATTGATGATCTTCAGTGATAGTCTTCCAGAAATTGGACGCAAATGGACGCAATTGGAGATCTTCTTTAAATAGACCTATTAAATTATATCTTGTAGGTAACGCTATATGGCAATAGGCTCACCCCCTATTACATGGGACTCATAACATAAATAGTGAAAATTGGGTGTTACATTGTACAGTGGCGTAATGTGACCCGCTGCCTACCTCTTCGGGGATAAAAGGCGTGATGTTATGTTAATGTTATGTTGTAGGTAACGCCACCTAGGTATAAGTCTGTCGCGGAGAACCTAACGGGTAACCGGGGCTCCGGCTCGACGTGCAGGAGAAGGAACTGGGTGGTTTTTAGTCAGTAAGAGTCTGACACTCCCTTCCGCCTCACCCAGGCGGGAGCAGTCATTCTATGATTTTCCCCCCTTAAAAAAAAGCCTAGTAATTACTGAACTAGGTACTTGTTTCAATTGGACTTTTTTACTTATAGCAGGTGCAAGTTATTTTTATTTCGAAAGGACCAAGAACATCTGTCTGTATGTATTTTTGTTCCTTTTATTTTCCTTATGATACATAACACACTACGAATGATGTCGTGGTGGCCCGGAGGTTTAAGACGCCCACTTCTCATGCATGAGGGTGCGGGTTCGAAACCTACCAACGGCAAGTACCAATGTGACTTTTTCCGAGTTATATGTACTTTCTAAGATTATCTAGACACTTCTCCGGGTGAGAAGAGGCTTTGCTCAGCAGTGGGTATTTATAGGCTGTTGATGATGATGATTGATGACATAACACTTTGCCTACAAACTACTCCTTTCAATTCCTGAAGAGTTAGGAGGAGGTGCACATCTGCACATAATACATGTCTTCTAAATCTTTAACTCCTTTGCTGAGTTCCATGTAATGGGGAATGACGCTACTACCACAAATTAGGCACAATTACAGATTCTGTGCTGTGTACTACTTACCAATATATTTTTCGAAAAACCTCAGTGTCTAATAGGTAGGTACATATTTTACGAAACCTGGAAATAAAATTCGAGCCCCCTTTTTTTTAAGTGGGGAAAATCATCGAATGACTGCTCCCGCCTAGGTGAGGCGAGAGGGAGTGTTAGACTCTCACTGACTAAAAACCACCCCGTTCCTTCTCCTGCACGTCGAGCCGGAGCCCCGGTTACCCGTTAGGTTCTCCGCGACTCCGAATCGGCATCGGCCCTATTGGGCCCCATCTGTGGTTGTCTGTTGGCAGCAGTCGCGCTCGCAACCTACCAGCAAAACCGACAGCAGATATTCGGTATTTTCTGCGAAAGTTTATTGTATTTTATTTATTTCAGTGCGTCTGCCGACGACTCAATGCCCTGGCGATGGGTGTGCGAAGACAACAAGTGTATCAAGACCCGCAATGATCCTCAGAACAAGGAACCCGTCCTCAGCATGGAAGCTTGCAAGATGTTCTGTGGTAATTACGGTAAGTCGACAAACTTTATTACATCATCGGATCACCTTTATGTGTCATACATAAATGGGACTCAAAAAATAATTAAAAGCGACTTTATTGCCAGGACCCTAGATCTCAAATTATCTAACCCTGAAAAGTCATTTAAGTAACTAATCGTAATCCCAAATAGCTGGATCGAATTAAGTTTTTGACAGAAATTAATGATAAAAATCGATCCTAATCCAAAGGTTTTGGGTTGAGTTTCGGCTGTATATCATCTACTGTTTTTATTTATTTCTTTATCAAATAAGAATTCATATTCATATTCAGCTTGGCAAAAAACACATTGGGATTAATTGAGGTAGCTAGTATCGTAGCTGTGGCTGTGGCATCCTGGTACACTACGACTGAATCGGTTTTGATACTTGTTATTTTTATCGAGATTAAAAAGAGGAGGTATTATTTTGGCACAATGGCGGTACTACGGTCGGGGTGACCCGGAGGTTCGAAACCTACCAACGGCAAGTACCAATGTGACTTTTTCCGAGATATATGTACTTTCTAAGATTATCTAGACACCACTGACAAACGGTGAAGGAAAACATTTTGATGAAACCTGGGCTTATAATTTCTAAATATAAGTTTGAGTGTGATTAATGCTCAAATCTTCTTCGTGTGAGAAGAGGCTTTGCTCAGCAGTGGGCATTTATAGGCTGTTGATGAGGTACTATGTCTGGATGATTGTTTATTTATGGGATATGTTCCAAAGTGGGTGATTTGGTCCAAGTCAATATTAGTTCCAGCTGTGTGTGTTCCGCATCAAACTGTTTTTGCCAAGCTGTTCGTAGGTAGTCATACTCAGCCCCGAAACAACAATTTGTGGACCACACAGAGTAGTTCCATGTGACCATTAAAACTGCAACATAATTGTCATTTAAGGACTTTTCTGTTTTGTTTTCTTTTTTTTTCTTTTTATAGTTATTTGAAATGTACAACGCCTTGGTTTTATGACTGTAATGTTATACTATTTAATTGAAATAAATAAATAAATAAACATTGGGTGGCGCAGCAGACAGCTATGGACCCAAAAGCAGTATGGTTCTACGTATTACACTTATTATGAATTTTATGAAACTGCGTCGATGGCAGAGTTGTCGCAAGTGCGACTGCCGGGCAAGGGGTTCGTTCGTTCTTGGGTTCGTTTCCCGGGTCGGGCAAAGAATTACTGGGTTTAAAAAAAATCTCAGTAGTAGCACGGAGTCTGGAAATGTGCCCGGTATATGGCAATAGGCTCACCCCCTATTACATGGGACTCATAACATAAATAGTGAAAAGTGGGTGTTACTTCTGTGTGCACCTCTGCCTACCCTTTCGGGGATAAAAGGCGTGATGTTATGTTATGTTATGAGTTTTATCATAGTGGTATACGCATTCAAGTTTATTATTTTGGTCTGCCAAATTCCAATAATTCCAATTCGAACGAAACGAGATTCAATGGTGTAGGTAATACAATCGTGGATTTTTATGACAAACATTAATGTTTGCATTTTTTCTACGCATCTGAATGTGTTTTATCTCAGTTATGCGTGGTATATGTATGTGTAGTGAATTTCTTTAATAATGCATTTATTTGTGTTAGTTTAATATATAATATTTGAAAACTAAACTAATACTTATTTGCTAACTATTCGCAATATGTGCAATACACATCACACTCGTCAGAATAACGAACATAATCGAATGTTTTGTTTATCGACAAAATGTGGACCAATGTTACAGTTTGTTAAGATCATGAAATCGATAAAAAATATTATGATAATAAAACATTGTACCTATTGCAACGATAGCGTGCATTATTGCAGTTGAAAAAAGAATTCTTGTTTTTAATCTTGGCACGACATGTCTAATGTCAGTTACAATTTAAAAATCGAACTCAATATATTTTTTCTATCGCTATAATGTTTCATTCGAGTTCAATGCTCTATGTTCGCAATCGATTTTATAATCGTCAAGATATAATCGATTAACGACACGCAGTGTTATTTTGATATGTCAGGTCGTGACAATATACGGAACGGGTTTCAGGTAGGTGTATGTCATTTGAGTTAGTCACTGCAGCATTGTATCGGTAAGGGGAAACGAGTTGCTTGCATATGAAGACTGTCGAACAACAAAGGGGCGTATTGTAAAAAATATTAAGCTTAGTATAAAAACATGACTTAAGAATATTTGCAAGTTCATTCTCCTGTATGCAAAGACAGATACTTAACTATACCCATGAAACATAACTGTAAGGTCTGTGTATAGAGTTGAGTAGATTGATAATGGCGATGGCACTATAATATTTATATACTAAATGTTATTTCATCACATCTAATTTAGGTCATAGTGTAGATTTATAAATCGGGCGTCATATACAAAAACATAGGTGTGGATTTGTGTATAAGTTAATGTATCGCCAGTTAAAGTGACACCATTGAAATGAAAAGTAGCTCGGTCGGTTATCAACCTCTGATCAATAACAATAATGGAGGCCGCTGTCAATGATGAAGATGATAACGATAAACTGATATACATACATAGGTACTTTACTTTCATGATAAAACTATCGAGTGGTTGTTACCACTGGATATATAATAGCTTAGTATGTTATCGGTCCTCGATTAAAGGCCTTCTCCAAATTATGCATTCCTGTCTATCTCTTGCCATTTTCATCCAATTGCTAAGCTTATTTCTTAAAATTTTTGATAAATTTTTAATAATATCATTGTTTGATTTTGTGATAAAAATTAACTATGTTGATTCCGAAGTCAGGTCCCAACGTTTTTTTTTTTTAAAAAAAGTCCCAACCTTTCGATTTTATTTTCACTAATAATAGACTTAGGACTTAGGACGACGAATTAGTCGTCTTTAATAAATAAACTCACTTTGTTTGATCGGAGAGCCAAATCCACTCATCTGATTAAATAATTGGGATGATAACAGGGTATGAAAATTAAAAATCTAATTAGTCCGTAAGTTAGACAATGAAAAAATATTAGACACGTATTTTTTTATTTTGTTGTATAATAAAACTATACTTAGATAAAACGAATCAACAATTAGGAGTGGGGGCTAAAACGTCACTTCTACGTATAAAATGTACATAGAAGTGACGTCACGCGACATTTCAAATCAATATATCGTCGAAAGTATTCGTTACCGTAAGATAACAAAAAATACGTGTCTAATGATTTTAAATAATCTACCAGACGAACATTAAAATAAAAATTAGGCATCTACCCTATTATGCAGAATACGAGAAGTGGTTGCTTGGACATAAACTGCACAGGCTACTAAGTATATGCTCGGTATGATAGCATTGAATCACTCGACTTTAAAATGATGCGTACGGAAAATGGTGCACAAAACAATTTACATTTATAAATATATCAAAAGGAAAATGTACCTATGTATTTGTCATCATCATCATGCTATTTATTAGCGAAGCACGCAAGGGAAACCAGGCGGTTTAATATACTGAATTATTATGTTATTGCCAGGTGATTGTACACGACGTCAATCATCGATTGCTTGTCAAGTAGTTATGTCTTTTAGAATAATGTTCGCAAGGCTGGTTGGGTTGTGTACGATTGTGCATAGTCATGTCCACCTTGTGGCATATAATTATGTATATCCCAAAGATTATTCTGTGAATGACTTCAGCCAGTAAAAGCATTTAATCTAGTCGGTACTGTATTTGAATTAAGTACATTTTTTTATGGCATAAGCCGGTAATCGAACTGACGGATCACCTGATGCTAAGCAATCGGCGTCGCCCATGGTCACCTGGAACACCAGAGGCGTTACAAGTGCGTTACCTGCTTTTTAGGGATTAGAAGTTTGAGGATCGTTGGGGATTCAGGGATTGGGGAGATTGGGGAAGGCGAGGGTAATTGGGCCTCCGGTAACCCCACTCATACGACGAAACACAACGCAAGCGTTGCTTCACGTCGGTTTTGTGTGAGGCCGTGGTATTACTCCGGTCGAGCCGGCCCATTCGTGCCGAAGCATGGCTCTCCAACACTAAAAAAATATATTTGTACAGAGTATCCTAACGTTCGGGTACTCTGTACAAGAATGTCTGTACGTTTCAAGAACAGTCTTGAAACGTACAGACGTTCTTGGCCGACGGTTACCAACCTATCTAGGCTAACTCGCTGAAATATGTCTAAAACTATTCATGAAGTCCTTTTGCCTGAAGAGACATAAACGACTATGTTCTTTCTTCATGGATCACGTTGAAGGGATTTGTCAGACCGAAGTGTATTTTTATGACATGGAAATAAGGGAAAATGTTGTTTGCACACTGATAGCAATTTATGGGTACCATAGTGCATTGACCGTTGAATACCTACCGACATAACTATGAAACCATAAAGCTTTACGCTTTCTAAATGGCTAGTATGCGTTTAGTACTAATATGTAACATGCAGGCCTATTGGACCTAGACTATAGCATAGTGCATCAAATGATCGCCTATCAACTTCATAATGACCCGCTTCCCTCATTGTACCAGTTTTGCAACTATGAGATAAGCTTGTATAATATTTATTATTGTGTTTAAGTTGGTACTCATTCAGTTTTATTGTGCTTACATTAGTGTCCTTAATAATTAGGTCATAATAAACTGCATGGTTGGTGCGATGACTCGAAACTGCCGTTCAGCGTGCCGCGGGTCCGATTCAAAGTCAAAGTCAAAGCAGTTATTTCAATTAAACCATAATTTGGTCCTTTTGAAACGTCAACAAATACAATATAAATAATAGCCTGTCAGTCAGTTCGTCAGTGAAGCTAGGTGAAGCTAGATGCTCATTCCAAAATGTAGCATCGAATTGTGTCCACAAATTGTTGTTTCGGTTCTGAGTGTCATTGTCATGTGTATGTTAACTTGTATGTTTGTAAACACACCCACGACACAGAAGGTAATCCTAAAAATATACCTGTTCTTTTAGTACACGAATGACTGTGTAATCTTGGGAAAATCGTGAACCTAATTATGGATTATGCGCATGCCGAGGAGGTTTTGTAAAATTCTCAGTAGTAGTGCGGGATCTGACTTGGTGCCGATCTAAAATAGGCTCACCTGTATAAAAATTATGGGTCTACTACCGAACTGTATATTATCCCTAAGACTAACTAGGCAAGTGCCTGTTTTTTTAAAGGGGGACTAACATCGAATGGCTCCTCCTGCCGGGGTGTGGCGACGGCGAGTGTCATACTCTTACTGACTAAAAACCATCCCGTTCCTACTCCTGCTCTTCTGGCTGGAGCCCCCGCATCCCGGTCCTCCGCGCCTTTGTCAGTATGCATATGTGAGCACCATGTTGGACTTTAAGTTAATTTTTATTTATTTATTTTTTTAAAATGTTTGTAAGTTATTAGTATAATGCGTCAAGCGTGTCTTTGCATTGTTCTTACATATGCGTACAGTATTGAAATATGTATCAGAGACATTGTAGAACATACTTTTTTAAAAAGAGTAACGAATGGAGTTTCTTGCTCGTTCTTCTCCATTCGAATCTACCTTTTGGAATGAGCACCTAGCTTCACTTAGTTTCACTGACGGACTGACTGACAGACTATTATTTATTTTGTATTTGTTGACGTTTCAAAAGCACCAAACTATGGTTTAATTGAAATAAATGCTTTGACTTTGACTTTGACTTCGACTTCGTATCGGCATCAGCCTATTAGCCATCTGTGGTGGTCTGATGCCTAGGCAAATGCCTAGGGAACCAGATTTTAGAAGGGCGCCGCGATACGTCGTATCCCAACATCACATAAAGCAGCGGCGGCGTTAAAAAAAAATTAGGGACGCCTTTGAGATGCTTGCTTAGGATGATCTCTAGTTATAATCTGCCTCTGGACTACTGTTTAACATAACGTACCATCATGCCTTTTTATCCCCTAGGAGACAGACGTGCATTACGACAGTTAAATGCCACTGTATAATGTAACACCCACTTTTCGCTATTTATGTTATGAGTCCCATGTAATAGGGGGTGTATCTATTGCCATATACCGGGCACGATTCTAGACTCCGAGTTGCTACAAAGAATTTAAAAATCTTTACTTTGTCCGACCCGGGAATGTTATAATATTTAGTTAATTAGATATATAAAAATTAAGACCAAAAACAGTGCATACAACGCATACTCATTTCAATAAAAACATAATATGCAAACATCCTTTTGAATATTGAATAAAAACACGAATTTTTAATTTAGCTATCGATGATCTCAAACTTAATATTACATATCTTGTTATTCCACGTTTAAATTTAAAAAAAAAACGATATTTATTTTTGGCGGGACATGTTAGGTAATTTGTAAAATGGACTCTCCTTTGTACCTAAATGGTAAATAAAGACATAATATTTTGAGTCCTAAATTAATGGCAATTAGAGTCGCTTTCGATTGTGTGAATAGATACTATTTGTCATCTTTTTTATTTATTTTCCAAATACATAAATGGAATCTTTATAATATGGAAATTATTTAATAGCCGAACTTACCGAAATGTCGTTTCTCCAAATAATGAGATAACTGGTTTCAACTTTTATGTCTAACAGCTTTTTTGTAAATAATTTGTAACAGTAAAGACTTGTCTCTTAATCCTAGACATTTTCCAAGTAAGTTTTACCTAAGAGATTATAATAATATAGCTTTGATTAAAAATACTTTTTTAAAAAGAGTAACGAATGGAGTTTCTTTCTCGTTCTTCTCCATTCGAATCTACATTTTGGAATGAGCAGTTGAGAACCTAGCTTCACTGATGGACTGACTGACAGACTATTATTTATTTTGTATTTGTTGACGTTTCAAAAGTACCAAATTATGGTGTAATTGAAATAAATGCTTTGACTTTGACTTTTGTTGTTAAATTATTTTACATCATAACTAAAATATTTTAGGTACTATTTCAATAATAATAATTATCTTGAAAGTCAGTATTAATTACCTTGTCCAAAAATGTAATTCATTACGTGAATAATGTACGAGCAAATTCTACTTATCAATCTAGTGTACAAGGCGTTAAGATTTGCATTTTCGGTATAACTAAAAAACTTTAGAGTTTTTCTAACCCCTGGAACATTAACCGGGCCTTAACCCTTTAAACACCGTCAATAAAGACACAATTAAAGAACAATAGGTTGCGGTCACCGGTGTCCTCGCGGTGTTTGACAGTTTAATACAGTTTAAGGTGATCTTATTGCAAGACAAGTCATTTTGGTTGTGTATCTAATTAGATTTTTTTTTGCAGGCCTACTATGGCCGCAGCCGACTGGAGGAGCAGATTTGGGCAACTTCTTGTCTAAGATCAACATTAATAATGTGGAGGTGAAGATGGTTAATGGAGGACGGTCAGCCGATGTCATGAAGGAGGCTGGTGACGTAAGTATTTTATGTTTCTTCTAGTCTACTTGATCAAAGATGTGAATAAGGAGATTTTTTTTTGTATAATAACTATCGTGAGACATACTAGATTAACTAAAAATCGTGGGATACTCACGTGAAAATACTAAGAAAGGCTGCGCGACCACTGCACGTTGCTCATGACGAAGAACCCCTCTGTGGTTCGAAACTAGTCGAGCTTTTCTCAGTATTTTCACGTGAGTAACCCGCGATTATCCCGCGAATATCATGTCATAAAATATATCTATTATTATGAGATAATATTTGTGTAAGTATCCCACTAATGTTATAAATGTGAAACTAAAATGTGAAAAAAAACAAAACATATAAAGTATGTATGTTTAGTTGTTTGTTTATTTGTTTGTTACTCCTGCACATCAAAACGGCTGTAGGGATCGGGATGGAATTACAAAAAGAGGTAGATTATGATTTGGAATGACCCATGGGCTACTTTTATCCAATGAAATATTTACAAGTGGAAACTTGTGCAATTGTGCATATTCCTATATACATGTTTTAGTTATAGTATCTAAGTTGGGAAGGACGATGCGATAATAGCTTCCGTCATCTGTTACAGCTTTATAAAATACAGAAAATAAACGCAGCTACTGATTTAACTATGATTAACCTCTGTTAAATAAATTGAATGTGATTAAAAATGACTACTTTATTTATAAATGCTAGGATAGTAGTAAAGCTGTGTTCACTTTTGGGATCTGGATTAGACAGATAAGATTACTATTTTTGAAATGATGTTTAGGCTAATTAGTTTGAATTTATCTTTATATAACTCAATGCCAATTCCAAATTAGTTAAAAAGGATAAGCAGTATTAATGAAGCAGAACTCACTTAAAAAGCACGGCTCTGTAAACTATAGAAAAAGGTTGTGAGCGCGCTGTTGGCGTACTGTTGGCGTGTTGTCGGCGCGCGGGCGGTACGCAGGCGGCACGCTTCTATCTTTTTTTTATTGACATTATAAAATATGTCATATGACATAAGACGTATTGTTCAAATTTAATTGCTGGGTTGTAGCCGTGCTGGTTAAGTATGGTTAAGAATAAATAAAAGTAATTACGGTAATGTTATTTCCAACAGAGATTCAAGAGTTTGTTATCAAAGGCGATACCTAAGGGTATATCTCCGAAATCGACAGGGAAAGCAGTGACTGTGTTGCTTGACAATGAAAAACCTGATGTCAAAGGTAAGCTGATTACACTATAATTATCCTACGTATATTGTCAAGAATTATTTTGTTCAAAGTACTGTGTTTTTGTTATATGAGGTCTTATTAATGATAGAGTCAGGGTGGCATTCTAGTGCACAGTCATATCAGAAGATGTCTCAAAGTTTGTCAATCATATCATTATTTTGAATATGTATGGACATTAGTTATATAAATGGGATGTACTAAGTTCTCAAACATTCGCTTTAGAACCGGAATATATCCAAAAATCAATCTTAATGAAATGTAACAGAAATTGTCAACAACTTCGAAGTCATTTATCACATTCCAAATCTCCACAACTTTATGATCATCAATTTTGTCATAACACCTGGACATATTGACTTTAAATACAGCAAAGTTAAAATGTTTATCCTTAGAAGTACGCCTCTAGGTTTACCCAAACTCGTTCCAAGTTTTGTTGACTTTCTAAAGGAAACCGCGCCTCGCACGACGACCGACTCTTGCGAAACGGTAACACGGTGGCTTAGTAGATCCTGTGTCTTCTAAAGTACCTGATGGGTACTAAGATAGACCTTGTTATTTTGGCTTCATAAGCTAAATTATTATAAGGCTAAAAAGTTTGTTTGTTTGTCTGTTTGGTCGAAGGTGCTAATCTCCGACACTGTTGTTCTGAATTGAATAAATATTATTGTACTGGATAGTCTATTTGTCGAGGCTGTAGGTTATACTTGTCTGTAGCTTTGCCACAAATACGTTGTATTAAAAACTGAGCATGGAGCTACGACTAATAAGAATCAAGCAGCGAAATTGCCTGGGAGTAGCTAGTCTCCATGAAAAATTAATCGATTTCAACATGAAAATATTTCTGCTCATCCTTATTCGCATTTCCAGAAAACTGGTAGATTGGTAGATATAACCAACTTCCTGGTCATATGAAGAGTCGGTTAGTCTGCACTGTTATACTACAAATAGATACTGGAGTAAATTATATTCCTTGTTTTAGTTAGAATTAAAAAATTGTACTTAGGTAATGTACTTTATAGTCTCATCTCATACTCGCTTACTTGTGTTTATCAATTCTATATAGCCTTGTTTATTTAAATCGATAGTTCCGATGTCATACACATCGTAGTATAGACAGAGTAACAGTTAAGTATTTAACTATTTCAGATACTTATCCGGTCTGGACTCATGCCAGAGATAGTGTGATATGCATTCTGACTCATTGCCTACTAAGTTACAATGCCCTTCTAAAGAGATGTTTGTACGGAACACAGAAGACCACGATATAATACGTGTATGTTCACTCTTTCGAAGAATAAAGGCATTGTGTTTGCAATATAGGTATATACTTCATTGTCGAGCGATTTATATAGACAGATTTGTATCAAATCAATTCTATATACATATATAGGTAATTTACATTTAGACATGACAAATATACATAGTCATAGTCAATTCAATGTAAGGTCAACATCCTTCGAGGTGACATAATGTTTATATGATCGTAGACACAAGAACCGGTGTACGATACTTTGCCTGATGATATATGAAAAAAAAATGTAGCGTGGGTTCTGATTAACATGACAATTGTAAAGACAATGCTCCCAATCGGTTTAAATGGTGTTCGTGTAACAGAAATCTTGGCCGGTTGTAGTAGCAATGTCTGTTTATTCATGCGTAAAGTAAAATTCTTCATTAACATTATTAGCGTTTGTTCCGTGGTTAGGTACTATTGTTTTCAATTACATGGCGCTCGTAATGGTATTTATTAGGATTTGGATTTATATTTCAGTTCTAAGTATTTTCAGATTATTTTAATATACATGAACCATAGCTTCCTCGTTGGAAGTAACCTTTCAATTAGATTGACAGTACTTACTCTTAAAATTACAAGATAATATCTAGCGAACTAAGCCTAAATACTTATTTTTACTTTCATTATCATTTAATACTATGCATACAGAAGCTGTCGGTATACCTTTTTAAATAAATAAATAACTAAGACTCAATGGTTCATTTAGTTTCAATTATGAATTTTAGACCTTAACTTATAATGTTTTGTGCAGAATTTTCCTTGGACATGGACGAGAGCTACAGCATCCGTGTCCAAGCGATGGGCGACAGAATCAACGCTACCATCAAGGGAGGCTCGTTCTTCGGAGTGAGACACGGACTTGAGACTCTATCGCAACTCATAGTCTACGATGACATTAGGAACCATATGCTGGTAAGTTTATTATACTTAAACACATTGCATTAAAGAACAAACTACAAATGAAATTTTTAATTTGACTGTTAGTGGAGGCGCCAAAGGAAATTGAGTGTGTAAAATGTGAGGACTGCATTCTGTAAATAAATTTGAACTCAGAAAAGCAAACATTATGATTCTGGAAATTGTCGGGAGATTCGTTGGATGTTTTTTTAACCTACCCCCTCAGATATTAAGTAAATGGACTGAATAAGTGGTTTTACCTAAATCAATTATGTGAGTTACAGTAAAAACTATTAAACAAAGTATTCTTTGAAGAGTTCATTAACCTCTTACTCATTCCTGGAGATGTTTTTATTCCTTATACAGAATCCTTTTAAGGCACAATTTAACCTCAGCCGGGTACAAGTTTATATTTAAACTAACCGGTTTTGACCTGTTAGGAGTTAGTTGTCACTTCTCTGACTTGTCACATTAGCATACACAATTCAGGATCAAGAATCAAGGTAGATGGTATTTGCTTATATTATATTAAATTGCCATTATACGGTCAGTAACCCTGTATCTTTTGGGATAGGTGTCAAATCGGTTTTTTATGTGAAATGGAAATATTTTAAGTTGCAGAACTGCTTTTTTATTTTGTTGTGTTGCAAGTTTATTTTTGATTCGTTATATATTGATGTATAATTTAGTATTAGGTAGATATTTTTCGAGTATTTTGAAAGCAGCTTTTGTCACTGTTTGATGTCCCTATTTCGAACCCTGGGTCGAAAACAAAGCTTAACTAATATTCCAATAACAAAAGAAAAGATTGGGCAATGACTTCATTCATTTGTAAAAGGTTTTTGCAATAGTTTTTTATACTAGAGAATGTCAAGGCTTATTTATAAGGCCAAAGGTATCGGTTACTCTAGGTATTTAACACTTTAATTGTTCTAATACCATAATCCGGTCTTAGTGAGGATTTTGAAGCCGTATAATGGTGCTATTCAGGTCGTCAGCTGTTTGCATTTAATGATAAGTGAGCAATAAGTGCATGTTAGTACTTTTTTTAAAATAGAATTTGTTTGTGTTCTTTTTCTTTTGAAATACTACTTATACCTAAGATACTTAAATATTACAAATGGTTGCTTTTTCTAGGAGTTTCTGTATCGATTTTTAAATGGGTCTAATTATTGTGTTTTATAATTCTCAGTATGGTGTATGAGCCTAGCCTAAACTTTAGATTGTACTTCGTGTATTGACATTAACAGCCATTTTAACGAGTACCGTCCAGGTTGCTTACTCTTGAAACCAATCTCAATGTCAATGCAATTTCCATCCAATAATTTTTCAAAAGATTAATTAAATGAAGTTGACATTATGCCTTGAAAGATTAGTTAAAAGAATATTTTCAACTAATGTTAGTCATTCAAACAATACGTCGTCGCAAGTGAAAGTCGTCAACTGAATTTAATTTACAAAAGTATATCGACGCATAGCACTTTCGATCTCAGTCCAGTGGTTCTCAAATATTGCCATTATTTAGACACGCAATTTCATTTACATAATTTAATATCGTAAACTGTTAATTGATTGCTGTTAAAAATATTGTTTTTTTATTACTGTACATGTACGGACTGATTATTACAGGTTGGTTTATTACCTGATAAGTAAATTTTTACCTGATGGAGAAAAAGTGTGATAAACACTACAAATTAAACATAAAATGTACTTAATAAAGTTAATATTGTAAGTTTACTTTAAGGTAAATATAAATATGTAATGATTACGAGGTAAATAACAATTTAAAATTATTTTTATTCATCCGTCATCAACTGTTTTGTTTCACGGATATTTGTGCTAACCGTGAAAATACGTTACCTTACATATAAAATATTGTAGGTACTTGAGCGTTTGCTTTACATAACTACCTAATCTAATTTTCTAACATACATAACATAACATAACATCACGCCTTTTATCCCCGAAGGGGTAGGCAGAGGTGCACATTATGCCACAGTACAATGTAACACCCACTTTTCACTATTTATGTTATGAGTCCCATGTAATAAGGGGTGAGCTTATTGCCATATACCGGGTACAATTCCAGACTCCGTGCTACTACTGAGAATTTTTTAAAAACCCAGTAATACTTTGCCCGGCCCGGGAATCGAACCCAAGACCCCTTGCCCGACAGTCGCGCTAGCGACCACTCGGCCAACGAGGCAGTCTAATTTTCAATATTTCATAATATTTATTTTTTCATAATATTTATTTGCTTAAGTACTAGTTATTTTCAAAAGAAGCGACAAGATTAACCAACGCACGGCTATCGGTGCACGGTGTAGATTGATTGACGATGTATTTTTCTTTCTTGTTTCTACTATCGTTAAAATTTGGTATTAATCGATAGTAGACCCAAAATAACATGACTGGTGGAAAATGTATAACTAACTGGTAATAACGCCCACAATGTACAACAACCTATTCTATCTTTTTATAAGACTATCGACCTAATGAAACTCGCAATAAAGTCGTCATTCTTCTAATTATTTGGCTTTCAGGGTTACTTTTTCGTCTTCGGAGATAATAAAGTACATAAATCAAGAATCTTCAAATTTACAAATGCATGTTTTGCTTCCAGATCGTTCGAGATGTGACCATCAATGACAAGCCTGCGTACCCCTACCGAGGCGTCCTCCTTGACACGGCACGCAACTTCTACACAATCGACGCCATCAAGGCTACCATCGGTAAATATATTACTTTCCTGCTTAAAAATTTGCCTTAAGGTAAATCGGAAATTAATAAGAACACAAAAGATACCGAAGGTGGGTATACAATAATTTGCCTAGATGTAGTCTGATGATCGAGCTCAGTATTATACCTACTGTTGGAGAATCCTATACTTTCATAAGTGGACAGAAATGTTCTTATTATGATGATAATGATATTTAGGTGTCTTTTTAGCCCAATTCGTTTGAAATTGAATCCCCAAATCCTCCACAATCCTCAAATTCCCAATTGCCAAAAGGCCGGTAACGCACTTGTAACGCCTTGTTGTTTCGAGTGTCCATGGGCGCCGATTGCTTACCATCAGGTGATCCGTCTGAGCGTTTACCGGCTTATGCTATAAAAAAAATGGTGAAAACTTGTATTTGTTCTTCTTACATGTTTCTTCGTTAGAGATTTGTTAAATTAAGTGAGTGAAACCGTTTGTTTGTCAGTTGCATTACGTAGTAATGTGACGGGATGAATGCATTTCCATATGGTTTTCACCAGTGAACAAATTGATTACTCCGTTGAAGGTTTCGTGTGAATGACAGAACTAAGGGCCGTGTATAGGTTAGGTTAATTGGTTATAAAGTATGAAAGTAATATATTTTTGTTACGCTTTCGGTTTATCGTTATTTGATACGCATACGATTCAAAGGAGGGGGATGTGAAGTACATTTAAAGAGCCTTTTGTATTGTAACGTCATGTAATATTCTGGTTTGTCATAAGGAAAAATCTCAAAAATCACGTCGCGTTCAGAGCTATTTAAACATGCTATAACTAAAAGAAATTACAACGAAGCCCCCTTACAAGAAGATATTTGTATGTAAATTATACCTCTATTATCATATTTAAATGTATGGCAAACATTTCGATGTGACATTCTGATTGCACTTATTTGTATCTAAGGCATGCAAATGTAGAAGTCATGGTCATAATTTGTTGGCATTTATGGCTCTTCGCTCCTTACAAGCCCTTTTAATATTTATTTATATCGGTTTTTAAAAGGGTTTTAAAAAACATTTCAAGGGTCCAAATACCTTACCTGAGAAGTCCTGATAGCTTTTTTGAACCTAACACTTGACCTTAGAGGGTTAAATTTATGCTTTTTATTAAAGTTTGACACACACTGTTCAGTTCGATTGCCATATTACGATGGCTTACTTCAATAAATATACATATTTGCACGGTGAATAATATAAGTTGGCTGTTTAGTATACAAGGTGTTGTTTTAAAGCCGTGTCATTTTCTAGAAGGTAACTCGGCTATCGATTCTGAGTCTGAATCAATAAAAAAATTGTACTTAAATATTTTTCATTTTTCTGTAAATTACGGAAATCCGTAAGTGCGAACTACACGCTGCCGTCTTGTAACTAGTTTTGTAACGCGGCTTAACACACACAAACTAAAACACGTAATTGATATTATTCCTAATTCCATAAACTCCAATAAGAAACATCGTTGTCGCTTATTCTGAAATACTGTCGAACTTAAACGATTTATTAAAGCCGTATTTTTAACTATTGGCCCGAAACTTTCTTTTACATTGAACCTTTATGACATGCCCCCGAGAAATGCCACGGTTTCAAAACAACACCTTGTATAGTAGAGCCTTGTGATACGTACTTACACGTACTTACATTCTGCTTATTTAATACAGGATTATTTTTGGCATCATCGTAACTCTTACCAGGTCGGGTCATAAGGACTATCTAAGTGACTTGTATTGTATTTATTCGATAGAGATAGGTTAGCACAGCTCTGTAATTAATAGTAATTATTATGAATCTTTTTAAACTGTGGTTTCCAACGCGCCAAGCGAAGAGATTATGGCAAATCCCTGGTTACAAGTAGAGGAAGAATAGACCCATAATCCAGCAATGGACTTTTAGGGCTATTGATGTACTTTGAGTAATTAACTCGTTAGTTAGTCATGCCAATTAAGTTAATCCGTTCTGGGAGTCATCTGTTCAAGATAATTGATTAATTTAAAAGGTTTTATGTAAGAATGGGTGAAAGTGCGAACCACTTTAAGGTTGTGAGTTATCTAAGTATTTATGTAGGTATGTAGGTACCTAAGGTTGCGCTTTCGTGATGTTTATGATTCATTTCTTATACTCACTCTTGGGATACCAGATATAATAATTGGGATAATCTATATTTATAAAAAAGAAAGTCGTGTTAGTTACACCATTTATAACTCAAGAACGGCAGAATAGATTTGACTGAAAATTGGTAGGGAGGCAGCTTAGAGCCAGGAGACCGAAAAAAAATTGGTCAAAAAGTATCCTATACTTTTTGACCAATTTTTTTTTTACTTTTTACCTAAAATCACGAACGGGGACGGGAAAAAATGGGATTACGCGTACGAAGTCGCGGGCAGAAGCTAGTAAATAAATAAAAATCTGACCCTCTTGCCTTATCTATGAGTCATTAGATGATTTACCCTTCATGAAGAAAAAAACCTATATTTTTTTTATGGCATAAGCCGGTAAACGAGCAGACGGATCACCTGATGGTAAGCAATCGGCGTCGCCCATGGACACCTGGAACACCAGAGGCGTTACAAGTGCGTCACCGGCTTTTTGGAGATTAGGAGTTTGAGGATCGTTGGGGATTCAAGGATTGGGGAGATTGGGGAAGGGGAAGGTAATTGGGCCTCCGGTAACCTCACTCACACGACGAAACACAACGCAAGCGTTGCTTCACGTCGGTTTTCTGTAAGGCCGTGGTATCACTCCGGTCGAGCCGGCCCATTCGTGCCGAAGCATGGCTCTCCCACACTTAGCAATCCCACAAAACGCAATGTAAATCGAAATAGACCATTGTATTGGATTAACTATGTTCACCAGATGCGATGGCTGCTGTGAAGCTGAACACCTTCCATTGGCACATCACTGACAGTCAGAGCTTCCCCTTCGAAGTCAGTAAGAGGCCTCATCTGTCCAAGCTTGGAGCCTACTCCCCAGCTAAGGTATTTTTTTATAACTTTTTTACGTAAAACGTTTTATTACAGAAAAATATAGATAACAATAAATAAATCGTGGCAATAGATAACGATTTCAAAACATATGTGCATAATACCCTCTTTTCTGTCGATTTTTTTAATCTATTTTATTTTAGGGGCTTTTAACTAATGGGCTACGTCAGCCCCATTTGTCTGTCGATATATGAGACACAATACGAAACACACTGTGTCTCGCTTAGACCTGCGTTCCAACACTTCACATATTAAGCTTTCCTCGATAGTCAATATCCAGAAGAAAATATTGTAGGATATATTGCATATTAAACCAGTTTATTAGAAAATTAATAGGATTCTAAAACACGCTAAGAGTTAAACAAACTCTACATAGTATTTACCGCTGTCGACCATACTTTAACTGATTAATCAGAATCTGTAAGTACAAGTGTGTCGTGGATTTCCCCGCGATCTTTCGCGACAGTATAAGGTTCTTTAGAAAGCCAACAATTTTTGCACGCCAAGACTTCTGTAACCATTGCTCGGTTCAGTATACAAGCAATGGAATTACTGTCTCTGTACTGAACAATATTTTTTTTCTCACCTGCGTACTAAATAGTGGTGCTGACTGTACGATAACCTACTTGTCACACCTCTGGTTTTGCAATTGTACAGATATGGAGATCGGCTTCTTAAGTTTTTTTGCTATTGATAAAAAGCCCAAGTATATTTTATATTTCATCATAAATAATTATGTTTGCAGGTGTACACAAAGGAAGCCATACAAGAAGTGGTGGAGTATGCTTTAGTGCGCGGTGTGCGCGTGTTGCCAGAGTTCGATGCGCCTGCGCACGTTGGCGAGGGCTGGCAGGATACCGGCCTTACTGTCTGTTTCAAGGTAAACCATAATTATTTGCACTTACAAATATGTTTTGTGGTATGACTAATTCCTTAGTCATCTCTTGGGGTGATTAAATATTTACACAAACGACTTTAGTTTTGGTTGCTCTGGCGTTCATTTTAGTACTAGGTAAAAAAAATATTGATTGTGTACTTAGTTTGCACCTAAATATTATGACTAACCAAACTATTTGTCTTTGTCTTGCATTTTAATGCAATGGCCAATTAAGATTACATCAATAAAGATTTATTTTCCAAAACCTGTATTGCCTATAACATTGCTGATTTAGATTAACATACAGTTATAAAAGTGCCGTTGTATACAACGAGGTCTTCGACTTGATTAAGTATGCGAAATACGAGCCACCAAGCTCCATTGAGCTGCATTCATCTTACTGTATTAGTACATCTTCATGTAAATGTCTTAAAAAAACTTTAGGTATTCACTTGTTTTGACTTGCAAACCTACCTTAAATAATTAGTGAATGCGGTATTTTGCAGCGATGCTTTGGACACTGCATGCGAGAAAGCATAATAGAGGTATTCAGCCGTCTATTTCTGTTGGCACGTCACCGTGTTATTAATTATGATACTACTAAGATAAAGATTTGACGTGTAAAAGTGCTGCCTTGTAGTCTATTTGTAGAAATAAATTAACTTGTTTCACTTGTCACTTGTTTCACTATCGAAAAGGGCCATAGTTTTAAACAATTTCCAATAATAGATATTTTGCTATTGTCAAATATGACTGCCTCGTTGGCCGAGTGATTGCAAGTGCGACTGTCGGGTAAAGGGTCTCGGGTTCGATTCCCGGGTCGGGCAAATTATTAACTGGTGTAACGCACACGGCGAGCCGAACATAGCCGAGCTAGGCTTCGCTCGCGCTTGCGCACTCGTCGCATCTCCGCACGACCAATGTGCGTATCTTCTAGAAAAAGTCAACACGCATGTGCGAGACGCACGTGACCCGCGACGTTCAAACAAGCGAGAGGCGGCCGTCACACAGCTCTGCGCCCAACGTGGGGCGCCACTGTAATCTTAACAAAGAAAAACTCGTAAAATATTTTTTCCAACTGGGATTAAGGGAAATAAATTGAAAAAAACTATGCAGAGCTGTGTGACGGCCGCCTCTCGCTTGTTTGAACGTCGCGGGTCACGTGCGTCTCGCACATGCGTGTTGACTTTTTCTAGAAGATTCGCACGTTGGTCGTGCGGAGATGCGACGAGTGCGCAAGCGCGAGCGAAGCCTAGCTCGGCTATGTTCGGCTCGCCGTGTGCGTTACACTGGGTTTTAAAAAAAATGCTCAGTAGTAGCACGGAGTTTGGAATTGTGCCCGGTATATGGCAATAGGGTCACGGCCTATTAGGTACATGGGACTCACAACATAAAAAGTGAAAAGTGGGTGTTGCATTGTACAGTGGCATTAATTAAGTGCTGTAATGTGCACCTCTGTCTACCCTTTCAGGGATTATAGGGCGTGATGTTATGTTATGTTCAAATATGTTCTTGTATTGTTTTCATGACTTTTTGGTGTCTAAAGAGATGATCTGTCTTCTCGCTTCCAGGCCGAACCATGGCAAAAATACTGCGTGGAACCTCCTTGTGGACAGCTGAACCCAACTCGCGAGGAGTTATATGAACATCTCGAAGACATCTACACAGAAATGGCTGGTAAGTTATCAGTGTATACAGGAGTATGCGGGAGAGTCATACTTTGGTACGAATGAGCTGGCGCTCGAAATATAGCTTGCAATTCGTTTTGACGTGTTAGTGAGGTTACCAGAGGCAAATCCCTGAAAGTAACAAGTAACTAGAGAATTGTATTGTGAACCTGATTGAAAAAGAGTAACCTATGGAGTTTCTCGCTCGTTCTTCTCCATAGGAATCTACGCTTTGGAATGAGCAACTAGCTTCACTTATAAATTTTTGTTGTTTCACGTTGAAAAGTGCCATCCTGGTCTAATTGAAATAAATGATTTTGACTTTGATTTTGAGTAATGGATTTGTAACTAGGTATTTTGGTGTTGCGGGTGTCATGGGCGGAGGTGATCACTTACTACCAGGTGATCTGCTTGCTCGTTTGCTGCCATAACACCCTAAAAAGATGGCATTTATGGTAACTTTCTCGAACCGACTAGAAGTGCGAAGGAGTAGGAACGGGGTGGTCTTTAGTCAGTAAGAGTCTGACACTCCCTTCCGCCTTACCCAGGAAGGAGAAGATAGTTGATGATGTTCGCAACTTAAAAAATAATTATGGTAATCTTGTGTAAAGGAATATGTTAGTTTCTCGTTTATACAGAGTTCTGAGAGGAGAGTACATATTTCTATTAAAGTGCTCTTTTAAAGATCGTATCCACTTTCAGGCGTGTTCCAGCCGGATATGTTCCACATGGGAGGTGATGAGGTCAGTGAGAAGTGCTGGAACTCTTCAGAAGAAATCCAAAACTTTATGATCCAGAATAGATGGGATCTGAATTCCCCCAGCTTCTTGAAACTTTGGAACTATTTCCAGAAGAAGGCTCAAGACAAGGCTAATAAGGTAAAATCTAGTTTTGTACTAGCAAGTCGAGTAATTTTGTAATATGTATATTCAACACTAGTGGTATTCGTATCATTAGTAAACAAAATGACACAATAATAGGGTAGATGTCTAATTTTTATTTTAATGTCCGTCTGGTAGATTATTTTAAATCATTAGACACGTATTTTTTATTTTCTTACTGAAACGAATACTTTCGACAATATATTGATTTGAAATGTCGCGTGACGTCACTTCTATGTAGGTACATTTTATACGTAGAAATGACGTTTTAGCCCCCACTCCTAAACTTTGATTCGTTTTATCTAAGTAATATTTTATTATACAACAAAATAAAAAAATACGTGTCTAATATTTTTTCATTACCTAATTTACTACGGACTAAATAGATCCTAGTATTATTTTTAGGACCTGCTACCTGTTATTGAAAATAGTTATTTTATCTGGCTATCTTTTGATCTGGTGTTTCATTTCAGGCATTTGGAAAGAAACTACCTCTAATCCTATGGACCAGCACATTGACAGACTACAAAACTATCGACCAGTATCTAGACAATGAAGACTACATTATTCAGGTTTGTTGAATTAGTCACATAGCTTTGGAGATATTGGATTGAGGATCAGAGATATTGTGATAAAAAATGGGGGATAACGGATCGGGGATTTGGAATTTAGTGATTGGAGATGTAGGGGACTTTTGAGTTTCCGATAACCTCAGTCATTCGGCAATTTGACATTGAAAATCCTTAACTTTGGTAACACTTTGAAGATATATTTGGGAGTTGTGTTCAAAGCCTGTCTCCATTATCTATCTACATACTTTACTACGATTGCCAAGCATCCTGCCAAGTGATGAGGAGTATGTAACATTGTGGGTTTTTGACCTCCAAGTGATTAGTTGATGTCCTTGGTTCCAGGTGTGGACAACTGGAGTGGACCCTCAGGTTAAAGGACTTCTGAAGAAGGGCTACCGACTCATCATGTCTAACTACGATGCTCTGTACTTTGATTGCGGATTCGGAGCCTGGGTTGGCCAAGGTAATTACCATTGCTTTATGTTTATAGAGAATGCTTTCTTAATTATAATGTAATTACTAAACAATCACGTTAAACGATTGAAGGAAATTAAATTTGGAACAGGGATACATTGTCATCTGAAATAACACATAGACATGTGAGTTTTATCCAACGGTGACGTGGGCGAAGACGCTGCCAGGCTTTTGCCAGCGTCACTTCTCCATAATTATAAACGTACATACATAACTTCACGCCTATCTCCCATGGGGGTAGGCAGAGAAAGAGAGAGAAAGAAAGAAAGTAACTGGCATTCCTACGATTCCTACAAAATATCTCTTTCTCTTCATTTATTTTTATTTTATTTATTTTTAACAGTCACAACGGCATAAAAATAATAAAACGGCATAATAACAGTAACTGATACAACAATAAAACACAAACAAAAGAAAAGTAAAACTTAGTTAAAACAAGGGTTAACACCATTCATGAGTTTCTCTCGCAGTACTTCAATTCTGATAAAATCTCCTTCCATCCGTCCGCAAACAGATCACTAGTTGGATTGGAATCCAGGAGATCATTGAGCGCGGCCAGAGTGCGAGGAACAGGTGAATTAGCGCGTGCGACGGTACGACATGAGGGCACGGCAAATAGCCTGTGCTTTTTACCCCGGCAATAGTTATCTGGGACGTAAAAGCGCGATAATGACTCCAGTAGATCTGGAGCATCAATAGTGCCACGGAAAGTTTTACAGACTACTGCAAGTTGGTTTCTTGCCATGCCATTCATCAACGGTCATTAATCTTTTCATGCATGCTCGTCGGTTAAGGGTACTTTTAATTTTGCCCTTCTTTAATACATCGCCAATCTGGTCAGTATACGTCCGTCTAGAGTGCCCTCTACCGACGGCCCCATTCATATCTACATGTAATTAATGATATATCAAATGATAAACAACATGAGTAAAGTACACAAATATAATATCTAAGTTTTTTGTTCAGCGTGTTTCGTAACAGTCTTGTTAAATATTTAGGGAATATTTTATAGATTGCTGATGTAGACGTGCCTGTATAATTAAGTACCCACATTTGTATTGGAATGTAATGACCATAATACTCGATCTGTGACTCGTCTGGTGTTGCAAATGGTCACGGGCGGCGCCGATCACCTCCCATCATATTATTATATGAAAGTAATTAATCTATTTTACCATTCTACCCCAGGTAACAACTGGTGTTCCCCGTACATCGGCTGGCAAAAGGTGTACGATAACAGTCCAGCTGCTATCGCTGGAGAACACAAGCATTTGATTCTTGGTGAGTGCAGCTAATATTATCTAGCCTGTATTTTCTAGTTGAATTACTAATATGTATGTTTTTTTTGGCTTGTAAGAAAAGTAAGTTTACCGAGTACCTACTTATGAATACATGGAGAAATTATGTAGATACCTAGGCGTTCAAGATGCAGTTAAGTATTGTGTAGGTCGTGGCTTTTAACTGGGACTGGGTTTGAAAATCGCTGTGCTACTACTTAAGTACTTACCTACTGAGAATTTTCGAAGGCCAAGAATGCTTTGCCTACTCGAGACACCGTATATGTGACCACACGTCACACGACAAATGTGAAAATCATAATTATACTAATATATAAAACTCAAGGGTTTGTTTGTTAGGACGCGATGTTTGGAATCTTAAGAACTATTATTACTGGTTCAATTTGGTAGGAAAAATATTTTTGTGTTGGATAGTCCATATATCAAGGAGAGCTATAGGCTATAGAACACCGCGATACGATCAATAGCAACAGATCAACGGGTAAAATAGCCGGTGTAGGTAATGTGTTGACGTTCGTGTGGCAGGCGGCGAGGCGGCGCTGTGGTCGGAGCAGTCTGACTCGGCGACGCTGGAGTCCCGGCTGTGGCCGCGCGCCGCCGCGCTCGCCGAGCGACTGTGGGCCGAGCCCGCCGCCTCCTGGAGGGACGCCGAGCACCGCATGCTGCACATACGGTTAGTAACTCTAAATTCAAATTCAAATTCTTTGATTGCATATCATGTGTACAATTGGTGTTACATGCTGAACCACGATTTTTTAATCATCATCATCATAACATCACGCCTTTTATCCCCGAAGGGGTAGGCAGAGGTGCACATTACACCACTGTACAATGTAATGTAACACCCACTTTTCACTATTTATGTTATGAGTCCCATGTAATAGGGGGTGAGCTTATTGCCATATAACGGGCACAATTCCAGACTCCGTGCTACTACTGAGATTTTTTTTAAACTTAGTAATACTTTGCCCGACCCGGGAATCGAACCCGAGACCCGAGACCTCGGCCAGCGAGGCAGTCTTTTTTAATATAGGCTGCAAAGCAATAAAGCTTATCTGACTCCAGTGTCAGTTTACTACCAGACAGGCAGTATAAGCTTTGTTACTAGTGTTAGTAAACAATACTGAAAACACACTTTGTACGTATATTTTACTTCGTGGCGGCCCGGAGGTTTAAGACGCCTGCTTCTCATGCATGAGGGTACAGGTTCGTTAGTCCTACCAACAGCAAGTGTACCAATGTGACTTTTTCCGAGTTATATGTACTTTCTAAGATTATCTAGACGCCACTGACAAACGGTGAAGGAAAACATCGTGAGGAAACCTGGGCTTATAATTCCTAATTATAAATTTGTAATCGCCAACCCGCATTGAGCAAGCGTGGTGATTCATGCTCAAACCTTTTCCGTGTGAGAAGAGGCTTTGCTCAGCAGTGGGCATTTATAGGCTGTTGATAATGTATACTTTAGATTTTGCCTACCTTCAGGGTCTACCCTGTGTGGCTAGGCCCCGCTGCCACTAACCGAGTCACGCTACTTTTGGTATAATAGTGAATTAAGAAGCAGCGATTTGCAGCAGAAATTTGTTTGGGGGCCTTTATGAAAGGTAAAAAATTCTCAGAAGAGATTTTTTTACATAAAATACCTCCTCTGCCCAAATTATCGGCCAATGATTAAGTCCTTTAGTTTTTCCAAAGTTTCTGCCATGGAAATATGGAATAGAGAAATCTATATGGTATCTCTATGGTTGTATGGAATAGATTTCTCTATTCCATAGTTTCTGCAAACCTTTGAACGCATGCATTTTGTGTTTTCGAAGTTTTTATATTTTTGCTTACACACGTTGGGGGCCCCTGTAGTCTGGGGGCCCCATATAATTGATACGGCAGATACGGCGCTAGTTACGCCCCTGTTAAGAAGCATCACCTTTTTACAAATTTTAACATTTTTATTAACTAAAACTTTTTTCAACAGAGAACGTTTGGTCCGCATGGGTATCCAGGCTGACTCGTTGGAGCCGGAATGGTGTTACCAGAACGAGGGCGACTGCTACGCGTGACGTAATAATACATCGTTGTGACATGTGATGTCATATTGTCTGTCACAATACCATTTATCTAGTACTTGGCATAATAACAGCTGTGGTCACGTACGGATATGCAACAATTTCATTAGACAATTTTTGGTAATAATAGGGTAGATGCCTAATTTTTATTTTAATGTCCGTCTGGTATGTTATTTTAAATCATTAGACACGATTTTTTATTTTCTTACAGAAACGAATACTTTTGACGATATATTGATTTGAAATGTCGCGTGACGTCACTGCTATGTACATTTTATACGTAGAAATGACGTTTTATCCCCCACTCCTAAACTTTGATTCATTTTATCTAAGTAGGTATTGTTTTATTATACGACAAAATAAAAAAACACGTGTCTAATATTTTTTCATTACCTAACTTACGGACTAAATAGTTTTTTCATACCCCTTTTACATGAGAACTTGGACCTTCCACAGTGATTGTCATTATTTAGAATGTGCATTAATGCTCACTCCTATGGGGGATGTAAGAAGTTAAGTAAATAAAAAAGAAAGTGATGCTTTTCGTCACTTCTAGAATTTCTAAGGAGATTTTATTCATGTTAGCATTCCATTGATAACATAATCTGTGTCATTACACGTTGCCTTATGAATGTAGGTACCTATTTTTATAAAGTAGGTTTATACCTACTTTTCAATAATTATTTATTAGGCTTAAAAGTCAATAAACATTAAAAAAATTGTCCCTAAGGGACATTAATTAAATAAATACTCTTTTGTATCATGTTACCAAATAAGAAATTGTCTAGTGAAACGCGGCTTATCTCTGTCGTCCGTGCGACGAGGTAGCTTGAATCACTGTGATCGACTCATTTACACATACTTAGGTTAACGTAACGTCTCGTAATTATTTTAAAACGAACGTGTTTATATCAGTAACAATAAGTACGATTATAATATTAAGTATAATAATTGTAATAACTTTACAATAAGTACTTTTCTTTGAAATAAAACATTTTAAATGTGTGTTGTGTTTTTTTTGTGGGCGTGACCTGTGTTTAGAAAAATAAGGTGAGTAGGTAGGTACGTAAGTATGGAGTTACATATATACGTAGGTACAATAGTGGAATCTAATTCTAGTCTAGTGGGTTCGATAGTAGTGATATTTGTATTTGAGTTTGAAACTGGATTTTTTATTTTTGGTTACTGTAATTATTTACAGGGGGGTATAAATAGATTACTGTAGTCTACAGTTCATCAGGCAGGCCTAATTCTACAGTCTACGATAATAACAGTGAAAATGTCGGGTCATATCAATGATAGTAAATAGTTTTAACCTTACCCATGCATTAAATTATAAAAATACGTATACCGACACAAGAATGAAAAGAGTGAACGTGGTGGACGAATATTTTTATACACAGTAATATGAAATTACCTACACATGTACACTGTGTTAATGATAGTAGTGTCGATGTGTAGCGCTGCGAACTAATTAGCGTTGTCGTGTGTACATTGTAGAATTAGACCTGCTCACTTGGTCCACTATTTTATGGAATACCTACACTGTCTGTCCTATGTGGAAGCTATCCTCGAAACTGGAGAGCATAGGTAGGCAAACTACAAATATGAAATGAAACAACGAGAACATGATCGCAATGTTTATTACCAACCATCTAAATAGATCATATCACCAATAAGTTGTTCACATTCTACTGAGACCAAGAAAACCAATGTTGCTAGTTCCACTATTATAGTTCACTGCACCAATACCACTTGTTGGTACCACGCCTTCTAAACCAACTGTTCCTTGAAAGGGGAGTCTCCCTGTCACTAGAACAACACCGTCAATGAGCAGATTATCGGAAAATATCGCCACTCCCGCTGGTCCAATGGCTGAGTAGGGGGCCGAGGTGTCTATGATCAGGTTTCCACCAATAACACGACCATACATCGGTGCGACTGGAGCTACATTTGCCACATTCCAACCTTCAACAATTGGCATGTTTGCACATACCGGTTCACGAAGATATGCAGGAGGGATGCACGCACTGAAGACCGCCTGTAGAAATAAATTAGCACTGAAATACAAGACTGATTAATAATTCAGTTTTATGGATATAATTCTTACCTCAAAGAAAATGGTCTGAATGCAGACGAAAATTATTACTTTCAACGACATCGCCCCCTATTTTATGGAACTTTAATATAATAATGTTTAACGAGTTACGTGAGTTTGTGTTTTATAGCCGTGAACTTATCAATCAGTTTAACATCGGTTGCATAATTTTATTTTTGTAATTAAGTAGGCATTTATTTGTAGTAAGTAGGCATTGCGTGATTAGAAATTGCAAAACCTAGATACCTATTGCCTTTTGTATTGATAATACTACTTACAATGATTTAATAGACTACAATGATTATGAAGATATTATTTATCTAATTCAAGCTTGGTGCATGTACATTTAATTTCGTGCATGCTAGTGCAGACTTCGGGTTGACGACTTGCTTGAGTTATCTGCGTGATATGTAAGTATATGTATATATAATATGTAAGTAAATTTAGTCAAAGCGAAGGTGCGCTCAGACACATTTTAAATTGTTCAACTGGTTCAAAAATATTTTTTTATATAAATTGCAAATGATGAAATGAATGCTGAAATGTCGTAATTTGCGAGTAACGGAACGTAGTTTTTAGTGGGTGCTGTCAAAGTGTCAATGGTCGCCAGTTGTCAGTCAGTTTTATTTACCTTCTTTCACTACGATTTGTTTTTCACAATAAAAATTAGCAATATCTCACGTTAATTCTTATTTGAATAACTTAAAAACATGAGTTGTTTCGAGAATATGACTATGCCTAGTTGCGTGTGGTTTGAAAGCGGAGAGAAGCGCAATATCGTGGCATCTATAATATCAGGACTTTTGGTTTGTATTTGATGAATCATGCTATATTTCTATTCATTACACCTAGAAGGACGTATAACTGCAGATATTGGTCATTTAAATGTATTTTCGGGCTGTATTTAACATCATTCGTTGATAATCTTGTACATTGTTCAGTGTCTGTTGTGAAACTTCGACGAGCTCAGCAATTCATGATTCTGAGTATTACATTACGTATAAATTACATTTCCAATAGAAATGTTCATGGTTACATTATTTATTTTTAATTATGTTATTTTCTCCAGTTCTTTACAGGATGGTGGTTTATCATAGATGCTGCGACAGTGTACCCTGGGAACCTGCCTAATGCATCTCATGTGTGTGGTGTTATGGCTACCCTGTCACTCATCATGGTCAACTCCGTGTCAAATGCACAGGTCAGTGACACCACATAAGACGAAGCATAAGTTTTTGATAATTGTATTAAGTTCGAACAAAGAGAAAGTAGGTAAAATAGTATGTATTATAATATCTAATAGAAGGCTATAGATAGGCTATAAAACATCATGCTACAAACAATAGGAGGAAGAGAAAAAATTTAGTATGTGTTTATATTATGAATTTGAAATTATTACTCATAAAGGACTTATAGAAAACTAGCTACTTCCGCGTGGTTTCACACGCTCTGCTCAGCTCCTTTTGGTCGTAGCGTGATGTTTTATAGCCTATAGCCATCCTCGATAAATGCGCTATCCAACACCAAAAGAATTATTCTAATCAGACTTGTAGTTACGGAGATTAGCGCATTCAAACAAAGTAACAAAAAAACAAACTCTTCCGCTTTATATATTAGTATAAGATGACCAGCGAAAACTGATTTATACATTTATCAGGTACTCAAAGGTTATGAATTTGAAATCTGCCATGTCAAGTTATGGATTTGAATATAATAGCATAGTACAGAATTCTTCAATAGTCATTGTTATCAAAATTTTAAACAAAGGACTCCATTGAGTATTATCTAAATCGGAATTTAATCATAAGTTTCATTGTCTTCACTCTGCCAATGATAATTTTTTTTGGATAATTATTTTATTGTCTTGTTTGTGAATGTCCTGTTTACTTATGCTTTTGTAAAACAGACCTAAGAGATAACTTACTCTGTTTGAAATTGTAATGTAATTAATAATTATTAGCTGCAAGCAAGTGTAGATAAATAATGAGATTTGTATAAGGTATTCAAATTACGATAATTATAAAGGTATCAATCAATTTGTATATGTTTTCTAAGAGTTTTTATGATTTATTAGTTGTATTGTTGTGTAGTAATATATTATATCGTCTATACTGTAATGATAATATTTATAATCTATGTATTTCCAGGTGCGCGGTGAGACATACACAGGAGGTTGCATGGGGCCCCGCGGTGCCCGTCTCTGGCTCTTTCTTGGCTTTGTCGTCGGCTTCGCGTCCCTCATTGCTGCCTGCTGGATACTGTTTGCGAACTATGTTAATGCTGGTATGTTTCTTTGGATATTGTGAATTTAAAATATCTTTTCATTACCTGTATATTTAGAAAATCTAATTTCCTTGTCTGGCCAAATACTGAAGATAGATAAAAATAAAATTTAATTGAATTGAGTAGTCACGATAATAAAGAAAATGTCCCGTACATAAAGTTGGCAAGTTTAATGATCATACTGATTATGCCTGTACTGTACATTTTAAAAATTTATCTGATATAATCTGGAATGATCTGTGTCTCCTCCGAAATAGTGAACTATAAATTATAATCAATTCTCATAAAGACATTTTATTTTGTTTCTAGGAAGCACCAAGTCAGCATGGCCCGGTGTGAGCCTGTTCATGCAGAACGCCTTCATTTTTGCCGGTTCACTTGTATTTAAGTTCGGTCGCACTGAGGACTTGTGGGGATAGACCAGTAATCTCGTACCTTTTCCATGATTCACATGTCTAGTTACGATTGTGTCATTTACTTCCACTATTTTGCTTAAATTGATTTTATTTGATATTATCACAAAGATATTTTTTAACATTATTTCATTGTCTCACGATATAAGTGCTTACTCTATGTAACTTTGCTTCCAATGCTTACGGATTGAGATTAGCTAAACCATTCCCATAATTGTGACTAGACATATACATCAAAGGACTTATATTATCTAGAATAAATAACTACTTTAAAATCATAGGTAAAGTTTTTAGTGTATTTTACATAATTATTATTACTCTCGTATAAGATAAAGTTGATTCCAATAATTATTTTTTATTACGCTAGTGTGGAATGAGACCAATAAAAACTGTTTGTATAAATAAATAACTTTATTGATTTGGCATTAATAAATTACATTGATTGAAGTACATTAAAGATCTTATTAAGAGTATTTATATTTATTATTTTATTCTAACACTTTGGTTATAGTAGGAACAAAATAAATTGGGTACATTGTTTATTATGTAAGTATTATTTCCTTATCCCTGTCTTAGAAAGTTATTGTATTTCAAAATGACAATTTATTTATAATTTGAAGGTTAAAATTAGGCGGGACGTATGATTAGTGGTTAGACATTCGTAGTTAGTTGTTGTTAGTATAGTCGGTAACTATTAAACTAGTGCCTTATAACAGTTAACTGTGATATTATGCAACCGTTATCAGTTCTAACAATATTGCATGTAATACACGTTTGTCTTAGATTCGTAGTAGTGATGTTTCATAATTTCCTAGTACAGTAGGTTTTGAAAGTATTAAACTGAAATGCAATCCTTTTAATAATATTTCTCTTTGGTAAGAGATTAATAATATTTTCTTATTCAATTTAAAACAAAATACAAAAGATCATAGAGGGGATATTACCAAGCACTTTTCACTGACAAATCAAAATCTTTTTAAACATTTCTCAATGATATGTCAGGGACTCGATTCCAATATACGTTAAGTTTAAATGATAGAGTATGTTGAAGATAATATTATTATGTTCTCAACTATTCAGTGTGGTGTCGTCATCCACAATTTTCTGCTGTAAGTTACAATTACTGAGCATAGTTTTGATTAAATGCAATACCGGTTTGTTTAACTACATTTACTGTAAAACAGATTTCATTAATAAATCTGTGTTTAGTGTGTTTAGTTTTATCTTAAACGTTGACTTAACCTATCTAACGCCTGCTAAGGACTTTGTCTGCGTCGGCACATGTTCTGCCGTTGTTGCCGTCTGGCAGACAGAGCTGGTCTGGTCCACAGCCCCCGTTTCTATAGAAACAGATACTCTGGACTTGTGGACAGGAGTCTGGCGCTACAGCCACTCCATACAGTCTCCTCGATGCGGTTGCTATGGGGACGTCGCTTCGTGTCTGCGTTTCCAAGTCGTACGACTCGATTCTCAATCTGTAATGTTTAGAGTTGAAGGTTTATCGTGTGAAGGGTTTAAATTGATAGTAGAATTTCAGTTAGAGATACATTTTACCTCTAGGTTTGAGTTAGTAATCTTTGTTATATTATTGGGTAAGTAGCTAGATCATTTTGGCAATATCACCCGATTCCTGCCCAAATAATCGCATAATATTATTATGTTTATGTAGTTAGTTATATCTCTCATATAAGGGTAACTTTTACTTACGTTTTCCAATCAGTCCAGTAGAATTTGTTGCCATGGATAGCAAGACCGAAGGGGTAGGAACAGTTGGTAGCAATGGTTTCCCTCTCTTGGTTGTCAATGGTGACGCACTCTATGCTCGCTCGTCCAGCGTCAGCGTAGCATAGCCTGTCTCTCGCCCAATCGATGGCCAATGAGTTTGGTAAGGCGACGTCAGTCTTATCCAAGAAGACCCCTCGTTGTGAGCCGTCCATGCTCGCCCATTCAATCTTAGGGTTCGTGCGCTTCCAGTCGGACCAGAAGATCTTTCTGTGAATATTAGAGATAATTAGATAAGATTCTGATTAATTTTCTAGATGTGGTTCATTTTTGTCTGTTTATGACCAACTTTTGCTTAGCGTAAAATCTTAAGTCAAATGGCTCGCTTTTTGCTTATATTGCGTTGTCAGTAAGGATTTTATTTGAAAGTAAATAGTTATTTCTTACCCTCTGCCTGGATGAACAGCGATGCCTCTAGGGTTTGATATTTTGTCAATAGCGAACAACACTTTTCTCGCTTTCGTGTCCAAGTTTGCTACTTCGATCGTCAGTTTCCTAGAGTCGGTCCAGAATATGTTCCTCGATGACCAGTCTACTGCAATACCTTCAGGTGATTTGATACCTAGAAAGAAGTTTATCAGATAATGAATATTGGTATGATCCATACGTAGAAGCAACTTCGCATTGTAGTTCCTACACTTACCTTCTGTCAAAAACAGCCCGTAGTCGCTTCCGTCATAAGCAGCAGTTTTAATGGCATAACTAACAACGTCACCCCAATATATTCGACCGACTTCGCAATCAACATCTATACCTACAGCAATCTGCGAAATGCCACTGTTGAATGGCGTCGCGAAATCTCTTCCAGTAACTTTGAATGGTACTCTGTAGATGGAAGCTCCGTCACTTGCCACCAAGAAGTTTCCAGCTTGCCTTGGGTTCAACTGGCAGTGGCTGCCATTTCCATTGTACCCAGCGTTACACTCACAGACGTATGCATCGTGCCTCTTCATACAAGACGCGTGTAAGTCGCACATGTTCGGATTGTTCCTGCATGTGGCTTCAGGGATACAAGTGTATCCATCACCATTGAACCCATCTCTACAAATACACTGATATGTGTTATCCATAGGTGTGCATATTGCGTTCACGTTGCAGTCATTAGCGACGTCGCACGTGTGACCCTCGGGCACGCACTGAGAAATGCCATCGCCAGAGTATCCCTCGTCACAATGACAATAGTTTAGGTCTAATTCGTTATCATAAAGACAGGAGGCGTGCTCCGCGCACCATGCTCCATTGCAGAGCTGTGCATCAGGAATGCATGCATCGTTTTGGTCTTTGATGTAGCCGTTAAGACATTGGCAGATGTATTCGTTGCTCTTGGAGTCGAGTCGACATTCTGCGTTGTATTCACAGTCGGAGTTGTTCTTACAACTGAAGTTCGGTCGACAGGAGTAGCCATCGCCATGATACCCGAGGTCACACACGCAGATGAATTCGTCTCCACGGGTGGTGATGCAGCGGGCGTTAGGTCCACAAGCACAGTTAGGTCCAGTTTTTTCGATGCATTCAAATGCGTCGCCTTCGTAACCTTCTGGACAGACGCAGTGTTTTCCTTCCCAGTCGCCTGAAGCGTCCGGAGATAAGTAGGAGCAGACGGCATTTGGTGGACAGTCCGTATCCTCCTCACATTTAACTGAAAATAAAATACTCTTGTTAGTTAAACATTTAAACAAATATTATTATACTAGACAAAGGAATTTGCCTTACTCAATGGGTCGTTGTCCGGGACTTGATACTCGACTCCAGTATACGATTGGTTATTATTTTGAGGAGGTAATTCAGAGCTGTGTTCTGCTCCTTGTTGATAGTTACTTTGTGTAGGATAGGGATAATTATCAACAGGTTGATATTCATTTGGTGGTGGCGATGGATAGTTTTTGTCCAAAGTTTGCTGATAGTTGTGTTCAGGTGATTGATATGGCTCGGACTCTGTCGACGTTGGGTAGCGTGGTTCTGTAGAGGTTTGATAATAGGACTCTGTTGGCGGCTGGTAGTAAGGGTCAGTAGGTTCCTGGTAGTTATTATCTGATGTCTGGTAATAGTTCACGATTCTACACAGTTGATTGTTATAGGCATCTCTGTACTCTGTGTAGCCTTCGGGGCATGTGCAACTGAATAAGTCACAGTTTGGTAAGACAACGGTATTGTTGTAGTCAGCCTCATTGTTTTCATCAGTCTGTGGTGTACGAGTCGTCTCATCTTCACGAACATCTTGTCGACAATTGTATCCATCACCAGAGTAACCTGCATTGCATCTACATATGTAGTCGTTGTCAATGAATATGCATGAAGCATAAGGTGAACAGTTGCCACAAGAGTTCTGGTAGTTTGGCTGGCAGTACTGTCCGTCTCCATTGTACCCAGGGTTACATTCGCATATGGGTTCACCACCGGGGTTTTCTATGCATCGGGCGTTAGCATCACACTTCTTGTCTTGGCATGTAGGTAACCGATTGCATTGTATGCCATTTCCAATAAATCCTTGGCGGCATCTACACTGGAAGCCACCGTCGTGGTTGTTGCAGTCAGCGTTGCTATCACAGTTATGTGTGCCAATTCCACATTCGTCGATATCAACACACGTGTTGTCATAAGTGTTTGTAAAACCAGGGTTGCAGATGCAAGCAAAGGAGGTTCCTTGAACTACACAGGAACTGTGAGGTCCACAAGTGTTTCGACCTTGAATACAAGGGTCTTCTTCGCCGAGGGGAAATATCTTATTACTTAATCCATACCGGACTATGTTTTCCCTGGGTTCATACCCTAAGTAATTTTTACTGATTTTTAAAGTTGATGGCGTATTATCTTCCACTGAAGCAGGCGCAAAACGACAAGAATTGAATGAGAAAGTTTGCGATACTTTCTGTACGTATTTTTCTCCTGTAACCTTGTTTGTAAACGTTCTACTAGATTCAGATCGAATAAGACCAGGTTCTACGAGACTATATTGTTCATCGTAGTCGGTAATGTCTAGTTTAGTTCCTGGTACGATTGCTGGCAACGAGCCTCTGACATCTATTTCCAAAGTGATTTGATCGAACACGTCATGTCCGAGATACTCCTGATTGACCGTAACTCTGTCGCCGGTAGCTGGGAACCATATGTCTGCAGTGTGGTTAAACGAGGAGCCTGTGAGTTGGTAACCGTTTTTGGCGGACCCCGAGGGCTTGGCAAAGAGCCAGCCGATGACACCCCCTAGTACATGTAGTAACTGCAAG